CTGGAGTCATATTCCTAAAGCACTTATTGTTTTTTCCAAACTCCGTAATTTAGAAGTAACTAACTGCAGAACAGTAAAGAAACTGTTGTCAAGTTGTAATATATGAGAGAAGAATAAAAGTTAAAAGGAAAAAAACCCTAACCTCAGCAGTTTTCCTCACATTCCTACACAGGCATACACACACAAGGGCAATCGATTTTTCTCTTCTAGAACAATAATTTCAGAAGAGTAATGGCATACTCTCTAAAATAACTTCTTAAACTTTTACTGATTCTTTGTGGGTTTCACACCATGCATCTCCATCCCACTTACCCCACTGTCTCCCCGCATCTGCCCACTGCACTGCCCATGCAACCTCCCTACAAGTCAACACCAAAATTAAAAGAAAAACCAAACCAAACAAAGAAAACACAAAAGAAGAATCTGGTTCTAGAAGCTGTAGTGTGGCCCACTGAGTCACACAGTTTACCCTTTAGCCCATTCATCCTTACTAGCAAGTGTTCACTGCCACGAGTCAAATAAAATAAAATAAAATGCTTCTGTCACCAACTTAAACATTATCAATTATCAAGCAGGGGACACGGGAGATAAGTCAGCTAGTAAAATGTTTGTAGTGGAACCATAAGGCCTTGGGTTTAGACCCCCAGCTGTGGCACACATCTTAAACCTAGTCTGAGGATGCCTAGCCCAACCAGTGGGTCAGTTGCTGGCTCAGTGAGGGACCCTATCTCAAAAAGCAAGGAGAGCAACCTGAAGTTGACCGCTAGTCTCCTCACAGACACAAACAATTACACATAAAAACCACACACATATAAACGTTACTAAATTATGCTGGTGGCCCTGTCAGATGAGCAGCAATCCTGGCAATCGAAGCTCAGGAGGTCGGCCCACCAGGAAGCAAAGCTCTGACGGGTGAACATTGGATGGACAAGGCCCCAAGAGCCTGGCCCCTTGGAACCGCGATGGCTTTGCATGTTGGCCACTGTCATTTTTCTCTGGAATCAGGCATGGTGTGAATGGGTGGGGGATCCCACTGCCTTTCAGGTAGTGTGATTGTCTCATGGCAATATCCCATTCTACTGGGCATTTATCTGTGCAATATTATGAAGATGACTTTCTTTTAAGCTGTACTGTTTAACTGAAGAAATGATTTCATACAATAATAGTGTTAGCTTAAATAGGATTTTCATGATTAAGGCTCTTAAGTATAGTAAGGGATTACAACAGGTTGACTTAGCAGATAAAAGCAAGATATGGTGCTGCCCCCACCCCTGATGAAGCAGGGGCTGCAGAGTACAGAAAATAAGAACAAGTAAATGTCACACAGCTGATTTCTTTTGAGGAGTCATATAGGCTGTGGTTTGGGTTAATGATTAAGAAAAGCAATTGAGTCCCAGAAGCTCAGCTAGCTCAAGTTCTTTTAATCTTAATGTTGAGAGATGTGTTCATGTATTTTGGTGTGCATCATAGCTAAAACAAAGCTTTAAATAATGACTTAGGTTATGTTGGGAAGTTTTTGTTAATGGCTTTGAGATAGAAAAATCTTGAAAAACAATTTAAAAAGTCATAATAGCTGAGCAAGGAACTTGTTGAGGTCAGGGAACAAGAACAATTATAGACTGACTACTGCTGGCTGACATACCTTTCTTGCTAGGATGGGTTGGTGATCAAGGGTGATGATTAATTCTTTGTATCCATTTTTTCCCTCAGTTTCCTAATATAAAAAAATTGTTGATGAGTGGGTATTACACTGAGGATTTAAAGTAGAGCTGACTGGTTGTTTTTTATATATAGAAGTCTAGATTTGTGATTATTTAAAAATTTTTTTAAATAAGATTACCTTTAATTAATTACCATAATAATAAAGTGATTGATCCTTTCTTTGTAACTGCAAAATGTAGCCTGCCAGCAAAAGAACTGGCTGAGAACAATACCCAACTGCATACACTCTGTTAATGTACAAGTTGCTTAGCTATGAATGCATGTGGGTTCCTGGGACAACTTGTTTTTCACCTGTAATTCATAAAATGTTTGATCACGTTAAGAGATATGGAAAATATGCTGGGCTTTACTTGAATTCATTGTAATAATTAACTTGAAAAGTAAAATGTGACCACATTGTAATTTTTATACTGTTTGAAAGATTTTGCTGGGATATATAAGTTGTAACGGAAAAAATAGTTAGAAGGAAGACATCAAGAGAGACAAAAGGGATACATTTAGATTGAGATAAGAAAAAAATAAAGAGTGTATGTGTGTGTGTGTGTGTGTGTGTGTGTGTGTGTGTGTGTGTGTGTTTTCCCTTTTTTTGCCAGCCCCAGAGAGTTAAACTTAACCCTACCTTTCTGGCCTGAGAGAATTAATTTGTACTCTCTCTGATAGAAAACCAAGTTGAGTGATTAGTCCGCAGAATCGGTGGCTTCATCCCCAGTCCCTAAGCTGCTGAACACTGGTCCTCACAGAAGAGGTAAAGTTAAATTAATGTACAAATTAAATTCAGTTTCTAGTCAGGGAAGACAGGAAAGGACTGAGCTGGATTTGGCATAGGGGCCTTCGAGAGGCCCCTCAAGGAGTTTCCCACTGTCAAAGAGTTGCCTTCAATGTCTCGTTGGTCTACCTTCATTAGTGCAGTGTCTGCCTTTGCATAATCCTGAAGGGAGGGGCATTCTGTTTGGATTATGCTTAGAAAAACATTGCTTCTAGGAATGCCCTGTTTACAATCCCTTTTAAAGTGACCTTGTCTGCCATAATTCAGACATTTAACATTTCAGTTTTTCTTCAAACTTCCTAGCATGCACCAACATAGTCATGAGGTTCAATATTACTTGTATATTCCTCTAAAGGTGCTGACCTTGCTTTTAAAGACCTAATTATCCTTTTGCATTGTGCATCAGCATTTTCAAAGGCCAGAGTTTCAATTATTAATTTTCTGGCTTCTGAATCTGATATTTACTGCTGATACCAACCTTTGTAAGGAATTTGTGAAGGGAGTATGAACAGATGGCTCAGTGGTTAAGAGCAGTTGAGGGCTGCTCTTCCAGAGGACCCTGGTTCAATTCCTAACACCCACATGTTGGCTCACAATCATCTGTAAACCATAGTCCCAGAGAATCAGACACCTCTTCCAGGCACTGAATGAAGTGGTATATGACATACATGCAGTCAAAAACATCCATACACATGAACTGCAAATAAAATAAAGCTTTGGCTGGGCTATGGTGGTGCACGCCTTTAATGCCAGCACTTAAGAGGCAGGGGCAAGTGAATCTCAGGGAACTTGAGGCCAGCCTGGTCTACAAAGCAAGTTCCAGGACAGACAGGACTGTTACACAGAGAAATCCTGTCTCAAAAAAGCAAAAAAACAAAAACAAAAACCAACCAACTAAACAAACAAACAAACAAAATCCACAAAGAAATCTGTGAAGGCTTCCTTTGGGCCCTGAATAACTTTAGTAAATGATTCAATTTTTCTTTCCCATTTCTTCAATTCTGTCTTAAGCATTCAAAGCTTCTGCATAACATAAAGCCAGGACGTGATCATCATAGTGATTGCCTGTCTATAGTAGCACCTCGTCCAATATCATTATTAGACAAATTCATCTTGTGAAAATAAGTCTGAATTAATTTAAATCTGTTTAATAAGAAGTTTTGGTCTGACTGTACTGTTTGTCTCCCTTTTCCCCTTTAAAACACCCTGCAACCAGAACATATCTAATTCTAAAACATTTGTTGCTTCATAAAATTAGTAAGGCAAGACTAAGTCTTCACATTATTTTCATTCTTCTGAAACTGCTTATCATAGATGGCAGAAAGGTATCTCACGCTAGTCTGTTTCCTTGAGAGTCTTAAGCGATACATGGGAATAGACATGTAATAAGGTAGAGAGGGACAGCAATTACATGTACAAACTACCTGTATTGATCACACCTGTTACATGATATTAATCCATGAAGGTTCACATTCTATATGTTTTTTAACTCATGTCGAGATTACTACAACAATGAACAATATAATTTGTTACCTAGTATTCTCTTAAGTAACTCTAGCAACAGTTATTTTGATAACTTGTAAAATAATAGTTTAGGCTTAGGTGTGAATGTACTGTAAACAAAGTGGTCATTCTTTTAAAATCATGTAAAGGGTTGGTAAACTGAGGCACAGGCAACATTCAGAGTTGAATTCCAGGCAAACAAGGAAACAACAAAAGGGCTAGGAAGTGAGGCTTCCATAAACTATCTAAGTCAGTGTATTTATTAGGACAAAAGAATTTGAATGCCAAAAGAACCTTCTGTTGTCATACAGCAGAATTTGTTTATGTGGGAAGGCTCAGAAAGCATTGAAGAGAAATGAAAACTCAGCTATAATCTATTTGAATTTATCATCTAATCCAATGTAGGCTACTATTACAGGTAAATGTCTAGAGTAATCCCAGACAGTAAAACTGGAATGAAATGATCAGTATAATGGATGAGGAACAAAATAAAGAAAGAGATGAAGAAACAACAAAGAAAATTCGGAAATCCAAATTGTTATACAGTTCATGGGTTCAAGTAGAAGAAGCAGACATGCACCTCCCTTTCTATCCAACTGCCACAGTGAAATGGGTTTATTCTTTCTGGGCATGTACCAAATAACAAAAACTCAATGCAAGTTATCACTATAACTAATGCTTACCAAGCCATGCATATTAAAAAAATAAAACACAAAATAAAAAATGTCTTTCTTAACATGTCTTATAGTATGAGTTTACTAGAATTAGAATAGAAAGAACAATGGTCAGATTTAATGACTCCATGTAATTTAAAAATATTTAAGTGAAAACAAATGTCTTAGCTGCAGATCATCTTAGCTCTGGATAGTTTAAATGTTTCAAAAGTATGGGAGGGATAACATTTAATTAAATGAAACCAGTCAGGAGAGTCCATAAGTAACAGACTGATCACTAACTCAGAAAAAGCTTCAGAAATGCTGGATGAGGCAGGTGAGGCTGGCAGACTTACTCTGAAGCTGAGGCTGCTGGAAGGAAAGGGGCTGTCCGAACACAAATGGGCTGTGGACTAGGGAAGAGGGAGGTTTTGCAGCTTCATCAAAGATGGAAGGAGCTGGGAGATTGGGCCGTGACTGAATGGAATTCAGTATGGCACTCAGTTGATCACCTGCAGTGGGCAAAACAGTCAAAACTACAACTTGTTACTCATTAACATCCAAAATGGCAAAGTCAATGGTGCTTTATGACAGTCAGGCAAATGAAACAGTAAATAAAGCTATGCCAATTCAGAAAAGGGGAAGCTGGTGATCGCTGTCCTCAAGTCAGGGATCTGAGTCTACATGCTGGTTAGTTTTGAGGTTTTTCGATGGGCATACTCCACCACTCTTACATAGTAGTCCAAAGAAAGAAACCCACCTGAAATTCATATATAACCTTCCCATTATTTATGACTGAAGAAAGGATCTGTGAGGGATGTATGTAAGTATACTGTGTTGGTGGGGAGCAACGAAATGAAGATCCTAGGTATGGAAAGAGGTATGTATTCCATGGTGCTCCATAACAACTAATGCACCCTGCTGAATCTGCAGAACAGTTCATGCAGAAAATAAGCACTGCAAGCTTCATTCCCTTAAAATGTATACTCAATGGGGACAAAGTACATTTTCCACTCCACAATACAACTACATCATAGCTATACATCAATACTTTTATTTAAAAATGATTACTGCCAAGGAAAATATATTTTGTAAAAGCAGGAATTATTTTTCTTAGATAATTTTGTAACTCCTGTAATACAAAATATGAATTACCTAATTTGATTGATATTTTTCTTATAATTAAACTTGAAGGATATTAAAAAATAGCTTGGGACAGAAATAATGCAATTAGATGAAAAACTGTATTTGTGAAAATATATGGATTTCAAATAGATTACATGATACTGAAGGGGGAGGCTTCATATTCAGATAGGCTGTGCAGAAACTGACAGTGCATTTACAGCTCTACTTAATTAAATAAGTGAAAATATCAACTGAGCTGCTAAGTGGCATAGGATTATATGGAATTATGTATTTACATTACACAAGTACTGATTTCTTTTAAATAAACACTTTAGATTCCAGAAATTATTTTATAGTTTATAAAGAGTTACATAAATTGTTCTAAAGAAAAACACTTTTGTAAACAATTTCTTGATCATGGGCAGTACAGAAGTCAAGAAAAAATGGGAACATTTGTTAAGCTAAGCAGTAGTTAGAAGTATTTCATTTTTCTCAATATAAATATAGCAAGTCCTAAATGCATGCTATTTTAAATAATATTTACAACAGCATTTAAAAAGTACTTTTGACTTCCATTTAATAAACACTTACAGCAATGCCTGTATTTCTTAAAAATTACTTTCATTTTTCTAATGCTTTAGTGAATTCCATTTTAAAGACTAACTTACAGTGATAGCGGTCATTAGTAGAGTGACAGGGACACTTTCAGGGTAAAAGCATACATTTGAATAAAGCATGGCTTTAGAATACTTTATTCCACAGGATCAGTGGCAGTAAGTAAGCACTTGAGTTTTTCACTTAAGAGCTGACGATAGCAGAGAAAAAGGAACATAAAGAACACACTACCCAGCACCTTCTCTTAAGTATGAAGAGTGAGCTTAAGTTAGCAGAAATCAGAGCGGCTGGAAGTATGCAAGCAGGCAAAGCCTCTGCCTGTGAAGGTGACTAAACCAGGAGAATAAAGGAACACTTGTGGACATTAATGAGGCTACCCATAAACGTGGCTTTATTTTAAACTAATTATTCTCAAACATCCAAACAATTTTGCATTTTTTATTATTGCTTTTTCAATAACTGCAAGTCAGGTAATTCACACTATATGTGTTCCTAGAAATGAAGCACTATGAATAAATACAATAAAAAAATGGTGGGTTTTTGCTTTGTTTTGAGAGGGTCTTGGTATGTATGTAACCTAGCTGGACCTCAAATCAACTCTATAGCTTTGGTTGGCCTCCTGCCCACGACCTATGCTGGGGTTACTGGACTACGGCACTACACCTGGCTTCAATAAACTTTAAAAGTCAAACTGCTCCCCGTAGACATCTTTCACCTCCTACCCGTCACTCAATGGGTTGCTGCCTTCTCACAGTGTTGCACATTTTCAAGGAATCAAGATTACATGCATTAGAAAGAACATCTGAATTCATCTAAAAAGGCAATTTTGGCTAAATTTCAGGAGCAAATTATCCCAGAAGAAATATTAGATTCTCGATGATGTTGACCCATTCATTAATATAGAGCTGTACACACTTTATATTCAAATGCTCTAGACTTTCCTGTTTTACTGCTTTCTCGTTCATTAAGCATACCATGCTCAAATCCATTATTTCATATAACTGTAACTACCACAACCAGGTTAGAGATTTACAATCACATATAACTCATAAAGCCCACGTATGATGTTACTAAGAGAAAATTTTAAGGGACTGATTAAGGAAATTCTTGGCTCATTTCCACTCCTCTCCTAGATATTATTTACTAGGTGTAGGGATTCAGATCTTCAGAAGACAAGCTCAGAATGAGTGCCTCTCACACAGAAACAATATGAAGAAGAACATACGCTGAAACTGGCATATGACCACACTGTGGAAAAGAACCCCTCTTAAATAAGTTGAGTGTTGGTTTCATATGCATACATTTTAACTGGATGAAGATATGTGGGAAGGTGTAAAAAGTAACAGAACTTACTGAAGGCACGAGGAAGACTCGCATTCAGATGCCTACCTTTATTATTGCCGAGGCCATAATCAAATCCTTGGGCACCGCAGGTTGCCCCTTTATTAAAAGCTTGTACTGAGAAAGGGCTTGGAGGAGGAGTTTGAGAGTTCTGATCCAGAAGAACTTGTTCTACAATAGAAGTCACAGCTATCAAGTTAATTTTGTATGTGTTATTCCCTATTCATATGTCAGAGAAAATTCTAATAAAGAGTTTATGATGGTTTAATTTAATCTGACCCCACAGATGGAACTAAGTTGAGCTCTCCATTCGATCAGCCTAACAGTTTAGAGTGTATGACAAATTTTGCTTTTGTCAATCAAATAAAGAAATTTAAAAACTAGATCTATGCTCTTAAGTAGCCCCTCTTGTTATGGCATGGCATATTATTGAGTATATTTCTGGGTAAGTAAATCTTATTGCAAACAATTTACATCAAGGGCAACTTAAAAATAAATAGGACATTAAGCTAGGAAGAAAGATATCTATCTATCTTCAAATAGAAAACATCTACTTTGATATGCTAATTTACAAATTAGCTCAAATTCACAGAACTTTGTAATGACACACTAGGAATATAAGGATAGTAGTCCTGTATCTATTCACAAGAGACTCAGCATCATTGTGAGACATTGAAAGATACAGTTTTGTCACCATCAGAATAAACAGAGGGGTACAAAAAGGGAAATCTTAGTGAGATCAATGTTGAAAACTAAAGCTGAAGGCTAATTCTAATAAAAAAAATAGGACCCTGCACCAAAGGTGCTATGTATTTATTACATTCTTTTCTTGAGAGAATATTAAGCTAAATGAGGTTTCCTTACACAATACTGCAATTGGTTTGAAAACTGAACTTCTAGCTTATGGTAGGAGTAAAAATTGAGGCCCAGACTTGCACTGAAGAATGAGGCATACAATTCACTTCAGTGAAACAAAAGTTTTTCCTACTATTAACAAAGTTGATAATTATGTTGTCAGTGTTCTTGTAATCTTCTCCTTCATGGTCATTCACTTAGTACTTATGTATTTTACAAGTCAATTTTGTAAGCTGTAAAATGTTTCAACCTTTAGATTTTTCTTTTATTTAAAAAATAAACATTCAAAACCTTCTTCAAGGAATCGATAATGCAATAAACATAAGATATATGTGTGTGAAAACTTAAGCAAAGTAAATCACAAATTTAAGCCAACTTGCCATCTTCATGCCGAAGGTACTGGTTTCCGCCTCTGTCTCTAGCTAAGGACCATGCCTCTCCTTCATCACTCTCACAGAACTCTACCATGCTGTTCTTATCCAGCTGCACCCATGTCCCTTCAGAATTGGTTACCTGGCACATAACAGAAAGCATCATTGATTGACTTGGTTCTTTCAGGCATCCAGCGGAAAACTAAAAAGCTTAAGTGGTTCTGAACAACACAATGATTCCAACACATTTCTATTGTGACATTAGTTTCTGAAATTAAGACCACAGCCTGAGGTAAAGACAAGATTGAAACTTCTGTAAAATGGTATTTCAGTCTTTAATTAAAATAATATCTTTAAAGCACAAAGCTCATCTCAGAGTGATATCAAGTGTGCCTAAAACCCAAAGCTCATCTTTTAGACCTATAATGTCCTGACAAAGAATACCTATTATTATGTCATTGGTGCCTACAGTGTACTGTGAAAATGACCCTGACCCTAAGAAATAGCATGACACACTACATCTTCAAGCTTATCTGCGGAGGCAAATGCCACAGTGGTCTAAAGAATAATTTTATTTGCTCAGGACTTCAGTGAGACCTGTGAATGGGAACAAAGAAACGAAAAATTTTGGAAGGTCACATCTCCATTCCAATTCATAGAAAATCTTTTAAATGCTGACAACCCATAACAGTACAATTATAATGATAAAAGATATATTCAACTATGAAGCACTTATATATACAATACAACTTATTTGTTAATATAAGCAATACAAATACTGTTTTCATGAGATAATTATTTTTTAAAAGCGCAGAAAGTTATGTTAGTATTTCCAGGACAAGTAAAAGTCAAGCAAGTGAACATTTAAGGACCTGAGATAGAAATGACAATCTGGAAGAAAATGGCACTTGATTATACTACATTAAAATGAGTATCATAAAAGTCATGAAGCTACAAGAGTCCATACCTCTCCCACTGCTTTGACTTTGTTTCCCAGAACTAACATTCCAATTGGGATACCTCTAAGGTTTGGGCAGCTTCTGATGTTGTGACCTGAAGGTCCTGTCTTCACTACCTTGTACATGCCTGGCCCGCCTCTCAAGAACGGCTTATCTTGTTCTTGCATTGCTGCTTCCTGTGGGCAGCAGTTTGCGTCTTTGAAAAAGTCATCAGTATTAGTTTTAGGTTCCTGAAAATTTGAATAGGAAAAGAAAAATGAGCAAAATATAGTCTATTACTACTGTCATAATTCTATTGTTTCTGAAGCAAGTCTACAATATTTCCAACTAAGAATATATAATTAAAATAGCAGCTAATACTACTACTAAGAAACCTTTCATATAAAAATGCATTTGAGGAGAAAAAGACCTAGCAGGAACAAGATATTAAATGAATTTCTGTCTTTTGTACCCCTACATTTGAGAAATACAATACTATAACATATGAAATAATGCTTAAAACATTTTAGCAAACCGCAGAACAAATGAAATATCTTTCTGGATTTGCTAGACCACCACTAATACATGACTTATCAATACTAGTGGCAGGGAAAAAAGGGGGCATATTTTTAGTAGAGAGGAGAGATTATCACTAAAGGCATATTTTAAAGAAAATAAATCTCTCTACATATTTAATATGTATGTATATATACATATTTAACAGCATTATTTCTAAAGGCGAAGACCCTACTGCATATTTCCTGCTGAATGTCAATGCTATGATGAACTGTCTCCAATGGAATACAACAGGAGATATACCAATGTACATGTATTTGCTTTGTTTCCCATTTGGGGTTTTTCCATTGTCCTCATTATTGCTTTCTTTGTGCTACTGACGATTAAAATCAGGCCCTTGAACAGATTAGGCAAGCAGTGAGCTACAGCCTACAATTATCATTTCCTTTAAAAAGAAAAAAAAATACCTACCTTCAAATATAAAAGTAGGAATTCTATGATTTGTATTGAATAAAAATAACCATAATGCATTACATGTAAAATTAGAATAAAATATGAATAAAGTTATATAAATATTGACAACACTAGCATTACACATGATAAACTTTTATAGCACATTTCTATTCCTATAAGTATCTTTATATTAGCAGATGCATATGTATTAAAATAGAAAACAAGCTATTAAATAAGTACTGGGCTAAAATATATGTAGATTCAAGAACTTTAATGTACCTTGGTAATGTAATAAAAATGATTACTAGCTTTTTAATTGCTGAGTTGAGACTAAGTCTTGCTATGTAGCCCTGACTGGCCAGTGATTAACAATCCTCTTAAGTGATGGGATTAGAGGTATATACCTATAATCTAGGCTCCTCACAAGATACTTACATGGTGGTAATGAAAGACCATAAATCTTTACTTAAACAAATATATACTGTGGAAATTATTTATTCATTATAATTACACTGCATATATCAATAGCCTTTACATATTAACAACCTATTGGAAATAAGACCTTTAGTGACTTGGAAAGAATATTAGATTTGAAAGTAAATTAAGCTTAAATTAGGCATTCATATTATCATGTACCTATATTCATAAAAATCTGTATATACACTTTTGTAAATGTAAAGAGAACATTAAAAAGTATAATAGGAATATAAACTTTGAATAGTGCTAGTATAATCACAGAGTTTTGAGTACACATTTAAAAATTCCTACTTGTCAGTGATAAATTTCAGTAAATACATTATGTTATAGAGGAGGCAACTTTTAGTCCTATTTACAAGTGCTTTTAAAGTTGCATGTTGACATTAAAATAAACAACAAATTGTATAAACAGGGGCTGAAAAAAAATTCAGTGTTATGTAATGATCTCCTTTCATCATTTACTAGATTTCACAGTAATTGCAACTTCAAGGGTAACAATGGGAAGTCATGGCAACGCTGATGAGAATCATAATCTATTCATCAAATGTAATATATGAGAAACTTATTAAGACAATTATCTTATCGAATCAATTAATTTTATCTAATCATTAATAAAGCTACATAAAATAATAGAAAACAAAGCATTTATAAAAGACAAAAGTAGTCCTCTTGTATTAAACTGTATGAAAATAATTGATGGGCATAAAATTATGACTGTCATGTTAAAACAATCTTAAAATGTACATTTTTCAATACAGATTGTACACCAGAATATAAAATTGGTGAATTTCAACTATATATATATATATACATATTTATATTTATTTCTCATTCAATTCCCAACCCATTGTCTAAAATAAATATTCAAAAGGTCAATTCAAAAGAGTAGACTAGGGGTAAAAACAAGAGTTACAAGGTCACAATAAAGTTCATTCTGAACAAAATAACTTGGAGCAAACTGTTGGAGAAGCTCATCAGAAAACGACTGCAACCATGAAGCCATGAAAAACTTCACTTCCTTTAAAGCGGTAACACATGTCTGAGCAAAACAAGGGGGAAACTCAATTGCAGTCCTTTGCAGACTTCGCCCCTGCGAAATTTCAGTTTACTAACCCTAAGCAAAGCCTCAAAGACACAATGTAAAGCCTGTTGTACATGCTGAAATACCTGGACAGTGTATGATTGTTCCTTACAGTTAACTCACCTGGGGGAAAAAAGCTTTGGAAGTCCATGAAAATACGTCCAAATCCCTGACTCCTTGGCTAGCATTAAAGATATTCTGAGCGACAAGGTTTAAGAAAGAAAAATATCAACAAGGAAAGGGATCAGAGTATCATCTGCAGAAGACGCATTCACAGTTACATTTTCTGAACTCCAGAACCAATTTGAAATATTATTTTGCTAAAGTGAAACTGAAGCCACCTGAGTAAACCACATGCCAAAATTCTGAAAAACAGGGTTTTGTCAAAAGCTCTCCATAGATATAGTGTGTCATGCCATTTACTAATATCAAGAGCCAGACTTTGCTGGAAGGCTTTAGAGTCAGTGCAGGAAAGAAACCTTGAATCTCTTAAATGAGAATGTTATTTGTTGTATAGCATAAGCGATATTTGTTTAATGACACAGAACAACCTGCTGTTTTATAAAGATGTCAACAATAGAGATTATATAAAAATGCACCTTTATAAATAATGGCATGTATGTAAAACATCACTTTTAATATCAAAATAAAAAAGTCAACACAAATGGGAAACAAACCATTTAAATATTTCCTCCCTTTTATAAGTGGAAGGAAAAAAGAAAATGAAAGGAAGGAAGGAGGGAAGGAAAAAAGAAAAAGAAAAAGGGAAGAAAAGAAAAAAGGAAATGAACAATAGATCTTTGGAAATGTTTCCAAAAACTACTAGCAATTTTTTAAGAAAAACATAAAGAAACACAAGCAGAATCTTTTATTAAAACGCTACTAACTAGTTCTAACTAAGCACTTAAGATCTCTATGTTGAATTCCAAAAATATTCTGTTAAAGAATAATTAATTCACAACAATATGGTTCAACTAAAAGTATTTTCACAAAACAATGACAATTACATGGTACATGCTTTACACAGATGCATCATACTATCAACCTACACTTAATTTTACTTAAAACTCAAATATATTCAATGTGCAGCAACCCTACAAATGTATTGCTTATGTAAAGACTGCTGACAGGTTATTTATTCTGTTTGGACCAAAAAAAGAGGACATTCAAATGTTAACTGAAGTATTTATGACTGGAGACTTAAACATGAAAGAAAAAATTTAAATTCCTGATCACTTATGTCATTTTAGACAATGAGAAGATACCTGCTACTTTCTATCTCTATTTCCTTAAAGTATGTGTGGGTGGATATAGTAACATATGTACACACACATACACACATGTATAAATACTAATTATATAAAATATATAAAAATGAGTTTCTAGTAATGTGCCTACCAATAAATTTAAAACAAAACTTAAACCAAAGTTGTCATTCCCTTAATTTTAGAATGCATGGACAATAGGTCCTCTCTCTTTAGGTAAAACAAAAACTTCACAAAGAACTCCAAAATGCTATTCTGAAGGAAAATAACACCCATGTTGGTGGATCAATGTATACAAGAACTTTTGGAGTGTTTTGTGGCTGTTCTCCCTCCCAGAGAATAGTGATGCAGACAGTTTGACGTAACACAATATCAAGATTTTAAGTTATTTTCACACTGATTATACATCTCTTTAGTACTAAGAGCAAGTGTTAAAAACAATGCTAGCTGATCCAGTATTAAAGACCGAATGTACTGATTTCTTTAAGCTTATACTCTCTTGAATCTCATTGTCCAACTTAAGTGTACCATGTCATTTAAAATGATGTGGCTACTATCTATGGCAACAGACTGCCAATGTAATAAATTTTGTCTATTCTAATTATATATAAATCCTAATTTTATAGATTTTACTTTAGTTTCTACAGTTGTAGAAAATTCCTAGACTACAAATGTTTAATGTAAAGTTAAGTTATTTATAAAGTATTAGGACATTGACCAGATAGAAGTCAGGAGATTAAAAATGAAATAATTGAAGAGTTTTCTTTTGAAGATTTGTAAAATTTGAGCTAAAGATATGAATGTTTACCAAAATAGTAATTTATCTAAAGTCTTAATTCTTGAGATAAGATAAATTTTCATACTATATACCTTCAAAGATTAATGTGACACAGTAATTTAAATTACTTCATTCTTAAATTCAATTTTAAAGATGGAATTTTTCAGTAGAATTAGTATATTAATGAGTTTTAGAAACCTAACTAAATTAACCAGCAGCAAAGTACAATTCTAAGATGACAGTTTCTCAAGACACAGAATATCTTACATAAATGAATAATTATTACCATGAAAATATATTATCAAACACATCGAATGTTCACGAAAAAAAATCACTCTGTTAGAAAAGCACAGAGCTAAGGGCTGTTAATTTTAATGCAGAAAAAAATACAAGAAAATCAAAATAGTGTATATATATATAAAATACTACAGTATTTCTTTAACTGTCTTGATCTCATTCTCATTAAGAAAATTAGTAATTAAAGAATGAAATAGAGCAGATTATAATAATTTAATAACAGCATATTTATTCATGCTGTATTAAATGACCTATCATTTATATTAAAAAAACAGCCTACCGTTACACATAAACACAAGCCCATTCACAGATTAAAACAAGGAAATCTCAAGTATGTCAAACATGTACTGCCAGACATTGAGCATTTCAAAAGGATGTCCATAAAATGCAAGAAACATTAGCTAACTACCAATCTGGTGATGCTACAAGAGAATCACAAGGTAGCAACGTTTCCCTTAATCCTACTCCATATCTTTAGTACTCCCTATTATTTTAATGTCATCATACTTTCTTTAGGTGGGAAACAATTAGTCTGGATAGGAAGTGATCTCTATACATGAATGCAAATGTTCAGACATTCTGATTGCTTCAGTAAGAATTCAGAATTTACTCACTAGCCCCTTAATATACATTCTTTTTGTCTTCAATATTCCTTACAATGTGTATTTGCCATTTTGATAAAGTACATAAAAATGGGTATTTAAGTTTTAAGTCATGAAAATCTCCACTTATAAGAGTGAACACATTTCAAAAAATTAAGTTTTTCACTCTAGGCAGGCAAATGTTTTGTATGCCATATGTATCTCTTTACTTATATTTTCCAAGATATATACAATTTTATTGTAAAATACTTTATAGCAGCAGTTCTCAACCTGTATATCGTGATCCCTTTGAGGGTAGTACATCAGATATCTTGCATATCAGATATTTACATTACGATTCATTAACAGTAGCAAAATTACAGTCAAGAAGGAGTAATGAAATGATTTTACAGGTAGGGGTCACCAGAACACAGGAATTGAACTAAAAGGTCAAAACATTAGGAAGGTTGAGTACCACTGCTTTATAGTTTTCAAATTACAGAAGTTAGTTTATGTTCATATGCGTATGTTGTCAACGTGTATATGTGTATAACCTCAGGACCACTCTCTACCTCCTTTGAGTCAGGGTCTCTCAATAGCCTGAGGCCCACCAATCAGGCCAATGAGTCTTAGGGATGGACTCTCCTGTCTAGCCTCCCCAGAGCTAGGATGACAAGCTTTTATCAGCTTGTCATGAATTTTTATGTGAGTGCTGGAGTCTGAACCCAGGACCTCCAACAAGATAAGAAACTTTATTGGCTGAGCTATCCCCTCACAGAACTTCATTTTTAAAACTTTCATTGACTTATCTACCATCAGAGCATGTTATAATAATTTCCTTCTTTTTTATTGGCAACTTTTTCTTCACATCTGCTTTAGAAACATCTATGTTAAGCCATTCCACAGCTTATCACAAAACAACATAACTGATTACATAATTATTTACCATTTTATAACTCTACTTATCTCCTCATTATACCAAGGCATACTAAACACAAAAAGATACACCTTGGAACCATGGCAAGTGGGGCTCTAGCACCTGTCCCACTAATACTTAAAATCTTGGAAGAATGAGAACAATCCATTTAACAAGACAGTGTCACAGGAAGAATGACATGAAACAAACAAGGTAAGAAGCACACATGTATGCCAGGAGTTAATTTAAGCAGAGTGATTATACCAGACAAAAGCATTCAAGTTAGATATCAAATAATACTGAAAGACTACTGTGAGCAACACTATAAAAGCAACAAACATGAGTAAGAATCTGTATTTAGTCCTTACCACTAAGGAGTTTAAGATTAAAATTAGACTCATGCATGCACATACTCATTCATGCGCACACGCACGCGCACACACATACACACATACACACACGTTAAAGATAAAGAAAACTAAATTCAACAAATAGCTGTAGTGAGAGAAAGAAGTAAGCCCTTTCCACGCTTACAGACTATGTACAACTTGAAAAAAAAGGGGAAACTTAATTTACACAGTACTTATCTGCTTTCTACCAAATGTCGATTAGCTATCAATTCCCAAGTATATCATATCAAAGCTATTTATTAGTGATATCATAAGGAACATGTAATAAAGAAGAAAATTTATTCTTTGTAGTTAAGCTAACAAAGTAGTGTGGTTACTACCTATTTCATGATATGGCACTCTAGCAAACAATGACTTAACCAAGTACTGCAATATCAAGGAACTCTAATGATTCTCTCAATCTAAGATTTAGTATCACTTGATATCACATGGTAATACAAGTCTAAAAATCACATCTTACATTAACACAACAGTATTGTAAATCAAGACATAAGGGATACAGAGGTAGACATAACACAGAAATAACTGCAAACTTTCATCATAACCAACTAACAATTATACCTATTTCTGAATGTATAGTAATACTAAGTAGTACTATTTTCTTAAATATCGGGTTAGAATTCACTATCAACAGCAGTGTAAATAAGAAAAAAAGTGTAACCATTTTAATTTCCAACCTCTTTGAAAGGAATTCAGTAGGTTTAGTTTTAATTTATTACTTAGTGTTGGTGACAGATCAAAATAAGCATTAGGAGCCTTCCCCCTGCCAAATTCTACTGTCTTTACACCAAAGCCCTCAAGTATTAAAGCACTTTGGAAGTAAAGGTTATATAGGTATGAATTACCTCAGAACTGAAAAGCCTTAATTAAAGAAAGATCTATAATGAGGACAGAGAACAACTATGATGCTTTTAAAAACCATCTTTCACTTACGTCAACAGGGACCAGAAGGCTCTTGCCAAGATGCTGATTAAAAGAGAGGCACCAGGCTTCCGTGTAACCATTCATGTTAGGAACATACTTCTTTATTGTCTCATCATTCAGCCTCAACCACACGCCATCATCATTGTGGATCTAGAGGGAGGAGAGCAAACAAGCTGGCTTTACTCTAAGAGCTAGCGGACCGAGAGTGCAAAGCAGGCACTCGCGGAGACTGCGTCTACTTTCACAACGGCAGCCGTGGGAGAAGCAGCCAGGAACACCAAGCAGCGAGACACTTTCACAGTGAGACTGTGAAAGCAACCTCTCACAGGAGCTAGACGTACAAAGAAACATGCTCAGGATTAATGATTTAACAGCAAATTTCATCATTTGCAAAAGAATGTGTCTTTCATACAGGCTACTTGGTTACATTGTAGGAAAATATTCCACGGACTTTCCAAAGCTAAAGCAGTTCATGAAGTATGTTTTAAACCCATTCTAAAATCCATTTAAAATCCCTTTAACTTTAGAAAGTAGTACTTCTATAGGTTCTGATTACTGTGTTCAACTCAGTTGTTTCATAAAGTACAATCTTCCCGAAAATGGAAAATAAATTAAATGCATAAACCTCAAAGAAAATGTCTATAAAAAATTCAAAAGACTTCCCAAAGTGTTTGAAACAGATGCCTTTCAAAATGGGTGGTAATTGGCATTCAACTACCAATTATGCAGGGAAGCTTTTCCAGCCACTTGCTACACCTTTCTATTCCACTAAATGGTATCTCTCCCTGATATATTTGTATATATAATTCTGTTTATCTATATTTTGTTATAGTTACTGCTGTCAGATAACATGAGTGGAATTTCAGGTAACACATTATTTATCGCAATCCTATGAAGCCCACTGTCAGGAAGGGGTTATTTCTTCATTTCTTCTGGAGTTATTGGCTAGTGAGGTCCCAAAGACCCCCAAACACTATTAGGTTACCTCCAAAGGTCTTGGTGACCACCATCCAGAACTTGACAGTAGGACCATATAGCTGAAGACATCACACACGTGACTCATAGAACACAGGTTTATCAAGCTGGTACTCAGGAAGCCTCATCCCTATTGGCTAACTCTCATAGAGTTGGGAGGTGCCATGCACACTACCAGATAAAAAAAGGAATCACTAATCTTACCTCCCTGTAGCACCATTGTCTAAACCAGGAACCTGTGACTAGACAGGGTACAGGCCCCAGGGAGAGCGTACTACTGTTTCCCTACTAGATGGACATAGAATTAAACTGACAGCTAACTGAGCTACATGACAAGCACACCCATCACCCCTCAGCAACTTCTTTTTTTGCAGCACATGGTGGTAACAGCAACCTCGACTGTTCAAGATGCAGACAGTGAGAGTGCTCAGACTTAAACGGAGCATCTCTTATCACATCTCCCCTCCCAAGCCTCAGGGATCACTTCAGGGAAAGACGGTAAGAGAGCCAGACGTGATGATGGCGAGAACGGTTTCCTGACCACAGAAGTGCAGCTGGGAACATGTAAAACGTAGTAGCTGTGAAGGCATCCACAAGACCTGCATCAGCTCAAGCCAGACAAAACCCTGGCACGGGGAGGGACCACGCCCTATCTAAGCAGCTATTGGCCACTGACAGTTTCTGGGAGGGACAGCGCAATGTGAACTTGATCGACTGAAAAAACAATACAAGCAACAATAAGGCCTGGAGAGATGGCTCACTGGTTAAGAGTACTGGCTGTTCTTACAGAGGACCCTGGTTTGATTCCCAGCACCTACTTGGTGTCACAACCATCTCCAACTCCAGTTCCAATGCACCAGGAACACATGTGGTACACAGACATACATCCAGGCAAAACAGCCACACACATAAAATGATGAAATAATAATAAAAATAAATAGAAGAATAAAGTTGAGTAGGTTGGGAAGGGGTGATGTATCTGGGAGGAGTTAGGGGAGGGAATGAATATGATCAAAATGCTGCGTAAAAATTTTTAAAGAACTGATAAACAAAAAAGACAAAAAGGTTCCCAAACTGTTTAGAACCCAATAACATTAAAGCAGTTTCCTTGTTATTACGCAATTATTACAAAAAGTGTCCAGAAGGAATCACTAATACCTATTTAAGAATTACCTCATCAATAAAAGTGATCGTTCCATTGACTTTTACTATGCCAATCTGCTCACTCTGAAGGGAAGGATGGCTTCGGATGCGGAGACCAGCACTGTCCTTGGCCACAAATTTTCGAATCTGAGAAAGGAAAAGAAATGGCAGTGGTAGAGAAAACAAAGACAAAGTATTGATGACCTATAGCAAAAATATAAAAGGTGACTTTTTAGAAGGGCATGATATAAATTCCATTACCATTGTTTTCATTTTTAACAGTTTACTCAAATTCCTTTAGTTATTTTAGATATAAGGAAATTAATATTTCTTTTAGTGGTAGAGAACATTTTAACCTTGAAAACTCAAATGTAATTTCAGTAGACTTTCTGATAATAGTACACTTTTAATACCAGAAAGTATATAACACTCATAAACTATTACAGAATACACAAAGAAACTAAACAGTAAAGTTGTACAATCTGAAATGATTAAAAATCTTAGGAACTACTTTTCAAACTGATTTACGGATACACAAAATCCAAATACTAAAATCAAGTAAAACATTAGTTAGTTCAGGGCTACTTTGAGGCATCAATGAAAAATTTGAAAACCTCTGGCAATCCCATGTTTGAGCTCCCTCTCTGACCTTATTTGGCTGAGGGTCAGCCTTTGGCTTGACCAGCTGTGTTCCTGGTGGGATCATCCCTTTTGGTGGATCTTTTACTTTTACTTCAAGGCCAGCATCTGAAAGAAAAGTAGTGTAGTTATAATACCTGACTACAAACGTAGGGGACTGTGAAGTCTAACCGTATCATAGACTATCTGACTTTTCATGTCATGTGAATGGGTGTTTGTTATGTCAATTATAGCATCTGACTACAAAGGTAGGGGACTGTGAAGTCTAACCGTATCATAGACTATCTGACTTTTCATGTCATGTGAATGGGTGTTTGCCACCATGTATGTCTGTTCACCACATTCATGCCTGGCGGCTGCCAGGACTACAAACAGGCATCACATCCACTGAAGCTGGAGTTACAGGTGGTTGTGAGACACTACATGGGTGCTGGGAAGTGCAATTGAGTCCTCTGGAAGAACATTCAGTGACCTTATCTGCTAAGCTATCTCTCCAGCCCCACATCATAGACTATTTTCAACAACTGAGATAAATATCTGAATTCTGCTTTCCATTTCTAAAGGTGGTTGATACTTAATGTGAAAAATAAGAAAAAGTCAGGAATAAGGTCTTGAGCTTGCAAAAGAGCAGGTAGTTCCCTCAGTGTTTAGGGAGAAAGGGAGTCCCCATTATTTAACTGGAACACATGGAATGATCCTGAACGAGTTCAAAATAAGAAGAAGAACCCCTCTTGTGACAAGTGCTATCCAAGAGCAGTATGTCAGAACACTATTCATCACCCACAGTGGTAAGCTCTGACTGACAGCCCCCAGAGCACGATCAGCATTACGGCTGGATGGCAGTGAGATACAGTACAGTAGTTAAGAGATGAGATTCTCCTGCGACACTGCAGCGGGATGTCTCTCTGTACACAGTGAATCTGTGTCGCTTGCGCTGCTTGATAAATAAAGCTGCTTTGGCCTATGCCACGAAAAGTAAACAACACAAGGATGACTTGACTCTAGTTCTTTGCAGCAACTTGCTATCTGAAATGATATTTACCTATTTCAATGCCATCGATGGTAACATGAATGGTGTAGAGCCCAATAGCCCCTGGAGTCCAGTTTGCACAGTACGTCCCATCGTTATTAACCCGAATCAGCATGTTTTCACTGGGCCTGAAAAGAGAAAACAAATGAAAAACAGGCGGATATCAAAAAAGGTACTTTCCATTATGCAGTTAGGATCAACAGCTATTTCAGCGAATATTTGTCTTATCGTACTGCCTGGCAACGCTACAGCTGTCACAGCATGCTCCCCAACTTACAAACAATCAATTTCACTCCGTCACCCCTTTCCGTCTTAAAGCCCCAACACTTCTCTTTTCTTCTCTCAGCTCGTTATGATTTCACTTTTCCCTTCTGGGAAAATAGAAGCAATCAGCTATAATTTCCACAAAGTCATCCGATTGTTAACCTATCTTGCCTCCTGTAGAAATGGATGGAACAATGTGGCTCTTATCCAAAGCCAGTTTTCCATTTGACTTGTGAAGCTGGTCCCCTCACTTTCTCTCATACCTCATTTATTTCTCCTACTCTACTAGGCCCTCTCTACTATCATAAAAAACTGCAGAATTTTCCATCTTAACCCTTATTCCTCTCTGTGCCACCCTCCTCTCTAACGAAGCCTTCATCTCTTCTCCCTGCACAGGACACTTACCTAAGACTGCCACACGCACTCCTTTCAATCTGTTTCTCCTCTCCACTTACCGTTACTAGAACTCTGCTCCCAATGCTTCACGGCAAATGCTGACATCTCCACTTACCGTTACTAGAACTCTGCTCCCAATGCTTCACGGCAAATGCTGACATCTCCACTTACCGTTACTAGAACTCTGCTCCCAATGCTTCACGGCAAATGTTGACATCTCCACTTACCGTTACTAGAACTCTGCTCCCAATGCTTCACGGCAACTGCTGACATCATTACTAGCGGCCCTCACGTCCCTGGCCTCAGGGCCATGTCTTCCTCTAGTAGTTTAATTTCTTGATAGCACTTATTGGCTGGTTACTCTCACTCTCCTGAAGGAATGTCCCTTGGGTGCAGGGACTTCCTGCTGGCATTCCTCTCACCTCATTAGTCACTTTTCAAGGGTTTGCTGGCTTCTCCTCTTCTGACTGGCCTTTAATTTATGAAGTTTGAGTCTAGATTTTATTTTTCCTGAATCATCTTTAGTTGGTCAATTACCTACCCATTAATGTAAAATACCATTTCCATATAGCTGACTCCCGAATTCACTTCTCCCTTGATCTTCAAACTATCTGCAGTTGCATAGCTGTATCTCTACCAAAATATTAAGTATCTGTGAACTGATATGGAATCTCAATTTTAACGTATCTAACAAAAAGCTCCTATTTCCCACTTTTCAAAATAAACAAAGAAAAATATAAACCCCTGCTCATTCCTAGGAATTCTTGAGAATCATAAAAATTATGATAATATATAGCAGGTGTCAGTAAATACTTTATGAACAATTTTAGTTTCTTAGGTGAAAAAGTCTTTGTCATAACTACTTAACTTGATCATTGCACTATAAAAGTGGCTACAGACAATGAACGAAATTGTGCTGTAGTAACATTTATGAAAATAGGCAGCAGGTAAAATGCGATGTATGAGCCAACACTGGCTGCAATCTGTTCTATGCTGTTCCTAAAGCCAAAGCAAAATCTGTGATCATTTTTAAAAATGTTTTTAATTGAAATAGAATTACATCAATAAACAGTTTTTCTTCCTTCCAAACCCCAAACCCACCCATGCTCCTTACTCTCAAATTGATAGCCATATTTTCTTGTATCATTATGAACGTATGTTTGTATATACAAGTATGTATACATATGCATATATATATATATACATATATATATATATATATAAATGCAACCTGCCAAGTCTGTTTCTGTTGTTTGTGTATTTACAGTTTAAGAGCAGACCCCTCCACTCTCTAGTGACAAGGTCTATTCTACTTATATATCCCACCCCTCCTTATCCACACTGACAAATCATTTCTAACTTAGTTTTTCTGTTGCCATTCTAGTTTCCCCATAATTTACGCCTGAAGAGCTGCCACAATGACTTTGCTAGGTGGCTTACAAGTAAATTCAGCCCATGTAAGCACAGCCTGCCAGAAGACACTAAAATATTTCCTGCAGCTCTTGGATTTATCTCCAAACATTTCCCTCTTTTCACTATTCTCGAGGCCCACCATTTTTCTTGTTCTCCACAGACATCAAACTCAGCCTGCCGCAGGTTTTCTGTAGCCTAAAGTGAACTGATCAACTGCCATCTAAATGGCACTTCTTAACAGTCCTCTCCCATCTTGCAATATTTTTGCAGTTTCCCACAATCCCAATGCTGTCTATCAAATGACTTTACTTATTACTACTTTGTTCACTTTTTAATAGTTTGTTCTGTATAGGAATGATGATATCATAAGAAATGGTACCATATTTATCTTGTTTTTAAGTGTACCCATGGCTTACTATATAATCTTTCACATGGCAAACGCTCAGTGATGACAATTGAATGAGTAGATCAGCCACAATTCCAGTTAGGTTCCAAACACCTAATGTATATGAAAATCTACTTACTACCAAATGATTTCTTTCATTCTCTTTCCTTCCCCTCCTTCTCTTCATGCCTCCATTTTCCCATTTCCCTCTTTCTTATGTAAGACAGGGTCTTACTATATAGCTAAGGCTACCCAGAGACTTGCTATGTCGTCAAGGCTGATAGGAACGCGCTATGGAGCCCAGACTGGCAAGGATCTCCAATGCTCTTGCCTCAGGTTTGTAAATGCTGGGCTAGAGCTGTGCACCATTACACTCAAGTTAATTTTGTCCTTATTCAGCTTGCTAAAAATTTATAATGTTCACATTTATTTATAAAGGTCAATTGTTTCTACTCTAGTACAAGCTCAGAACTAAAATCAAGCCAGAAAAAAAAATACTACATTCTTATTCCCAAGGTCACATCGTAGATTATATACTACAACTCTACCTTGTGTACAAACCAAAATAAAGTCAAACTAACCTAAATCAACTTCTAATTTTCCAATCAAAGTAATCAGTTTCAAATAAGGCCATATGAAGTGCAACACAGTGTAAGTTGGGTAATTATGCTTTTCATATTTGCTTCAGAGCCTCTTCCCAGGTCTTTGGAGGTGACCACTCTAAGTGCCATGTGATTGATGCTCAAGTGGCTCCCCTCCCTCCCCTCCCCCTCCCTCAGTGTCTGTCTGTCTGTCTCTGTCTCTCCCTCTCTCTCCCCCTCCCTCCCTCCCTCCCTCCCTCCCTCCCTCCCTCCCTCCCTCCCTCCCTCCCTCCCTCTCTCTCTCTGGTTTTTGAGACAGGGTTTGCTCTATATGACTATTCTGACACTCCCTCTGTAGACCAAGCTGGCTTCGAACTCACAGAGATCCTCCTGCCCCTGCTTGCCAAGTGCTGGGATTAAGGGTGTACACAACCATGCCCAGTTCAGGTATTTTTAAAAGTACTTTTCCTGCCAGAAATGCTGACATATGTCTATCATCTAAGCCTCTGGGGGGATGTAACAGTATATCACAAATTCTGGGCCATCACAAGCTAAAGAAAAAATCCCTGTTTCAAACCAATACAAAATAGAACAAAACAGAAAACAAAGACAAAAAAACAATGACAACAACGAAACCTAAACTTTCCTTACAAACTAAACTATAACTTAAAAAATACATTTAAATCTAAAGTTAAGAGAATTAAACAGAGCTTGGAGAAAAAGAGACATCAAAACTGATACAAGTACAGCACACAGAAATCTCTCCACCACACTCTGGGAGAAGGAGACAGGGAGTAATTAGACAGCAAAGAGCTGGCTGTGGTGGCACCCACTGCAATCCTAAGCACTCAGAGGCAGAAACAGGAAAACAATGTTTAAGATCAAGCTGGGCTACATAGTGAGACCCAGCCTAACAAAATAAAACAATAATAACTCTCAATAGAATAAAAAAATGCAGAAAATTACACTAACCCATCTAGACTACCCAATGTATATAGTTTGGAAACTTGCTGTTCATTCTCTAGTATCTTCATTTTATGTTGTGTATTAATAGTAATATAATTGACTAAAATTAAATAATAGTAGAAAATTTACATTTTATGAAGGAACACTTAATTAGAAATTTCAAAATGCTGTAGTTAAAAAAAACATTTTAGAAAAGAAGGTTAGTAATCCATTCCTGTTATGGGCATTTTATTTGTTAGCGTATGTTGTCTAGTTGGGGTACTGTCCTCCCTGCTACAAGATAACTCCATTTAAATTTGTGTGTGTGTGTGTGTGTGTGTGTGTGTGTGTGTGTGTGTGTGTATGCGGGCGCGCACGTGCGTGCGTGCATGCGTGCGTGTTTTGAACTCATATGTGCAACCGCCCTGCTTTGTGTTCTGTCTGGAAAAGAGGTTCCTGGGAGTCCCCCACCACCTCCACTCTCACCATCATTCCACCCTTCTCCCCTGAAGTCCCCAAGTCTTCTGTGGTGAGGGGTGATAAACAACCCATTTTGTGCTGGGTGTCTCTTGTTCATTGCATGTTTACCAGCTGTGAGTCTATGACAAGCTGCTGTTGCTGCTGCTGCTTCTTCTTCTTCCTCCTCCTCCTCCTCTTCTTCTTCTTCTTCTTTTTCTTCTTCTTCATGGCTTTTTTGAGACAGGACAGGCTTTCTCTGTATTGGTTTGGAGTCTGTCCTGGAACTCGCTCTGTAGTCCAGGCTGGCCTCGAACTCAGAGATATGCCTGCCTCTGCCTCCTGAGTGCTGGGATTAAAGACATGTGCCACCAACGCCCGGTGAAAAGCTTCTTGGATGAAGTATATCCATATGATATGTATGTACACATATACATATACATATACACATACATACACAGGAAGCGTCTACAGTAGCAGCTTCTCACATGGCTTTTTACAAAGGTCTTCAGTGTTTGTTATCCCTCCCCATATTACATCTTCTACCCCGCCCTCCTATTCTCCAGCCCACTTAATCCTTCCTGTTCCATTATTCCCTTCCCACTGTATGTTAGTGTATTCTATGTCCCTTCTCTTGAGTGACCTGCGCGCCCTCCCCACACCTCAGTGGGCTCTTACTGGTTTCCTAACCATTATCTCTTTTTGAGCTACTGGCCAGTGGGGTTTCCTTGCTCTTTATCCCTACTGACCATCTGTCACAGTACTGGAAGGGATAGCACCTATCTCATCCAGTGGGGACCCTGGAGCTACAATGACGACACATATGACGAGATGTGCCCATTGGTGCAACAGGGATACACACATCACGGAAGAACCCATTTCTGGTTGGATTTAGCTCTTGCTCCACACTATGAAAATCAGACTTGGCACCATTAATGGGGCCAAAAACCTGTGGCTAGAGAGGTCATAAGGCATAGAGGAGAACTTACTACTATTATTCTGTTAAATGGACATGGTATTGAAATGACTACTGATTAATACTGATATACCCCCAGATCTCAACCCTCATCCAAGAAGCTTCTCGCAGCAGATGGCACAGAGTCACAGCTGGTAAACATGCAGAGAAGAGGGGAGTAGGTAGTGGTCAGCTTAAGATGGGCTGTTTATCACACCTCTCACCAGGCCCAGGGATCTTCAGCGGGGAAGGGGTGGTGGATGACATCCAGGAACCTCTTTTTCACCCAAAACACAAAACAGGGCGGTTGCGATACGGACTTAAACAATTAGTAAAGATTTTAAGACCAACAAAAAATAAGGATCGGGTTTGGATGATTAAGTTTTAGTTTTAACAACACTGATGTGGGATAATTCTTGTTCACTATAAAGATTTGCCACGCATATTGGTTTAATAAAATACTGATTTGCCAGTAGCCAGGCAGAAAGCATAGGTGGGGCTACCAGACAAGGAGAATTCTGGGAAGAGGAAAGGCAGAGATGCAATTGTCAGCCAGACGCAGAAAAAGCAAGATGAGCATGCCACACTGAGAAAAGAACTGTGCAGGACAGAAACTTCCATCTATACAACACTGAGAAAACCATTTTTACCTTTTAGGAGTTGGTGATGCAAAACGCAGTTCTTCAAATGAGTAGTTTTCATATACCTTTAAGAAAGAGACAAGGAACACTGGTAACCTTGCAATAGACATTTCCATTAATGCCACGCTAAACTATCCAATAAATGAACTGAGAACACTGTCTATCCACACAAGAAAGAAATAAAAATGGCAAGACCACTTGAAAAATGAATTCCAGATGTGTTAGAGATATAAACAAACAAACAAAAAAACTAAAAAGTTCACGACATGATTGTTAATACTGTCAACTTGACAGGATTAGTCTAGAGTCACTAAAGAGACAAATGCATGGATATGTCTGTGAAGAATTTTCTAGATTGGGTTAAGTGAGACAGGAAAAGAAATTACAAGTGCTGAACTTAATAAGAAGGTGAAAGTGATATCTAAAATAAAAAAGAAAAGAAGGAGAAAGAGCAGAAGTATTTATCTCTCTCTTTGCTTTTGGCCAGTCTGCCAACCACGCTGGCCCACCATGGTGGAATGTAGCCTCTCAAGGCGTAAGCAGAATAAACCCTTATTTCTTTAAATTGCTTATCAGGCATTTTGTCAAAGCAATGGAAATTTAGCTTAAAAAGGCACAAAAATAGAAATCCTTCGGGTTTATTAAATTTTTAAATATCTCCAAAACAAAGACATTAGAGGGAAAAGTCTTCACATGGAAGAAGAAAGTGTTTAAATTATGTAACTTAAGTAGGATTCGGAACCTCAATACACACAGGTCAAGCCAATCCATATACAGGGAAAACAGCAGAAAACGGAATAAAACCAACGTATTGAAGAATAAATGTAAAGATCAGTGAGTAATGGAGAAGTTATTTAATTAAAATGGAAAACAAGGACATGCAGATTAAAGGAACAAATAGTCACAGAACAGTAACAACTGAAGTTCAATAGAAACTAAGTGATGGTGAGCACAGTGTCTGCAGCAGGAAGATAAATGTTGGTAATGTTTAAAGCAGTTTTAGACACGCTTTTTCTACAACCCAGCATTTATGTTCTAGAGATACGTTTTAGAGAATCTCTCGATGATGCACAAAATGAGACAAAACAAAGATGTTTATTTCAGGACAGTTTATATTAAATGTTCAGCAATAGGAAAATGGACAAATTCCAGAACAGTAAGCAGCTATGTACTTGAAACAGCTAATGAACAAATAACCCAGAAGGACATGTAAAATATAATGCCACAATACAAAATTTTGGGATACAAAATAAATACATGTATTATTTATGGCTAATTTACATTTTACATTTACAAAAGGACACACATGAGTGGGGGAGGGGTAGGAAAGGAGAGAAACAACCATTCCCATTCTATCTAGCACATCCTCTAACAAAGGTGTGGAATGGGGTGGGCATGGATTATGATTGTAAATTTTTTTTTTTTTTGGTTTAGGCTGGCCTCTAGAGTGTTGGGATTAAAGGCATGAGCCACCACCGCCCAGCTTAAAAATGTTCTTTTTTTATAAGCTGGCAGGAACCTTCTTAGTACAGGAGTAGTGTGTTAGTCTTATAAAAATAGCAAAAAAAAAAAAAAAAAAGATCTGAACCTATTATGGCAAAATGTAAAGACAAAAATGGACAGAATGTACAATAAACTTAGCACATTATCCTTGATATATTTCTATACTTTCAATATTACCAAATTAATTTTCATAGTTCAAGATCTTCATCTTCCCATATTCTTCTAGATTTATGAAGAAAGCACACCACTTACAAAGCCATCTTTCTTCTCTCCTCCTTTCTTTAGCATAAAAGTGAATCAGAAATTATCTGGCTGTTTTTATGTGTCCACAGGTTTTATATTAGATAAATGTAACTTAAGGTTGATTTTCCTGAGTTTCTACAGTATTCAACAGTTGGGAACCAGGTTTCCAGACTCTGTCCAACATCTCTACTTTTACTCCACAACTGTCAACCACACATATATAATTTATTAATAGACCGTATTTTATTTTTCCATCCTCTAACCTATGGCTCTCTACTGGATGAGTTCGCGGCATCCCTGCCTGAGCATGAATGAACACTTCAGAGACCCCTTGGGAATAGTACTGTGATTGTTCTAACCCTGGATCTTCCCAAATGCTCTTGAAATCCAGCAGTCAGAACAGGTGACTGATGTTCTGAAGGAAGTATAAAAATACAAAAGTATGTGTGAATGACAGCACTCCCAAGGAAGTTAAACCTTCAAAATGAAACCTTCCTCAAGTTCATTAACTGACTGTGACCTGTCTACTTTAGTACTCTAGGTAGTCACTTCTTGTCCACCTCTGTGTGACACTTGACATCCTGTGACTAAGAGGCAAAGAAAATTTGGAAAGTATTATTTTGACAAAACCCTAGCTTCTGCCAATCAAAGGGCTAAAATGCTGTCAGATTGCACCTCAGGCCTAGAGCAGAGTTCTTCCTGTTTTGTTACAACTTATTTCTCTGATGTCTCCAAATTCAATTATGAACTTCATCTTTTATTTTCTACATCCTTTCTTTTCATTTGATTCTCCGTTACCTTAGAAGCTGTGCTGATACAACATCTTCAATATCTCTTAGGTCTATTTGGACAGATAACTCACTAGTCTAAGTGAATAGACTTCCTGTGAGACATGAGTTCGAGTTCAGCCATCTTCCTATGTATACTGTTAGTGGACTACAGTCTTTATAAACCACCAGCACAATCACGCCTTTTAGTCACCTGCATCCAGACACTGCTTTCTGAAAATACCAAAATGCCGAGATTCATCCGTTGACAAGGGTTAGCAGATGCTTCGTAAGTGGAGCTATGTTTTAAATCCCATCCAAAAGACACTGTACACTGAAGACCTGGAGAAGCAGGGAATCTAAAGAGATACACCAACATGGGGGCTGCAAAAGCTCCTGAGTAAACCTAAGTAAGGGACCTAAGGAAGCCCGGAAGTCCTGAAGACATGTGTTCTAGCAGTCAAACACTTCAGAGGATAGCACCAGCTTTAAGTTACCTCAACTTGTTCTGTGATGGGATAGCCTCTCAACATCTGACAAAAACTGATGCAAAGCCTTCCTAGGTGAAGGAATTGCATTTTAAAGATATGCTGCAAGTCTGACATCTACTAGCAATGTTCTAGACTTTGAGTAATTGAAATGTTAAATAAATCAGTGGCGAAAGATAAATATCTCTGATAAGTAAAAATAAATTACCTTCATCATTGTTATAGCAATGTACCGTGCCTCCTTTACTATCATTGGCTCATACGAAACATCCAGCTTTGGTGATGCCAACCCACCAAAAGTCATGTCGGTGTTAGAAGATGTTGCTGCTACTGAAGGACTCCCAGGAATCCTTTGAGATTTCTTTACTTGCTCTTGCTGTAAAGATGTTTTTTTCTGAGAAACAGGTACAGCTTTCACTTCCACCTATCCACAATAATATAAAAAACAAATACATATAACTATTCTTGACACATCAAAAGAAATAATTTCAATTACAAAGTCAGTGATACAAGTTTTGTTAACATTGGTTTACCTCATTTCCAGGCAGACCTCATCTCTGTCTTACACACTGACAGTGTAAGCAGAGGTGTCATGATTTTAGAACAAATAATCAAGATTTCAAAATATAAAAATTAAATCTATCAGTATGATACGGAAAAAAAAACAGAAAGAATCTTTTGAATTCTCTCAGGAAGTAAATTATTTTATCAGATAACTCAAATATGAATACCTCTCATAGTATTTACTTGTAAAAATTTATCTGAATTCTTGGTGTTAGTAGTCTACAAAGGGGAAGTTGGAGAGATGGCTCAGGGGTTAAGAGCACTAGCTGTTCTTCCAGAAGACCTGTGTTCAATTCCCAGCACCCACATGGCTGCACATAACTGTAACTCCAGTTCCAGGGAATCTGGCACTCTCATGCAGACATACATGCAGGCAAAACACCAATGCACATAAAAATAAAGAAATCTTAAAAAATAGTCAACAAAGGAAAATATACTCATTAACGGCAGCCTTTAGAATTGATGATTTAAAATATATCAGAAATCTAAGGATATCTGTTCACGTAGAGCAAGAAAAGCATAACTAGATAGAACAGTTAATAATTTAAGCTACTGATTTTAAGAATCTAAACTTTGCAAATTAATCTAAACTCAGTTTCCACAATGATAAAATGTGAATGGTCTTCATCTACTTAGTTTACAATAGACAAACAGCTTTCTTAAAAGGCATATTAAAATACTGAAAATATTGACTGTTGCTAACAACTTGCCATAGAGTCAGGGGGTGTAGTTTGGTGGCATAGTATGTTTAGTATGCATGAGGCAAAGAAAAAGGCAACACGTGCTAAGAAGTACAACAAAAGGTTTTCTCCTACTTTTGCTTATTTGTACACCGATAAAAAAGAACATCTGAATCATAGGTAGCCACAAATTTTAACACATATGAGTAGCACATTATGGGTATTACTTTTGAGACAGCCAAGAGTAGGCAATCCAAAAATATGGATCACCCCACCCAATGTGTGTGCGGAAGTGGGGGATAAGCTTCCTCCAGCTCCATTTCTCAGGTGTCAGCCAATGTCCAGGGGGAGGGTGATTAAAGAGGGGATGGATGTTTCTCAGAGTCCTGGAACTCCTCAATGAGGCACAGGGATACATGTACAAGTATATTTGTAATCAAGTGTGGTAAAATTTGACAGCACTTGCTTTTTTGTTATACTTTGAATGTTAGATAGTGTTAAGTTGCAAAGATGAGACAATGCATAAGACATGACGGTGAACTGTATGCATATTACCTACCATATTGTAAGTACTTCAGAGTATATTATTCTGTCTTTCTTGTTATACTTTGAACGTTAGATAGTGTTAAGTTGCAAAGATGAGACAATGCATAAGGCATGACGGTGAACTGTATGCATATTACCTACCATATTGTAAGTACTGCAGAGTATATTTATTCTATCTTTTTGCTCCCATGTTGGGTCATGACACAGATTATTATGTAAGCTGGGATCAGAGTGCATAAAGGCACTATTAAATGTTGACTTCTGATTAGTATCAGAGTCAGATACTTTTATATAAGTTTAGGTTCTTGGTTTTAAAAGGTATGAACAATGAGTCTAAATCATTTTTTACTGAGACAGGTAAAAGATTATGTAGACAGATGTTTCTGTTGCCCCAGGTCCCATACAGAGACTTATATTAATTACAAACTGTTTGGCTTATTGTTCAGGTTTCTTATTGGCTAGCTCTCTCAATCATTAATCCATTTCTATTAATCTGTACATTCTGACATGACCTTATCTTACCTGAAAATGCCAGGGTATCCTACCTTCCCAGTGGCTACATGGCGTTTTTCTCAAGACGCACTCTCTGCCTTCCTCTTCCCAGCCTTCCCCTAGTCCAGTAGCCCCGCCTATACTTCCTGCCTGGCTACATCCTACTTGTTCATTGGCTGAATCAACTTTATTCATCAACTAACAAAAGAAATATATATTCACAGCATACAGAAGGACATTCCCCTATCATCATTACATTGATATTGTGTTTTGCTCATGCTAGATACCAAAGAAGGTATAAAGAACCTGAAAGAGTATTATTACAGTGATATAGAAAAACTAGTGCCCTATGAACAAAAAAGATTATGTATCTTAATGCACTCTGAACTTCCAAAATCCAAATTACCTCATAATTCAGCTTTGGAAGGGAAAAGGACTACAGCCAACCTACACAAATTTACATTTGGTTTAAATTATTTGGAAACACATAAAAGGTTTAAAAAAGCGAAGTCTGTATCACTAATTTCACTCAATATAATATAAATATCCTTTTCAACCAATGTCTTATGTAAATATATATAAATGTTTCATTCATTAATATATATATTTGTATTAGTCATTATCTTATAATCTAAATTTATTTGTCTATCAATATTAAGTTTACGTTATCAATATTATCTTTAAAATGGGAATTCAGTCAAGTGCAGGATGTATGAGTCTTTTAATAAATAGATACAACTAAAAATGCATCATTCACTCTTTTATTCAGTCCTACATTCCTAGAGACCTTATTCTATACGACTCTTCCAATAGACAACTTAAACTATCTTCTTTGCAGTCATGTAGCACATAACTAGGAACTAATTAATGTAAAAACAATTACCTAAGCAATTCCTCAGTGTCCTCCACAAAGACAGAGAAGTGAAAGCGAACACTGTAACTTGCCATTCTCAACCCTTATCAGTTACAGCAACATGTAGACATTTCCTAATCACACAGAATTACCTTCATGTTGGGAACATGAACCACATCTCCATACTGGTCTTTTGTTTGAACAGTTATGGTGGTGGGCCAGCCACAACGAATATCATCCTTATTCAGGATCAATGATGTTTTTTGAGGATCAGCATAGGAATCTGGCTGAAGCCATCTAAAAGCATTGAAAACATGAGAACATGAAATTAAGGCAAATAAACTAAACTCATGTTGAACAAAATGCTAAGCCAGTATCTTCATTTCTGATTCAGTGATAGTTACAATTATTTTCCTGGGAAGCAATTAAAAAAATCCATTAGACATACACAAATAATGCATGAGATTTCTGATGTTTACATATACTATGAAATAATATTAAAGTTAGAAAATATTGAAATTCTTATTATATAATAGATCTAAGTTACAGCTAATATGGAGCAGTGAGGGAGAGCAGCTTTCTACTATCAACTGGAAAGACCAGTTTCCATTTGGAAGCAAGGACAGAAATATTACCCACCTTGCTTGGAGCAGCTAGAATACTGACACTCTTTTTTTTTTAACATAACTTCTGACTAGCTTCTTTAATATGTCCACTTTCTTATAAAACTGGTCAATTTCTGATTGTTGGAGCTACCCATTCCCGAATCCATTTCACAAGTTGCATTTGACTTGGTCTCATGAGATGAGTAAGAAGCAATTCTATTATACATTATATATAAGTGTCTACAAACATAAAGTGAGGATGACTTTAAAAATTTGCTATTCCCTCCTGGTCAACATTTTGGCTTTAGACACCAAAGTGTAATCTCTAAATCTTAAAGTTTAAAACCAGAAAGAGGTTAGAGTTTTACATTATTTTTATCAGTAAGTTAACACAAGCTAGCATATCTTTTTAAACCCAAAAACATCAAAATGGCGCCAGGTGGTGGTGGCACACATCTTTAGTCCCAGCACTCAGGAGGCAGAGGCAGGTGGTGGATCTCTGTGAGTTCAAGGCCAGCCTGGTCTACAAAGCTACACAGAGAAATCCTGTCTCAAAAAACCAAAAATAAATAAATAAATAAACCCCAGCAAAATGGCAAAAAAATCCAATAAATTATTAATTGTCATATATTTTAAAATATTATCACCTTTTCTTCATGTTGAAAACACATAATCTGGATTATTGATGGGATTATTTTAACATCAAAATGGCCATTTCCTCCTTGATTTCATCGTCAGAGATGAATATTTAAATGAAATTAATTGTAATATTAAAAGTACCTTGCAAGCCTTCCACCACTTGATCCTGGGACACAGGCGATGAAGTCATCCAGAAAGGACTGCTCGTTGCTTTGGATTTGAAGTGGTAAGTTTCCTTCAAGTGCCTCTAAGATGGTTGGTGAATGAGAAAGAGCCAAACCCTTTCCAAGAATACCAGAATGAGTTTTGCACACCTATTGGGAAAGAAGGAACATCTTTGTATCTTTCTTATTTGTTATTTATTTATAAAAAGGCTTCACTGTATATAGTCCAGGCTGGCCTTGAAGATGGGATCCTCTTGTCTCAGCCTCCTGGATGCAGGGCATACAGATGTGTGATACTGTACAAGGCAAATATATTCAAATACAAACCTTTGCATGAATTTTTCAACATGCACACATTTTTGGTATGGCTTATTGGGGAAACTCATTTCGTCCTATGCCCCAGTCTGATGGTCTTTAGTAGAAATCCTAGTAGAGAAACACTGTTCTATCTTCCTCAAAACTCCGTGACTGTAAAATCTCCATGCTAGAGGACAAGGCCCATCATCCTATGCTGTGTTACATGCACATCTGGCAGCAGTGCTCCTGCAGGCAGTGGTGGGCAGCTCTCATCTTCAGTTCACATTAGACAATCATAAGTAAGCTGTGTGTACTGCACGGGGAGACGACATTACTATCTATACACATATACATACACGTACTTGGTAGCTTTTTAAAATCTAAGCATGTTTTAAATTACAGAGAAAATCATGGCTCCCTGTGACTATAGCAAAGTAGCCAAAGTACTGCATTTCGACAGCAAGTTATCAGAGTAAAATTGCATCCCAGGTGCGTGATTCTAGGCAAGTTATCTAAGTGCTTTGCTTCAATTCCCTGTAATGGAGACAAAAATCTCTGATTTACAGGGTTGTGTGATGCCTAAATGAACTAAAATACATGAAAAAGAAACACAAATCAGTGTTTTAATCCCTTTGATCAATTCATCTCAGGAGGTAAATGTAAAATACTAACTCTTAGAATCAGTAGAATTAGACACCAGCTTTTATTCTCAACTAACCAGATTCTTACACAGAGTATGTAAATTCTATGAACTTCAGATTCTGTAAGATGAACAAAAAAACAACACTAACTTTAAGGTTTAACTGAAAAAATAAAAAAATAGCATTAAAGGGTCTATAAACTACAAAGTATACAGATAATTATGTAAGTAAGTACACTAATAACTACATATACCTAGCACAGGATACAGGCCCAATCTAAATCAGTACCACCCTAACTTGGACTCAATATTCTCTGGTAAGTGGTAAAATGGAAAAAAGTAGGCATAGTCAAATGGATCACACTCCTTTAATTCAGCACAGGTGGCGACAGGAGTGATATGGCTGGGTGGAGACAGGAACAGTTCAGTCTAGGCAGTCTGAGAATGCAGCCTGGGGACAGGATCGCCACTTTCGTCTGAGCACTGGCAGAAGTAAGAACTTGCTACTAACTGGGCTGCTATGCTTCTCTAATCTGCAGCTTTAACCCCAATATCGGACTCTGAGTTTTTATTATTAAGAACAATTAGAATTCATGCTACACAGATATAAATGAAATTTCCACAGCTCTGAAGAGCATCCCTGTACCCTAGCTCCTCTTTTCCTCAAGCACATGGCAGTAAGCGTTCATATGGGCCCTCTCATCGAGAGGAGACTTACGTTATGTGTCTCTAGAATGCCAATGAACAGGAATGAAGTGCTAAACCACTGAGTCTTATGTTCAAGAAAATAATCATCATGTGAAAATACTATTTTTAAACTAATGAACAGAAGTTACAATGTTTAGACAATACCTGCAATGCAGCCTCTTCAAGAATTTCAAGATCTTCCTCCAACTCATTACCTGTTATGCAAATTAAAAAGTTTTACTAAAATATACTAACAACCTTTCCAACCCTTTGTATTCACTATTTGTTTTTGTAATCTTGCTATTATAGATTGAAGAGATTTACAGTTCCAGATAAATAAAGTAGAAGACTTTACAATGTATAGTAATTTTTGGCATGAATATAAGCTATAACAGTTACAAATGTAAAGGTGTAGGCATGTTCAACCCACGGTCCAGATGCTGCAAGTGGCTAATACAACTATGAATGTAGTCCAACACAAAATCATAGATACTTACAGCAATATGAAATTATTTTTGTATGTGATATTTTTATGTGTGTGTATAAGTCAATGACATGGTTCTTGAGTGTGAATTTTGTAGATGACAATGTCATGTTTCAACGTTAAAAAGTTGTATAAGTCTGAGAAAGTGACTGTATGAATGTACTTATGTGTGAAGTTCATATATTTATTATATCTTACATTTAAATTATTTCTTTTTTACAAAAACTTAAAATGATTATTTTGAGTAATAAGGTAGCTATATCTCAGATAACAATGATGACTCATCCTAAGGTATTACTTACCTGTGTCCTTTAGCCATTTTCTCTTTTATTGTAAAATAAAAAAGGTTTTATTTATTGATTTTTCTTTGAAAATTATGAAATAGTAATATGGCTCAAGGGAAACAGTCCAGCTGACTAGAAGAAAGCATGGAATAAATATATTCCCATCAATGCGGCTCCCATAGAGAAATCCATTGTCAACAGTTTCATATTGTTATTCTTCTAGAAATTTTACATGCAAATCTTAACTCTATGTGGGTTTGCCAGCATACATAAAGGTGAACACGCATAAACTCATACATAGACGTGATGCTGTCACCAAGAATGTGACCTTTTTCTACAACTTGAGGTTTTTTTCATCTAACATAATATGAAAAACTTTCTTTCTCAGGCCATATAGTTATACTTTCTCTATCATCCCCATTAGCTATCTAACTAGGTTTCAAATGGCAGATTTGGTTGCATCTAGGTTTGGCAATCAAAGGCACTGCTATCTTCATTAAACATGTATTTTTTAACCATTTATGTAAGTATGCAATAAAAAGGTCAAATCAAAAAGTAAAATTTTATCAGCTATTGACAAAATTCTTCCAATGATGGTGCTAATAATTCTCTTCATATAAAAATATTAATACATTAAGAGGACAGTACAAAGTGACTAATATTAAGCAGGACTGAGGAAACTGAGCAAGAAAGGGAAATAAAAAGAATGGCAAAGAAAAGGGTAAAGAAAAGGAGTAAAAGTTAATATAAGATGGAATGAGAAGGTTTTCATGGGCTTTCCAAGTGAAAAAATAAATATGTGCATGTGTGTGCATTTTCATATATGTATATATGGAGTGTATATGTGACAGGTATATGGAATATATACATATACGTGAATTTAAGCATATAAGAAGGTTTTAGGATACCCTTAAGTTTACATTTAAACAAAATCAAGACTGTCAAAATAGCTATTACTCATACATACATGCAGTCACAGAATTTGTATTGAAAGTTTATCTTCGAATGCTCTGTAACAAATGCCTTACTTTTAACTTTTCTTCCGAATCCTTAACAACACCTCTTACTTAGCTAGACTCACCAATAGGAAGTGCCAGATCCTTCTTCATCAGAGCTGCTGCACAGACCCCACCGAGATTGGCTAATTCTTTTTCCAGCTGAATAACTCCCTGGAGAATAGCATAAAATTCACTACTTAAAAAAATGTTCGAACATGGGTTATGAAAACATTGTAAATCAAAGTTAAGCTCTGCAGATGAAACCAGAAAGACTGATGCTTAGTTGGCAACTGAGAAAGAGATTTATTATTACACCCCATGTTGTTACAAGTTTGGGTTTATACATTCACCGTCCAAATCATTTTCCATTCATATTTAGGAAGATTATGACCTTGGCTTTATTTTAGTGTTTGATTTAAACATTTAAGAAAATCTAGAATAAGTTAAGTCATCGTGTGAAGCTATGCTTTGCTATTGACTAAATGCAGAGCTACTTTAGCCTGGGCACACAGTTATGATTCCATGTAAGCTTCCTTACACGGGGCCACACTGCATCCCCATGACGAAGAGTAGTAAAGCGTTTAATACATAATTAACTACACAACACTTTAAATAGAAATCTCTAGCTTGCAAGACATCTTCATTCAAAGGCAGCTTTAGAAGAGCCAATTATTCTTAACAGACTGGAAAGATAGTTTGTTCTTACCTCATCAGGTCCAGGGCTAAATTCATATCCAATTGCAAAACACTTGAAACCATAGAAGGAGGCTTTATCATCTTTCACATAATCTGAAGCAGTTTCCAGTGAAAAAAGGGCTTCATTTCCTTAAAAAACAAAAAGTGTGTGTGTGTGTATGTAAGCAAGAATCAGTCTCCATTAGTAAGGTCAAAATCTGAAAGAACTTGATAAAATTTCATTATTTTATCATATAAAACTCTTCAAAACAGTTACTAAAATGGAAAGAAGACTTTTTGAGGGAGAGTCCTTTATTTACTTGCACAAGCCATGTTAAAAGCAATATTATCAAGAATAGAATCATCCCTATAAACAAATGGTTGCTAATTTCCATTATAATCAAATCCATTTCCTTAAGCCTACCCTTATATAGGCATTTTTCCCCCAAAGATCTATTAAATACTGAGTACCTGGACTAGTCTTCTGTTTTGAATTAAGCAATCTTCTACCCTGCTAACTGGCATTTTCTGATCTCTTAACAAATCAACCAATCCAACAAAAGTGGGTAAGAATCAAAGAAAAACTCTAAATTCATTAAGGCCAGATTATATGAAAGATGACAAAACTTCTTGGTATGGTTTTAAGTCTTTGAAAAACTAGTTATTGTTAACCGGTTAAAATTAAAAAGTTTAAAAGCCTAACTTTCTTTTACAGGAAGACATAAATAACAGAAGTAAGTACGTGCATTCGCATACACTCACACATGCATGCACACTCAGGGACTACATTCTACTTTGGAAAGATAGCAGTTACTGGGACAATAAAAAAACAAATCCACATTTACACTTTTTTTTTTTTTAGTTTGTTACCAACCATACAGAAGACTCGGTGTTCATTTTCCCCCTCAAAATCTTCAAATAATCACTCTTCATAAATTTAGAGCACACTATGCCCTTTGCCCAACAGAGCTTACTTTTCTCAGTTGAAACCAAGACCTATTAAGTCTTTACTAATTTGCTCTGCAAACACTTCCAATGATGCCTCATTAATATACATACATGTATCCATGTTGACTATAGATCAGAAAAGAGAAAATTCACCTGGCAACACTAAAACCATAGTAGGCCATCCAGAGGATCCTGAATATTTCTTTAATTCTATCCATGAATTAAGGTTTTCATGAACAGTTGTCAGTTTTGGTCCATATCCTGAGTTCTGAATAGTTCTGACAGGGATAAGCAGACGGAGGACATCTTCTGACTGTGCAGTGCCACACTGAGGGTCAAATTCGATTGTCATCCATCTAACACATTCTGGGAATGTCACCTGGCAGTAGACAAGATGACATGAATATACATGCACACACCTATATCTGTTTATGTATATGTATGCCTGTATTAAATGAAATGGGAGAATGATACGTCACAAAAAGATGGAGAAATAAAGGAGAAATGAAGTGAAGGAAACAAAACAGACGTCTTATAATTTAGTTTTGGAGTATGCGATTACTTAAATATTAGAAAACAAAAGTCAATTTAAAATCAATTCATAAATCAAATTACATGTATGTACAGAGAGCCTTTTTCTCTAAATGGCTGATTCCAGAGCTGATGTAAGAAATGTAAGCCTAAATACTTGCTCATTCCAGGTAACAAAGATACAAAGAAAATTAGAAGGGAGAATCTGAAGTCTCAGTAAGGTACAGTGAAGAGACTCACATCCAGCCAAGAAATGGGCACAGTTTCTTTAACAATCAAAAGTTGAGGAAACCAAAAGGCAGAGATGGAAGGGGATGAATATATTTACATACAAACAATCCCAAGTACTCATCTTATGTGAATTCAAATTCAAACAAAATCATAAATTATGTGCATTTTATAATAATAAGGAATCGCTAATTTTTAGTGTTATGACACTAGGGTTATCTTAGAGGGTTCTTACATTAGAGAAATACAAAAGAAAATCACATGAATTGTTTTACAATAATCTAAAAGGGAAGGAAGAAAGTAGAAAATAAATGAAATGGTTTGATTAAGAGCTTAAGACTTGAACCAAGGATGAATAAGCAGGCTACTGTACTGCATTGCCTTGTCTACTATGTATCTCCCATTTCTAAACAAGACTGAGCGTTTTACAAGCACAACACATAATTATATTAAAAAAAAACCATGATTTGTTCTCATTTATTTACTAAAAGGACTTGAATACTATAACCTTAAATTTTAAAATATTTCATTTTTATTTTTTATATAATATTCTGAGTAGACTACTTTCGATTTTCAGAGTTCAGATTTGGTACAAAGTGTGATTTATAGGCTAGGGAAACAGCCTACAAATTTGGCTAGTTTGAGGACTCAGTGTAGTTTCCAGGACCTGTGTCAATGTAAAGAAATAAATGCTGGGCACAGCAGTCTAAGCTTTAATCCCTGGGTTGGGCAGGTGAGGGCAAGAAGACCCTTGGGGCTTGTTGGCCAGACAGGCTAGTTCTATTTCAGTGAGAGAGACTGTTTCAAAACAATGAGGATAGTGTTTAAGGAATAACATGAGGTTGTCTGTCTTCTGGCCTCTTTATCCATGAACAAATATGCCCATAGAAACACATGTAAAAATACTATTTACAAATTTTAAGATTTATATTCACAATAATTATAAAGCATAGCAGAGTTTAGCGTTATATATTGTAATATTGTTAGGAAAATATTTATAAACAACTTTTAAAAAAATCTACCAAAGTATAAAATATGTAAGGTAAAAGTTCTGCCTTCCTAGATAGACCAAATACTATTGATCTTTAAATAACAAACAAGCAAAAAAAAAAAAAGGTAACAATAAAATGACTCCTAATGAGTCTCTGTTATACTCATACTCTGAGCCATGTTCAACCATCATCAGAGAAGATTCTTTCTGCAGCAGACAGGAACAAATATAGAGACCCACAGACAGGCAGGAACAAATACAGAGACCCACAGCCAGGTATCATGTAGAGAGAACAGGTAGGAGGGAGGGAGGGAGAGAAGAAGGGAGGAAGGGAGGGGGAGACAGGGGGAGGGAGGGACAGGGAGACAGAGAGAAAGTTTGAAACACAGCTCTAAATGGGAAGTCTCCATCAAATCCATCCCTAGACCTAAGGAAACTGTGGAAGAGGAGGTGGAAACGGTGTAGGAGCCAGAAGGGATGAGGACACCAGGAGAACAAGACCATCTAAACAGACTGAGCAAAGTACATATGATCCACAGACACTTAAACAGCAACAGGGCTAACACAGGTCTATACCAAGCCCTCTCTGTGGTGAGATATTATGTATGACTTAATAAAGCTTGCCTGAGGGTTCAGAAAGCAAAGCCAGCCACAAGACATAGAGGCCAGGCAGTGGTGGCATATACCTTTAGTACCAGGACTCAGGAGACAGAGGCAGACGGAGCTCTGTGAGTTCAAGGCCACCCTGGGCTACACAGGAGGGAATCAGTCCAAAACAGTAACAGAGCTCACGCCTTGAATCCTAGCACTTGGGATCCCATGTCTTCCATACCAGCACTAGGGAGGCGGAGACAGCAGTGCAGAGAGAGGAGTGTCAGGAGGGGACAGGAGCTGGAAGCACTTGCCTCCAAGGATTCATGGAGAGCACTGCCCTCTGAGGACAGGATCTCCACTGTGGTCTGAGGCAGAGGTCAGAGCGAGTGTCTGGCTGCTTTACTTTTCTCATCTTCAGCTTGAACTCCAATCTCTCTCTCTCGGTGTCTATTATTTGTGCTCTACCTCTGAGTATATTTTATAGCTTTTGGTTTAGTATTTTTATAAAGTGTATATAAATGAGTGGATCTCTGATTCTTGTGCCTTCTCTTAGGGCTCTTTCTGTTAGGTTGCCTGGTCCAACTTTTGATGCTATAGTTTTTGCTTCATCTTACTATATTATTTTGTCATGTTGGGTTGTTATCTCCTAGAACCCTGTCCTTTTCTAATGAGAGACAGAAAATGAGTGGATCCTGAGAGGAGAAGAACTAGGGAGGCATCGAGGGAGGGGAAACTGTAATCAGGATAATCAGGATATATTGTATGAGAAAAGGATGTATCTTTAATAAAGGAGAAATTCTGTCTTCAGGTCTTCTCTAGCCCAACAGTTCCTAGTCATCTGTGGGTTCTTTATACTTAAGTACTACACAAGAAGTGACATTTCTGAACACACACAAAATGCTCCTTCAGATGTCAACAGAAAAATCTCAGAACAAGGTTCAGATCTGAGTCTTGCTGAGGATGGTCCCCACCTTGTAGTGCATCACACAGGCAGGCTTGTACGGGTGCTCACTCTCGATGACAGCATAGTGATTAGAAGTGGTACAAGCCGACAGGCCTTGCTCCGGTTGGTTTCCTGTGGTGCTATCAGTTGACTGATTGGGATTGAACGCAGGGGGTGCATACTTCTGATTCAAAATGGCAACTGAGGGAAGCAATTGCTGGACAAGGCCAAAAACTTCCACAGCAACCTAGTAGATATTAAAAACACACATGATTAAATAAATGTGAAATTCATTTTACTAAGGAACTATTCTAATTGTTAGTAACTCTTATCAGTAACAATTTCTAGAGTTTCTATAAAGTATTTTCAAATAAAAGTGTTTTTAATGGGTAAAGAATTTTATCTTAGATATTATGTCAAATTGATCTGTATTTTAAAACCTTTGCTTTTCTGTAGCCTATAGTAAATAGCTTTTCTTGATATTTAATTATGCCAAGGACTGGCTAGTTTATGACTTTCCTCATGTCTTACCTCACTACTGTAAATGTTCCTTTGCTACTGTTATTTTTTACTCAAGGTGGAGAACTGGCATCAAACTCACAAATTTTGAAGTAAGCAGGTAACTTAATCTTTCTTTATATGTCATATTTATAAAATACATCTTCAAGTGTGAAATCAATATATAAATACACTAAGTCAATAAGCAATGCCAGGAATAAAGAGACTTAACTAATAACTTCTACAACCCTAGTGCCTCAATGCTTAATACATCTTTAAAGGGAAGCTACTCAAAGTAAGATTCAAAGTCATAGAATTTAGTTACACACCTTGGGAATAGCAGCAGCTACTGGTCCTATGTAGGCTATAATAAGGGGAAGCAGCATGGAAAACAGACTGGAAGAGCTAAGCAGTTCTGGAATGTCATCAGCTAAAAAAAGCATTAAAACTATAGTTAGAAAGTTGTTTTTTTATACTGTATACACACTAAACTAACCTATACCATGTTATCCTCAGAAAGGTATGGTTGACATTAACTACATGTTTATAAAGGACAGGTTCAATTTACTGTAAGGGATTTATTAGTATGTGTTATCTCAATCCTTATAATTGATAATTCTTACTTTTCAGAAGGGAAAACCAAAGCACAGAGTATTTGTAAATCTTATAGCAAATTCCTAATGTGTTCTATATACATATGCCTGTAAAATGCTAGAGCCAGGAGTAGAACCTAGGGCAATGGTTTTAAACACAGCTATATGAGTGACACTAGGCAAATTATTTAATCTGAAAAGCAAGGTAACAACAATGTTTCTTCCCTGATTGCTGCTAGGACTAAATAAGTCAACACGTATATAAAACACTTAGGATAATTTCTGTACATATAAACATTCCAAAAAAGCATTTGTTACCACTGAGCTATTGTACCTTCTATTTTCCTATGAAGAACTTTGCTGATAGCCATTTTAGTCATTTTTCCATTTCCTTAAAAGATAGGCTAAACTAGATATTTACATTTAGGATAATTATTCTGCCAAATATGGGTTTCTAGACCTGTTGCACAAAATAAATGAAATATCTTCAGAAAATAAGTTTTGAATCTAGCATAAACCTCTGGGATGGACCAAATTTTAGGGGAAAGGATAACACTGAATATTTGACATGAATAATTCTCCTGACAGTACAGAGGATGCCCAGAAACCAAGAGGTAGGCAACAGGAGAAAGGCAGCAATGAGATTATTTGGACATTTCCATCCGAGACAAACTGCATGAGTGGTCGCACTATGGCAGCTTGAGCTAGGTACTAAAAGAACAGAGAAAGAATAATACCACCGGAGTTTCTGCTGAAGGAATAGTCCCAGGAGAGGGATAGGGTTATCCAGGCATTTGGGTGAATGGTGACACTTAACACAAAGAAAAAAAATTCACTACTAACTAGGAATAAAGAAAAAAAATTGACTAGATGGGATGTTTCTCTTATTGTAAACTAAATAAAAGCAAACAGTGATTTATTTAGATCACTCTTCAAAAAAATCTTCCTCTAAGTATGAAGTGAGTGAATGATCCAAGATCAATATATGTATAGATGAGTAAGGAACTAAACACTTTGGGATTCTACAAGCTGTCTTCCCTTCATTAACTATGCACAGAGGGTAAACTAAAGATTCTAAACTATGGTATTAAAGAAAGGAAAAAGATAGTCTTACCATCCACAGCAAGAGCTCTGTGCAACAGATCCTTAGCAGCTCGAACAACAGTGCTTACCACAGAGAGAGCTCTGCTACAGTTTTTGTCTTCTTCATTGGCTTTACTAAGAAGTTGGGATTGTAAATCTCCATCAAATTCACTCCTGTGACACAAATAAGAATGAAAATAGCTTGCATTGGTCATTTTAGGAATTATATTCAGATCAGAGCTTTCAGGAAACAAAGTAAAAACAACAGTTAAGACACATATATGTAATTATGTTAATTTAGGAATTGATAAAAGCTTTGAACAAAAACAAAGCAGAGAGTATAAAGTAAAGGGTATTATTTTATATTAGATTAAGTTGTTCTTTGATGAACTAATATTTAACAAAGACCTGAATTGTGTTTAAAAAATAAATTATAAAAAGCCCCACGAAAAATGTGAGACAACAGTATCAGGAGAAAGAGAACCAGGTGCTGAATTCAAGGAAGAAAACGCAGACAAGTGCTGGTACAATGGAGAAGAAAGTAAGATCTGAAGGGATGGAAAACCAGGGCAGACACTGCGGAGAGAGGCCACAGCAGCCGATTCCCATTCCATCAAAAAAGAGGAGTCAAGAGGCAATTACAGTGGGTGTGTTCTTCATTTTTATCACACAACGTGTTGTACTGTGGAGAGCTGACTGTAAGGGAACAGGGAAAGAAGAGATTCATAGAGAGGCTATGATTAAAGGGGTTGGTGATCAGCAGTCTTATCACAGGAATGATAGACAAAGTCAGATGTAGAGCATTTCACAAATACGTCTGGCTGTCAGGAATTATCAAGCAAGATGCAGAGTGAAAGAGAAAGACATCTGGAATGATCAGGTGTTTGGTGACAAGTGTGACTACTGTGGACACATTAAACCCACAACATCTATCAGCCAACCACAGAAAGCGTCTTCAAGGAGGATATTTGGTGTGGACTTAAGAGAGTGTCAACTGGAGTCCATCTTCCTTTGAACAAATCTCCTTATCATAAGTCATTACAAACGTGATTTGAGAAAGATGTTTAACCTCTCAATACCTCAATTCCCTCTTCTATTAAAAGGGATAGGAAGAGTGCCTACTGTGTGACTAGCCTAGGCAACTACAGGTAGAACCAGATTTGCAACATTAGTTATTAGCGATACAAACTTAGGTTGAGGACAAAAGTAATGGCACTAAAACTATAGGTATGTTATTATACAAAATAATGAGACACAATGAGTTATGTGTATTTAGTTTTTTTTCTTTTTTTGCCCAAAGATTATAGTTTTCTATTTTCCACTATTTACCAACTAAATAGTTTGCTAAAATACTATAAGAAAACCCCCACTATTGTATCATATAGAGTCCCAGAGGCCAACCTGAGCAGGTAAAATATCTTTAAATATAAAATCATTCTTTTTATGCCAGAACCAAGGTAATGGCAGCCACCACCTGGACTTAGGTTAAATAATTAAGAAAAGAAATGAGTAAATTCTACTTGTATTTTAAAGCACTATCATGAAATTAAAACATAACATCAACCACATATATCTCAGTACAAAAAAAAGGTTTCAATGATATTAAAAGAATAACAAAAGTTTAAAAGCATTCACCTTTGCCATGCGGTGGTGGCGCACACCTTTAATCCCAGTACTCGGGAGGCAAAGGCAGGCGGATCTCTGTGAGTTAGAGGCCAGGCTGGACTGACAGCCTCCAAAACAATACAGAGAAACCCTGTCTCGTAAAACCAAAAAAAAAAAAAAAAAAAAAAAAAGCATTCACCTTTATAGTTAATACTGAATTTACATTTTTAAATGAAGAATCTTCACAGGAATTTGACTAAGTATGTGCTAAGAAGATAAATTGTTTATAATTGTTTATTTTAGTTACATTATCAGCTTGGCATGTTTTCTACAATAGTAAATGTTATACACCATGTTAGCACATTTCATTTCTAATTATGAGTATACCTACCTATAGTACAGAATCTGTGGGATTTGTCCTCTGGTTTGGTTTGTGCCATTACTGCTCAAGCTGCATGTGCTGAAGGTAAAAGTCACTCCATCCGGGCACTGAACAGTGGTCATTCCTCCATCTCCATTGGCTGTACGACTTCCATAGTTCCTCAAGCGCACAGCATACTTAACATTTTCCTTCAGGATGAAGATATAAAGCAATGTTACATTTGTTCATAATATAAGGAGAGAATATAGAAAGAAATCTAGCAGTAAACTACTCAAACATACTGAAACTTTGTAGTCATTATAAATAATTTCACCAAATGAGTTAATGAATCTAATAGCTAATATTTGCTGATTATGTTTTGAGTAACAGAATCTACCCTAAATACTTTATATGATCTAACTGAATTAATTCAAGTGTCCTCAGTATCTCAGTATTACCCGACAAAAGAAGAATTTGAGGTCGAGTTGTTAAACAACTTGCACAAAGTACCATAGCTAGTAAGCAATGCGACTAGCAGATTACCATCAACAAATACGGGAGGTTCCCATGCTTAATTACAAACATAAAATACTAGTCAACGTTGTGGTCTGAAAAAAAAATGGCTCCATTAGGGAGTGGCACCATTAGAAGGTATGGCTTTGCTGGAGTAGGTATGGTCTTGGTTGTCAAAGTGTGGGGTAGGTTTTGAGGTTCCTATGCTCAAGCTCTCTCTGCCCAGTGGCATAGTTTATTCCTGTTGCACGCAGATCAAGATGTAGAACCCTCAGCTCCTTCTGCAGCCCCATGTTGTCTGCACTTCACCATGCTTCCGCCATGATGATAATGCACTAACCCTCTGAAACTGTGAGCCAGCTCAAGTAAATGTCTTCCTTTATAAGAATTGCCTTGATCATGGTGTCTCTTCACAGCAAGAGAGCACTGACTGAGATAGTAATGAGTACTACTATAATTTTTTTCTGTGAGTTTCAATTCTTAAAATAACCCTTGACTATGTAATTTTGGATCTATTACATTTTTATTTGGGGAGAAATTTACTCAAGAGACAAAAATATGCACACATAGGGAAAAATCCATGAATATGGCATATAGGAAAACAGAGCTACAGATACTCATGCTTTATGACTCAGGTTGCTTTTACATATCTGCGCTGGACAGTTTTATGTCAACTGTACATAAGTTGAGAGCAGGTGGAACCTTACTTGAGAAAATGCCTCCAGAAGATTAGGCTGTAAGCAGGCCTGTAGGGCATTTTCTTAGTGACTGATGTAGATGGGACTAGCCTGCTCTGGTGGACCTGGATTCTATAAAAAAGCAGGCTAAGCAAGGTAGCAAGCAGTACTACTCCATGGTCTCTACAATCAGGTCCTGCCTCCAGGTTCCTGCCCTGTTTGAGTTCCTGTCTTGACTTCCTTCAGTGGTGGACTACAATTTGGAAACGTAAGCCAATTAAACCCTTTCCTCCCCCAGTCACCATCATGGTGTTTATCACAGCAGTAGAAACCCTGACTAAGACAATATATAAGCTGCTCTTTTATTAAGATCGTGTGTGTGTGTGTGTGTGTGTGTGTGTGTGTGTGTGTGTGTGTGTGTGTGTGTGGTGGACAGATCACATAGGATCCCTTGGAGCTGGAGTTACAGGTCATAAATAAACCTCCTGATGTGGGTACTGGGAACAGAACTCCAGTCCTCTACAAGAGTAAGTGCTCCTAACCACTGATGTAGTGCTCCAGTCATCAAAGCTGGGTGAAGTCTCTGATGAGTCTACTTTACACTTTAAAGGATCCCCTGTGCTCTTAACTGCTCTGCTAGTTATATGGCACCACTCATACCAACTCTTAAGACCACATTTTTTCTTTGTAGCATTTTTGGTGCAATGTACATTGGAAAGATGAAGACTAATACCTAAACAGTTTCAATACTATGCTACACATGGAGGCACATTCTCTGCTGTCATTATTTAGTCAGGATGACACTACAGTAAGGATGTTAAACTGCCTCACCAAAAGAAGTGACTCAAAGTACTAAAGTGATACTTTGCCAGATTTAATAAATCTCACATGGGAGAATGAATACACATACCTAATCATTCAGCCATCTCTCCAGTCCATTTTTCATCATTTTTATCTATATAACATTACCTCTTTGTTAAAAAAAAGAAACATGTGTTTGAAATTACCTTTAAAGGAACAACTTTGTCAAGTCTGATTTCTGCTATGTCACTGGGTGAATCGTCAGTTGTATAAGTTCCTTTAACTAATTCTAGAGATGTCCATCTGTGAGAATGAGTTGAATCTCCTGCATGTTCACTCTAATGAATATACAAAAACAAAATTCACAAGATGCTTAACTTTATTGCAGGAACAATTCTGATTATAACCCATTATTGTCTTTAGGCAGTTTATTGCCTTGAATATAAAGTTAGTCATGGGTTGGTGAAGATGGTTCAGCAGGTAAACAAACTTGTCCCCAAGCGCGACAAGCTGAGTTTGATCTCTGAGATCTCCCACATGGTGGGGAGAACTGGCTTCACAAGATGCCCTCTGGTCTTCGCATAAGCACCTCAGCATATGGATGCATGTGTGCACACAAACTCACATGCACAAATAAATGTATTAAAACACTGAAATTAGTTATTAGCACTTCTTTATACATTCTAAAGAAAGATTTTGCTATTCTAAGCCATTCACTTTTATCTTGTTTCCTGAAGAGATTAAAACATAAATTGACTAGTATTCTCTTAGGCCTTGGAAGTGTTTGAGTATCTTCATGGAGAGACTGCACATAGAGCCTAATGAAGTAGATGTTTGATGGGAGATGCCATTCTGTAAATCTGTCTCTTATTGGTTGTTGACTAAAGCACTGTTGGTCAATAGGGAAGCAAGATAGGTGGGACTAGGAGTTCAGGAGGACTCTGGGTAGGAGAAACACAGGGAGTCACGATGTAGCCTCCAGAGGAGTAAAAGTTCCGGACCCTTTCTCCGGTAAGAGAAATACTAAGATTAACAATTATGGGGTAAATACTTAAGTCAGACCTAGCCAGTAAGAAACAAGCAAGGCCAACAGCTTCATAATTAATACAGCATCTTGTGTGTTATTTGGGGACTACAACATGGCAGAGCCCAGGTGACTGGTGGGGAAAAACTGGCAAGGAAAACGCTTCTCTCTACAGATGTTAATTGAGATTACTTGCTTTAAAGAATCAGTTAAACAGACGCTATTTACAAGAAAATTGTTCTCATGTTTTCTGTCTCATATCAAAGAAAATTTGCAAAAAATCAAGCACTTAAAATAATTTTGATATTGGAGAAAAACACTAGCTAGTAAGAATTTTCCATTAACATTTCAATAAAATTGTTTAACCTTTGATAGAGGAAACAGTGTCCACTTAAACATAAACATGTTCTAGAATCATGAATAATGATAATAGCAGCAAAAAAATACACAAGACTTGGAATAAAAAAGCTTAGTTATGCACTTCCTAGTTTTCAGTTCTACTTAAAATCTCTCCATTTCTGAAACTGCAAAAGATAAAAGTAAAGTAAGGTAGAAGTGTTCCAAGATGCCCCCAAACAACTATGTAAGGTAAGCTTTTGGTTCAGATTCCACGTTGTCCATGAATAGACAATCTGTTAGACTCTGAAGGTTTGAGGCCACCATGTCTTGATAATGGTAAATGCTTCAGGAGTGATACTTACGTCATCAACCAAAACCTCTAATTCGTACTCGTGTATACCACCTCCTCCATAGACAGAGAAACCAACCACAACAATTCCAGGTTTGTCTACTGCAAAACAGATTGCATCGGGGGATCCATTTCCAGTGTTCCAACTCCTTCCCTGACTTGTTTTTGTGAATCGGTTAGCACTGGCTTTTACAGAGTGAAGAGAATTAAGTCCATCAACCTGTGAACAACAATTCCATCAGTAGCTGACAACCTGAGTAAACTAGAAACAACTGAAGCGAAGTATCTAATAGATACAAATTAGACATGAAACATTCATTTGAATGGTATCTTTCATACTATGACAGGATTTTCAAAATTAAGCCACAATCTGTTTGGGGGCAAAACAAAATAAACCAAAACCAAAACCAAAAGCATCAAAATCAGTAAAGCACTCAAATGAGTCATAAAAATGGCTGTGAAAGGCAGTGGAAAGAGAAAAATAATATTATTCTGCACAAAATGTAAGGCACCTATCAATGTTTCAAGGTGACCGTATCAAACACTTAACATGTGATACTTCTTGAATTTTTTACAATGGCTACAGAACAAGATGAATGCTTGCTATCACTGAACTATGCACAAGAATTGTTACAATGCTGAAGTTTAGTTTATGCATATCTTAGCACAATTACAAGAACTATGGTGGAGATGAGACTGAGTTTTCATGTGCTTGTATACCTAACAGGGCAAATTGCACCTTCTGCTCTTTAAGCACCATGCCTTTGTTATTACCAGCCTTACTCAGAACATTACTCCTCACTTAGCAATGGAACAACTGGAGCAAGCCCATGCAGTTGTGTAATGTGGCAGATGATATATACTTTAGCACACTCTGATAACCTGGGTATATCAACAGGACGCAGTTAAAAGATGGCATTGGACAGGGGGATTGCTTTGTCATAGTATTTGTACTATGAACACAGAGACCTGTGCTAAGATCCCCAGTACCCTTTTAAAAGCTGGAATTGTAGCACATTTGTAACCCCAGTAGTAGGGTCAGATGTGTAGATGATAACCTGGGGCTCTCTGACCAAACCGTCTAGCCAGTAGATGATTCTCCCATTCAGTTTGAGATTGTAATAAATGGTCAATAAGGACAGAGAAAGAGGCCTAACATCAGTCTGTGGCTTCTCCACACATACACACATAGCAAGGTATACCTGTATGTATACATGCATACACATCACATTCGTGCACATTTTCCACACACGCACACGCAGTTTTAAAAAGTAAAGATAAAATGAGTAGAGCATAGAACAGGAAGGCAAAAATTACTGCTTTACTTTTTATGTATGTATGTGCTGTTCATGAGCACACACAAAAGGCAGAGGAAAGACGGTTCCTTACCTCAGACCCCAGGGCTGACGCCGTCAGTTCACTGACAATGCTGGCCAGTAATCCACAGGTGTTAGAGACCAAGTGTGAAGAGAAGAGCTCATTTTCTCTCCGAAGGCTGTTTCTAACCGGAAGCACAACAATGACCAGCATCTTCTCCAGAACTTCCCGGAAGCTTGTCATCCCCGAGATGTTCTCTTCACTCTGTGACACACACGAAGAGAGAGGGAACAGCATTGCCTTACTTTGCCTCACCGGAGTTCTCAGGTGTAAAATTCTTTCCATAAGATAACCTCAAGTTCTAGACCTGAATTATTGCTTCTTACCCATAATTTGCATGATATGTTTTTATTAGCTTTGTGATGTTTTCACATGTTTTCTTATTTTAACTACATGGCAGTTTATAAACTATCTCTACATGCTAGGCAGACAATTACTCATCCTTTTAAAAACTCTTTTTCTATAAGATAGGATTTCAGTAGAACTTGAGTCTACAAAAACAATCACAGTTACTCCTTTTACAACTACTACTGTATTTAATTTCTGAAAGAAAACAAAACCCCAAACTCTGCCAGTAGAAATTACAGGATAAGAAATTATATTTTCATTAAAATCCAAACTCCATAAATATTTTTCAGAAAATACTGAAAGCACTATAAGTCAGCCGATAGGTAACAGAAGCTTCTGTCATTTATTACACGCTCATGTGCTGTAACCCAGTGTGAGGAAGTCACAGTATTCAACCACTACTTCAGTTTTACCAAGGACTGGAGAATCAGACACTTGCTATCTAGTTTCAATTCTTTCATCAAGCTTCAGCTTTCCAAAATCGGGGGTATTGTTTGCTATGACTCAATTTTCAAAAGCACAGTCTTAGTCCCTGGATAAGTTCTTTCATAATAATTATATTCCTTACTGCTTTATATATAAAAATATTCATGAAACCATACAGTCTGTGTGACGAGCGGCCAAGAAGCTAAGTCATTTTCTTCTCAAATCAAATATGTAAGTGAACAATCCATTTAGTAATTACATAAATTTTCAGTTAAAGCAAACATCAGCATGACTCACTATCAATTTCCCTCTTAAAGTACAGTCTTAATTCTATATACAAAAGTGATTCAAAGACTTTTCATATTTTAGTCTATTGATATCTGAATACTAATATTATGAATAATTTCCAACGTAATAATTTTTGGAATTAAAATAATCCATTTTTTACTTTACTAAAACTCAAATGACTGTATCCCTTCCGTCTTCCTATTCTGCAGGAGCTCAATCACTGCACCTCATACCTTTAGGAAACGTCTACAGGAGAATGCGAGCAGATGCCTGCTTACTTTCTAACTAGCAACTGTCAAGAGTGACACGAGAAGCTGCTCCAAGGAGTCTGTCAGTGTGACACGTTAGAGAGCAACATGTCGAATGCTAGGGGGCTGTAGCTTTCTAACTAGTTCTAGCCAGTTTTAACAATTCCATATATTTAATTTGGCTTTAGAAAATTTGGCATCAGAGATAATGGTATTTGCCAATAGTCCCAGTACGTGGGAAGCTAAGGCAGAATGATCAAGCTTCAGCTAGCGTAGATTATAGCAGGACAAGGAGAATTCAATACTTTAAAAAAATGTACTGGGCCAATAATCATGACCACAAATGAAAAGCTAGCCAAAGACAAATGGTTAAAATACTTAAATAATTTCTCTGTTCTTTTTGGACTTTCTAATGGTATTTTTCCCGTGGAAACTATAATGTTACCTTTAGGTGTATTACTCCAGATTTCACACTTTAGCATAATTGTGAAATGGGACTTTTTTTCCATTTATAAATTCTTTATATAAAATATAACTGAAAGCTACTGAGCTTCCAAACGAATACTTAATTATTTGAAATGTTCTAAATATATGTATGTATGAGCATGGCTGACCATTCTATGGCAAAATGTTAAAAGGTATAATGTCCAGGAGACAAAGACAGGGACAATGGGATAATCACATTTTAACTAAGAATACATAAAAATTTGAATTTAAAAAGGCAACGAATGAATATATATTAATTGTGGTATATTTTCAAGGACTTTAGTTTAAGCACATAATTAATTATTGGGAAAATGGGATAATCACATTTTAATTAAGAATATATAAAAATTTGAATTTAAAAAGGCAACGAATGAATATATATTAATTGTGGTATATTTTCAAGGACTTTAGTTTAAGCACATAATTAATTATTGGGAAAATGGGATAATCACATTTTAATTAAGAATATATAAAAATTTGAATTTAAAAAGGCAACGAATGAATATACATATTAATTGTGGTATATTTTCAAGGACTTTAGTTTAAGCACATAACTATTACTCACAACGTTAGCATTAAAATATAAAATTCTAAAAGTAATTCCTAAAGAAAACAGTAGAATATCCCTAAGTTCATCACCCATGTTGCTTTATCTCAGTATTTTCTTACAATAAGTAGCTTTTTGCCTAGACATTTTACAGTCACCAATATTTATATACACTTTTAATTTTTAAACATTCCAAATATAAATATACCATTTGAATGGCTGAATGAAGTTCTATCAAGTTAATAAACCCAATTCAGTTTTTCACTTAGTAATGAGCATTCAAGGGTCTAATTGAGGTTTCTAAACTTTCTTTTTAGCAAGTAAATGCACAGCTTTCATTTTTCCAATTATTCTTCCTATTCCCTGTGAAAACACTGACAACATGAAGTAGTAAAATGATAATTTGTCATCTAAAAATATCTGGTAGTTTGCAGACACTCAATTCAACGACTGTGTTTGTTTTTGACCCACTTCAACTACAACCTAGTTAAAATTACAGCAAATAAGCATACAATAATTTCTAAAAAGCTGAAAGAGATATTCAGACTAATTTAAATTGTAAAAGCCCATCTATAAGATTAATATATTTCTTCATAATCTCAGAGCATAGAAACTTGTAAGAAAAAATTTAACTTTTTCTATTTTTCTAGAAACAATTTGCTATCTCAATATTTCTTTCCCTGGCATTCATTAATAACTACCAGTAAGGCTGAGGTTTTCTGATGCTGGCCCTTATAACATTTTAAATATCTACAGGCATCCTATAAAAATGTCTTTAATTTTTTTCTAGAGGGCTTTCTAACAATGTAAAAGCCGTTACTAAAAAATATTTCTTATGTCTTTTGTTTTACAATGTTTAGCATGCTAGAAAATTTTTAATTGAACCCATTTTCATAATATTTTTTGTATACTTTATACATTTATTTATTGTGGGGGGTGTGTGTATGTGTGTGTGTGTGTGCGCGCGCGCACACCTCACACATGTGGTTGTCAAAGGACAACATCTGAGTGTAGGCTCTCCTTCTACCATGTAGGTTGGTGGATGGTGGATCAAACTTAAGTTGTTGTGCTTGGTGGCAAACACCCTTATGTGATGAGGCATTTTGCCAAACATACGTTAGAGTAGAAAAGATTGCTTACATTATCTGTAATTTAATTTCATATGATACAGCAATAAATTATTATGTAGGTAAATACTCTATACTCACATTTTAGAAGTGAGTTGTCATGTAAAATAAAACTGCTTACTGTAGTGGTCTGAATAAAAATGGTTCCCATAGGTTCATATGTCTGAATGCTTGGTTCCTAGTCAGTGGAATGACTGGAAATTAGGAGACGTAGCCTTGGAGGAGGTGTCACTAGTGGTGGGCCTGGAAGTTTAAAATTGCATGCTATACCCAGTCTCTCTCTGCCTTCTGTCAGTGGATCAAGATATAAGAGGCTATGTCCCGTGCCACTCCTGCCTGTCACCACACTCCCTACCGTGACGATCACTGACTAATCCTCTGAAACTATAAACAATCCCCAGTGCTGCTTCTATAAGTTGCCTTGGTTACGGTGTTTCGTCATGGCAATAAGATAGTAGCTACACTAGCCAGATGTGCTGGTGCACGCCATTAATCCCGGTACTCAGGAGTTAGAGGCAGGCGGATCTCTGTGAGTTCAAGGCCAGTCTGGTTTACAGAGCTGAAAATAAAAATAAGCAAACAAAGTCGTAACTAAGATATTTATCTTTTAGTTAACAGGAGAATTAGAGCATAGCTCTTACCATGAAACAGATGGTCATTTGTCAATCATTTGGCAGACATAATTATCAATACGGAAGATGAGGCACCAGCCCATGCATGTCGCCACTTACTGCTGTTTACTTCTCCGATCTAAGACACTTCTGGAAGGACATACCTGGCTGAGCTTTTCCATGTGTCCCACCAAAAGCGGGAAACGATGAGCTAGTGTGGAGTCATTCTCTGTGCTGACTTGCTTGACAATTGACCGCAGCAACACTTCTCCATCATACGCGATAGGGAAGATAGATGTCAGCTTAACAGAAGTGTGGCACAGAGCTGACATGACAGCTGCAAGGAGCCGGCTGCTGGACGTCTTAAAGTTTGCTTCTTGGATGTCCTTTAAGAACAAAAAGAACCCTCAAATGCTGCACCGATGCAAACCAAGTTTCTGCAAATACACCAAAATTATCTGCTACTCAGTCGTTTAAGTGGCTTTATTGCAGGGTAACACCGCATCAGTACATTAAAGCATAATTAAATTATTATCTAGTGATAATGGGGAGGGGTGGATGCAAGAGAAGCTTACTTCCAGTGTGTTTATACGTGTGTATTTCTTTACAGTCATTAGTTCTATCTAGCATCATTTTCAGTGTGACACGTTAAAGGACTCATTAGAATCTATCAAACACACTTACTCTACAAGTACCGAAACTAGTTTTGACTAAATTGAATAATACAAATTGTACTTTTGTAATACCATTTTACTAAGGTCACAAAATTATGTTATCATACCCTAGTTTATGCATGTATATATGCAGACACAAGCACATACAATAAAAATAAAAGTAAAATTGTACAACATGAGTACTGTAGTCTCCAATTATCAATGTCAATATCTCTTTCTGCCCTATGGCTCTGTAAAGCATTTGTGCCAAGGGCTTTAAAATTCTGTGATTTGGTGTCTTCATGAGTAAATGAATGATGTTAGCATATCCTTCACTCATTTCTCTCTGTCCATTCTTACATCTGTGGAGACCCCGAGGGCCATTTGTTTTCACACAGTCACTATACTGTCCCCGCCCCCACTCTCAAATAACTTCACCTACAGACTGAAAGAAAAAGTCAGCAGTTACATAAACATGCCTTTCAATTTTATAACAAAGAGATGATACAAGAGAATGAAACAAATTTTTACATTTTAGCTATACAAATGACACACACCAATCTTTGTCCTAACTGACAAAGTTGAGCATTTAAGGTAATTTTCTTACTGAGTATTTACGCAATATATTTCATTTTCAACCAACATATTATGAGCTTAAACTACCTGATCCAAACAGTTGAGCAGGTCACAAAGGCAAGCCCACTGGAGCGCAGGTGTCGGGTAGAAGGACAGAAAGCAGGCGGTGAAGGTGTTGTGGCACTCCTGAAGGACCGCCTCCAGGAGGCTCAGGGGCTGGCTCAGGTAGCCCTGAGGGTCGTTATCCAGCTTCACCATGCAATGGTCAACTCCTTCCGACAAAATTTTTCTTAACAAAGTTCTTGTCTTTCCAATACACTCTGCTAACTTGGTAGTTTCTTCTACAACTGCTTTTCCTGTAGCTTTGAGAAAATAAAAGTGTTAATAAACCAAGGTATGGACATGATAATAATAATTCAGCCATTTATTGTATAAGTAAAAAAAAAATCAGACTTTGGTATTATAATCCAGAAATGAAAATGCTTAGTTTATTTGGGCTACAAAATAATTTTTTAAAAATCTACATAGAAAAAATTACTGTCATTAGTATTTAAGTCTAAATTTGTGATTGAATTTTTTTTCTATTTGATAAATATAGTTTAAAAGTAACATTTTTTCCTCCCTTAATTTTAGAAGCAACTTAATATCTTGGGATCTTAAACACTTAGCTATCTTTACATTAATTCTCTTAATCTCGGAAATGACTTGTTTCCATTATTTAATTTACCATACCTGACACTGGGTATATCTCACAGGTATAGACTCTCAGTAACCGCAGACAACAGGTCCCCACAAAGCGCAGTCTCTCTAAATCCAGAAGTGTGGCTGTGAACTGGAACCCTTTCAATCCTCTAAGTTCTTCAACTCCTAAGACTAAGGTGGTCCAGCTCCAGTGAAGAATACTTAGCAATGACTCAAAACATTCCTAATCCACAATATGAAAAAACACACAGATCAGTTAAAATGAGTCAGTTTGAATATAAGAGAGCAATAGTGGCTTGAGACTTCACAACTATCTTGAACTTTTGCTGAGTTTGATAGGTGAAATGAAACACGTGTACATTTTACATTTTCATTTTACCAGCATAGCTAATTTATCTTATAAACATGGAGAGAAGAAGGAAATAACTCATGGTTTACATGTTTCTTTGACATTATGTCAGTACAGTATAACAACTTAAAGTAGTGTTAAAGTGTTATAAATCAGTGATACCTACACCTCTATTTAAATAACTTGCATATTATGATGTACAATAAAAACTATAACCAGTTCTTAAAAGCCTGACTTGAACTGAAAAACTCATGCATGGCTTAGGGCTGGTGTTGCCTGCCGACTTACATCGTCTGAAGACTGTCACACTTACAGGACAGCAAACACTAAATATCTCAGAGTGGAGCACTTGGCTCCTTAGTCCTCACCAAGGCCCAGATGACTGCTGGTATAATATAATAAATGAAATTTAAAATAAATGACTGAATACATTTGTTATATAAACAATTTCAATAACCTAATGACCATAAGGTCATTTATAGGTACATATAAAAATTTTTAGAAAGAGCAAAAACAGTCCTGATCTTAATAAAAAGATACCAAATCACTGTTTAGAAGGGTGAGTGTCCAGTTAAAAAAGTTACAAGATATTTCAGACATAGAAAACCCAATTCTGCTGAGCATGGTAAAATCATAGGCAACATCTTTATTTTTCCACTGTTTAAAGTACACATTATGTTTGCCTAAAATACAGACACCACAATAAAAGCAAATCTGAGTTCATAAAACTGTGCTGAGAGAGTCTTAGAATGAAAATTCAGCAATGGGTAGGTAGCGAAGCTGCAACGGTTACAAATGGCTTACCACTGAGACAGTTCGTGCAAACGATCTCTTTAGTATGTGGACAGGCTCACTAGTCTGCTGCTTGCCTTTGGAAGCGCTGCCGTCACTGGTTGGGAGTCTGGGGGTAGAAGACAGACAGTATGCTAAATTCAAGTAAGTGTCCAGTGACACATTTTGATGTACATTTTTCAGTATCAGTGAAGTGCTTAGCTACAAATGGAATATCCACATTGTTCCACTATCCCCAATCTCAAGGACCATCGTAGAAGAGGGAACAGAAAGGCTTTAAGACCCAGAGGTTGGGGTGGACAGGAGCTAACAGGAATGCCATAGTCATGAATGCAGAGCAGCTCCTGTTGCCAGCACGATACCAGCACAGGACCAAGTCAGCCAGCATTCTATTACTCTATTACAGGGAGGAGAGGAAGGAGTTATGACAGGTAATAACTCCTGAGAGAAGAGTGCTCAGTTTTCTTTATGGGTGTGGCCTGCTCTGGGAAATGCCCCACATCCACGAGCACAAAGAAGGTACAAATGGGACTCAGTGGGTTCTCTCACAACAGATGAAAACTGATACAGAGATCCACAACTGGTCACAATGCAGAGAATAAATGATTGTGGGGTGCTTAGTTCCAACTGATATACCTACAGCCCAAGCCTATACCTAAAGCTCAGGGAAAGTCATGTAAGAGTGAATACAAAGATTTTAAGAATCTAGACAGTGTCTTCTAGATATGACAGGCAAGCTGCACCCACAAAATTGCAACAATATGGTTGTCCAAGCAAGACTTGCATAATGACACCTGTTGACATGTCAATATGGATGGGAGAAGTCTCCCATGACCCCACCCACATATGGCTGCTGAGAGAGGGGAAATCAGTGTTCTCCAGGGAAGGGAGATCCTGATAGGTTATCCAATTCCAAGTGGTCAGCACTAAACTCCTGAGAGCAACACTAAATAGACCCAGTACGATATATCATCTATCCACCCACCTACCTACCCACTTACCTATTTACTTACAAACCGATACACAGTGTATATGTGTATGTGTGTGTGTTGGGGGGGTGTATGTATAACATCAAAGACTACAAAATTCAACAAATGAATTAGAGAAAAAATTTCAGGTTTTAGTGTATATTAGAAAGGATGAGAATTCACCTTCAAAAGTCATATTCTCTACTAATGTACATATAGTTATTCAACAGTAGTCCATAAAAGCAGTCCAGTGCAATTTGTTATATTCAAAAAATACGAAGGGCCTGGAGAGATGGCTCATCTGTTAAGGCCAAGGCTCACAAAATTCTGCTAATATCAAAAACAATGGCTACAATATATAATGTAAAAATCAAAAATCCTTTCTGGCAAAATATGAAGTTTCTAACATTTAAATTCTTTAGTGATTACCAGAAGAGAAGATACGGAAGAGTTATTTCTTCTGCTTGGGGGGGATTATGTATAATATGAAAAATATAGTTTTAATGTGAGTTTATAAGAAATCTAAAAATAGACAATTAGCAGATGATATATGTCAATACATGTTTGAAATATTGTGAATTAAAATTCTTATTGTTATAATAAACAACATAAACACTTTGCTATTTCAACTAAAAGAGGATATTAATGGTAAGAGATTTTCCAATGTGTTCTGTCACAAAATAAATACTGTAAGACTATCAGGATGGAGAGAAGGCTGAGTAATGGGATATGTGCCTAGCATGTATTGGGTCCTAGGTTAATTCCCAACACAAATAAAATAATGACTATAAGTTGATTAGGCCTACGTCTAAAATATCCTCCCATCCTAATTGACATTCTTTAAGACATACTTTATTAGTTTATAACATTCTGAAATTGGTATTAAAATCAACAAGTAGATTAAACAAACAGCTACTGACATATTGTTATTGCTATAATATTGGTACCCTGCTGTAAAGAGAAGCTTTTTCTTGTGAGAAGCCTTCCCGCCTGCCTGGTTCTAGAGCCACATCAGTCCCAAATAAACACACAGGAGGCTACCTAAAGAAGAAAGGATAGCTACTCAGAGGACCACCAAACATGCAATAATATGACGTATTATCAATGTCTACATCTCTCTATTTTGTTATTGTAATTTCTATTTCTTCCACTTCTTACTATGCCTGAGTCCCAATTCATCTAATTAATGCTGGCTTTGGAGTTGGATTGGCTCTCCTGCTTTAAACCCAAGCATACTGTTAAAATGCAATTCAGACTTTCTGTATTATATCAAAGAGCCATTGATATAAGACAGAAACAACAACAACAACAAAAGATATATACGGGGACTGTCATCTGTGTATATTTGATTCTTTCTAAAACTCTAATCTCCTTCATGTGAATTATCTTCCTTAGGGTCGCCTTTCCCAGTATTCATACACATAAAAGAATTTCTGTGCTAACATTAATATTTCAGTTTTCCAGAGACAAAGGGATTTCTTGACAGCGATCTTCAGCTGCTTCAGAAAGAGAATGTGGATTCACTTCCCCGACTCAGCCTGATTCGACTGGATACATCTAAACTGCCCCACATCATCGACCCCACCTGACAAGCACCATCCTGAAACCAGCTTGGAACTACATCACTCAACACATCGTCAGGCCAAAGAACTGATACAGTGCATCTTCTACAATCTGATCAGAGCTTCAGACAAGAGCTTCAATCAAAATCAAAAATCTAATCCGGAACTTCAGTCAAGCCTCTCCTGAAAAATGGAGACTAACTGACCTACTTAAGACTCTTGTTACACTAACAATTTCTTCTCACAGGTCCCCATGATTGTCATCGTCCCACTTCAGCAGGAAGTAAATTTGAGAATTCCACGTCCCTTCTCCCTACTATTGACATTAGAGAATAGTTTACGTCCCCTCTCCCTACTATTGGCATTAGAGGATAGTTTACACCTGTTAGTGTTAATTTGCAATTATTTTAGGGTTGGGATTGGAAGGAGGTGTTCAGACTTAGGCATCCCTTTCAGATAAGTTTAGAATTTAGGTGGAATGGATATGTTTAGTTTAGGATAAGTAGATTATAACTTAATTATCATCCTCTACGTATATATGTTGTATATGTTTGAGTTTGTATCAAATTTAAATCTCCTATTTAGACTAAAAGGGGAATTGTAGGAGTGAACCCCAAAAAGCTATCCGCCCAACAGGGCGTGGTCAAGGTAGAGATAAAAGGAAGTGAAAGGTAAAGGGGCTTCCCTTTTCTCCTGGAAGCCAGCCAGGTATCGTTATACCCTGCATCATGAAAAATGTAAAGTCTGATATAGAAAACGGTTATAAAATTATATTAATATTATCTAAGTATTTTATTTAGCTACATTTTGCCAGTATAACATTAATTTGTTCAATGTTTTAATAATTTTTCCATTATTATGCTGTATATTTATAGTGATCTTATTTCAGCACAATCAAAGGATAAACAGTATTACTTGACTATAAAATGTTTAAATACCTGTATAACAGTTGAGGTATCTGACCAGCATTTACATCAGTACCATTATTTGATTTCTTTGAACTCTTGAACTGGAAAATGACCCTAAAGGAGAAAAAAAAGAATAGTAGGATACCAAAAGTGACACACTCTAAGGTTCACTAAGTAAGGAATATAATAATAATGCTCTTAAATTTTATGCTAATGAAAATTACTCATTTGTTAAAGAAAAGAATCACTTGTGAAACAGCAATGCCCTGATTGAGAGTTGCAGAATTATCAAAAAGATGAAGGACTGCACTTGAGGAGCATCTTGCCTCTATCCTTCCGTTTGGTTTCACCCCAGCAGTTAGCTTCTAACTAAAGATTTCCACTTTGCAGAATGAAGGCAGTGTCAACACATACATCTAGTGATGCCAGTTTCCCAGAGTCATGATATTTCAATTTGAACGGACTCTATGTTAGAACCATGCTATTCTGGGTGAATATAGTTCTAGCCAATATCTAACAGTGAGCTGAAAGAGAAACATCCCGTGACAGACTTAACTTCCCTTAAATACTTATCAACACAGAATTCACCTCAAAAATTACCATGTACCTTCCATACTATGTACTTCTATACTACAATGTTTAAGAGATTTCTCTTACAAATCACAGTGACTCTGTGTGTGTGTGTGTGTGTGTGTGTGTATGTGTCCAAATCCCTAAGCATCCTGTACCCTTCCTCTGTGTAATCTCTAATTTGGTTATAACACTTTTAAACAATTTAATACCCAGAAAGACACATATGCCATCGACAAGAATAATGCAGTCTTCTCCGTTGTCTACATTTTAATTTAGAATTCTGGCTAAATGACATACATGGTTATATAAATTGTATTAATACTCTATGAAACAACAGAACAAGATCCCACAAACAAAAACAAGAGTTGCAGAAGTCCAAATTCAACACTATGCTTACCCATCATCTGTAGTAATAGAAGCTTGTCCATGAGACCCACAGTCACTGCTGGGACCTGACACTCGAGCCCATGCTACATACCACCACCCAGCTTGCAGGAGAACCGGCTCATCAAACATCATTGCATATTTTTCTCTAGAGAAATTAAGAAGTCGACACATTTGAACTTGTCTGATACATGCATTTACTTTCAAATACCTTATGCCAAAACCCATGATACTGCTCTTTTTACTTTAAAGATTCTTGTCTGGCAAGAATCTTATTTTAAATTTTGGACACCAAAACAAGTTTCAGTTCCTTATGTTTAGAAAATCAAATTATATTTCTTTCTTCTCTTTATGGATTCTACGAAATATTTAAATCTTATAAAACTTTCAAAGTGACTACCCTAAATGTCATCCTAGAACCTACATCCAGTAACGGATGGAAGCAGATGCAGTGACCCAGAGTCAAGTACTGGGCTGGGCTGCTAGGTTTTGGGTGAAGAGAGGGAGGAGGGATCATATGAGCGAGGGGGGTCAACAAGATCATGACTGGAAAAACCATGAGCTGATCTAGTGGGAGCTCATGGACTCTGGACTGACAGCCGGAGAAACCCCAGGGGACCAAACTCGGCCCTCTGACTGTGGATGACAGCTATATGAGCTGATTTGTCGGGGGTGAGGGCTGGTAGTGGGACCAGGACTTATCCCCAGTGTATGAGCTAGCTTTTTGGAGCCCATTCCTATGGAGGGATACCTTGTTCAGCCTTGATACAGTGGGGAGGGGCTTGGTCCTACTTAACTTGGTATGCTAGACTTTGTTGACTCTCCAAGGGAGGCCTTCCCCACTCTGAGGAGTGGATAGAGGGTGGGAAGGGTGAGGTAGGAGGAAATGGGATGGAGGTGGAACTGGGGGTTGGTATGCAAAATAAAAACATTTTAATAAAATAAATTTTTACAAATTGCTATAAAAGCATTAAAACTTAACCCTAGTTTGTGGGCTATTTATTCAGCTAAGTGTTCTGAGAGTTAATATGTCAAGAAAATGACTCTCAGGTCAAGGATTCTGAGTGATGACTTCCTAGTTTGGAAATTTGAGGCAAGTTACTACAATTCTGTATCTCAGTTTACTGCAACCCTGACATGCAAATACATTGTTCTCATGTATGAAATTCCCTCCAAATATTTGCATTATAAAAAGAGGGGAAATATTTGGATAATTGAGTTGTCTGAGGATAGTGTTTGGAATTGAGCCTGTTACAGAGGACAGACTCTACATACACAAAAAGTTAACTTAACAGAAAATGACATCGAAAGGTAAGACTGCCTGGCGGGTGGCAGAGTAAAAGTAACTGGTTTTAACTGGCACCGGCAATGAGAAAAAGAAAGAGCAACAAGGAAGAAGAATGCTATGAACAGATTTGTATAAAAGAAACCAGGAGGGAAAACCCGCAAGAGGGGATTCTGCTTTGGTAATGCATTATGATGGATAAATAAAAAAGACAACTGCGACCCATAAAAGTTAGGGCCTGCTGAGTAAGCTAATGAAGAAAATGTAGGTGATTCTCTACCACAGATATCACAATTGGTATCTTAGAATCACAATCCCTTGCTAAAAATTCAAAAGCAAATGACAAGGGTTTAATGACATGATAAGGTTTTAGTGAAAGTTACCTTTTTAAGTGAATTTGTATAAACAATAAAGGTTAAAAGTAACAACAGCTAGGGTAATGTGGTGGCTCTCAACCTTTCCAATGCTTCAGTACTTGACTACAGGCACTCATGTGGTGACCCCAGCCACAAAATATATATTATGTTACTGCTTCATAACAGCAATTATGAAGTGTAATTCGTAACAGTAGCAAAATATTTTTGGAGACAGGATTTGCCAAAGGAGTCATGACCTACAGGTTGAAAACCACTAGTCTAATGCTTAAAGTAAAGAAACAGAGGCTAGGTAGAGTGGCACACGCCTTTAATCCCAGCACTTGGGAGGCAGAGGCAGGTGGATCTCTGTGAGTTTGAGGGCCAGACTGGTCTACAGAGTGAGCCCCAGGATAGCCATGGAGCCACAGAGAAACCTTGTCTCAAACAAATAAACAAACAAAGCAATAAACAAAGAAAGCAATAGACCAGTTTTTCGTTAGATATACTCTTATTTGTTTGTTGCCTTCTTTATTTTTAGGTATGCTCTTAGTTATCAGAAGTATGTCTCTAGTAATAAAAGTAAAACCAATGTCATACCTTTATTTTTGGAAACATGTACCTTTATTAGAAAAATGTCTTTATTCACCTTTTAAGGTTACTTTTGTATGGCGTGTGTGTGTGTGTGTGTAATCTGCACTGAGAGTCTTCCTCTGTTGTTCTCCACCTTATTTCTTGAAACAGGGTATCCTACTAAACCTGGAGCTCACTGGTTTTTGCTAGATTGATTGGCCCGTGAGCACTAAGGGTCACCTGTCTCTCTACCCTGCAAGCCCACTTAACAATGAAATTCTCAGAATGTATCTCCATCACTAAATGAAGCATAACTTTATATAACTAAACTTCCCAACTTATTCAAAACTTCCTTTTAAATATGTATTTGTAAATTAAAATGAAAATTTAATTTCAAGTATGTAAAAACTATACTGAATAATGAGCAAAACATTTACCTAGCAGCGCAGTCATAAGCCAACACGTCAGTCTCTGCAAGAAGGTCTCCATCAGTTTCATGATCTCCTCCATCAGGACCCAACTCAAATAACTGTAGTAAAGAAAAACAAATTTACCCCAATCACTCAGTTTTGTGCATCCAAGTGTCAGTAGTCTTAAATTTTCAACCACATCCTAGGGTCTGGAAACCTACTTCTACCTCAGACTTCACTAAATTGCCCCAGAGACCCCAATATTCTTTGTTCTAAAGCAAATGAGCCATCTTCCTCTTCTTGCTGTCCCTGCTCTGTGCAGTGGTAGTGTCTTTAAAAAGCCTGTGCTCACACTTCTAGGCCATCACTGTGTCTACTCTCTCAGCAGCATAAAAAAATGGGATTTCTGAAACCAGCTTTAGCTCCACCCCCTACTCTAACCCAGTTTATATTTACTAACTTGTCTTTTCTTTTCTTTTTCTTCTGTAGTGGTGGTGATTGAACTCTGTCCTTACATGCTAGGTAAGTCTATTGGTTAATAGCAATTTATTTATAAAGAATATTTGATTAGAATACTTTGAGTGTAAAATTTCCCAGTGCTTTCTCTTTGTAGCATAATATAATGATCTGACCATAATCTGCCTCTTCACTGATACTCAACAAATACTTTAAAACTCATACAATGTACCAGTCACAGTTCAAGGAACTGAAGACATAAGGATGAAAAACAGACTAGAAAAAACAAACAAACAACAACAAAACCACCTTTGATAAAAGTCTGTGGCAGGGAATAGAATTTATAACTTTAGATGCTCAGCAGGGGAGTCAGGGTCAAAGGTGATGAAGATGTGAGACACACAGGTCTTGATGAGAGTGTGGCTAGAGAGAAGGGCCAGGCAAGGATGCTGAGGCTGCACTGCTTAGCAACCCTGAGGAAGAATCAGCAAGTCATGGTGTACAAAGACAGTGAAAAAGCAAGTATGACATAAACTCAGACAGACGCTCCAGTGAGTTATGATAGGCTCTTTGGTCCTATCCTTTAAGGCACTGGTTCTTAACCTGTGGGTCATGACCTTTTATGGGTCCTATATCAATATCCTGCATATCCAAGATTTACATTATGATTCATAACAGTAGCAAAATTAGTTACGATGTAGCAATAAAATAATTTTATGGTTGGGGGTCACCACAACTTGAGAAACTGTATTAGAGGGTGTCAGCATTAGGGAGGTGGAGAACCAGAGCTTTAAAGGCCTTCCTCTATCATAGGAAGACACTCACTATGATTTGTGATAGTCTACACCTCAAAAATCTCTAAAGCCAGAAGGGAGAAATGCATATTGTCTTGAAGAACTTGCTAGATATTATCAAACATACATACACAAACATATATTACCAACTACATATATACCATCACGATGAGCTTTCTGGTACTATCAAATATACATATATAAACATATGTTACCAATTACATATACATCATCCTTATGAACTTGCTGGGTGTTATCTTCTAGAACTAGATGACTCACTGAGATTGCTTTTCTGACTGATGGACTCAAGCCATTTTGAACTACTTTGTACTGAAATACAGCTGAAAGACTAAAACTACTGGATTATTATTATAAAGATGTGCTTAGGGTATTCTTAACCATTATTCTATTTCTATGATTTATATTACCATAGGAACTTTAATTTTTACTAAATTCATTCTAATGTTGTCTGTAATTTTAAAAGTATATATATTATCATCAATAGTAGAAAAAAGTATACATTTTTAAAAAGTTTTCAGTGTTGAGGTTTACGAAGACTGTCCTCAAAAGTAGTCAAGAGCTTTAATGTATTCCTTTCATTTGGGGGTATTACTAACAAACCTTAAAAAAGAATACCTCTCACAAAAGAGCTTGGACTACAATTTCTTGTGAAACATGATACTGGAATTGAGGTAAAACTTAACAGTATGGAAAAGTACAAAGAGGACAACTACAGACACAGTGTCCACTCTAGTACTGAGTAAATGAAGCTGACAGGTAATCTACAGACAATGACTGCTGGCTCTTCCAGAGATAAACAGGTGTTGGGAACTTGTGATTTCTTTACAACAGGCAAGATCATAATCACACAAGATAGCCTGAAAACCACCAGATTAACTTTCAAACCTCAGGGGTCATTCTCTCTTGGTCTCCCAAGCAGCTAGGCTTACAGGACTGATAAATTTTTATACAAAAGACAAATATCTCCCCACTTCTCACTTTATCTCTAGTCCCCGCCTGGGTGTGTGTGGCGGGTATATGTTTACACGGTACTTGACAATGAAAATGCTGAAGACTTAAACACAAAAAGGTGTGCATCCTGTCCCTACAACAGATCGAGGGTGGCCACATGAAAGGGTGCAGCTAACTAACCATTTGGAAGTTTAGCACAAAGCAGTGGGACTGGCTATGAATCCTTTTAAATTACTAAAAACTCATTTTCTCCAAGTCAGTGATCTCATAGCTTTGAGTATGAGTTTAGCAATGTTCCCTTTCTCTAACAGAGCCATTAAGAATAAGCCAAGGTAAAAAAGGTAAAAATGAAGCATTCAATAAGACAACAGACTAAGCCAAAACAAATGTCTCCAAATGAAACAGTTACAGTATGATGAACTTTACCTTTATTTTAGCAGTATATTCTCCTCTACCTCCAAAAAGACCAAGGCCACCAAGTAAAATGTCAGTGTCAGCACTAAAACGTATGGCTTCAACTGAATGGGCAGAGTAACCCCAGCCCCCTCCGTGACCTGAAAGATGTAAATAATGATGGTTTTAAATACGCATGCATTTCTGCTGTTAGATAGCATTTCCTAAGTCTAAGTATACATACTTTCAAACCTGTTTACTACACTGTAATCTTCCTTGGAATACACTTTCATTACTGCTTGAGTTTCTTCCTCTGTACTTGCAATGCCCATCTTCAAGTCCTGCATAGCAGCCAAAGTATCAAGACAACCTAAAACAACAAACAAGTCAACTTCAAACCCTTGAAACAAAAACTTCCTGCAGTACTGATGCTATTTAATGCTATGCATGGAAAATTAAAATAAATAAGTTATGAATGTGCCCCAATAAATATAATCTATTCCTAGCATTAAGCACTTCATGGAAGAATACATACAATCAATTCTCATCTGCATAGATAATCATCATGCTGAAAACATAAGTTATTTGTCATTTTTCACAAAACTAAACTTCTGAAAAATAAACCTCTGAAAAATCGGAACCACTTTATTTTTGGTCCTTACACGTTTCAGAACATCCTAAATCAATTAGATTTTCATTGTGCTCTTAAAGAAAGACATACTAGTATGAAATAACTTTAATGTTTGTTTTGGATGTTTATAACGGTTAAAAGGAAATCTTACGAAAAATGAGGAATTATATTTATAATCTACTAATTATGCTTAGACATACGAATTTATAGTTGTAAATGCTATATACAAATAAGCATGTCTTTTTGTAAATCTGCATGAGTGCAGGGAATGCATATTTGTGGTCACATATATGAAAGTGTCTATGTGTGTATAGGTAAACATGCATGTATGTGCACATATGTTCAGGCCTAAGACTAAGGAGTCACATCAGGTGTCTTCTTAGGTTGTCTTCTACTGTGTTTATTGACGCAAGGTCTCTCAACTGAACTCAGAGCCCACCAATATGGACCTTGCTGGCTCCAGGGATTCTGTCTCTGTCTCCTAAGCACTGGAATTATAGGAGACCCACCAAACCCTCCCAACACTTATGTAGTTCTGGAAATCTGAAGTCTGGTCCTGATACTTGGAAGGCAAACTTTACCCACTGAGTTGTCTCCCAGCTCCTAAATGAGTCTTTCTGGATAACCATTTTCTAAAAATAACACAATATACAGGTTATGTGAATTGCTTTAAATAAAAACTAAGAAAACTCTAGCAACTACTTATTGTAAAAGTTCTGTATCTCAAAGAAGTTAAATAATGATATATGTAAGCACTATAGGAACATATTTAGTCTACAGCTCTATAAATTTTTAAGTTCAAGTTACGCAGAATCACATCATTATCTTTTTATTAAGGAAATTATATACAAGGATGCTTTATACTTAGGCATTCACTTCTCTTTCATGATATTGGTCGACTTCTTCTGTATCATTTCATGGAGACCAAATTTCTTAAGAAATTAAATTTATTTCAGCTGAACGTCAAAGGGGAACCCTACCCAGAATGTGCAAGGCTGCATGAGATCGGGTGGTAAGAGCCCTCGATCCTGTTGGTAGAGCAAGTTCTGGACTTAGAATACTACATCTGGACTGCATGTCTGTTGCAGAAGGAAGTCTGGCATCAGCAACCACTGCATTGTAACACCAGAGCTCTCGGGTACTTGGTCGGAACCTAACAAGAGAGATAACAATTACAGCACCTCAACACATAGCTAACTTTGAAAATCTTCTAAATTATAATTGACTACAGAGTAAACAATAAGTTAATGTACCCAGGAAAATACATGTCTCATTGTTTTCTATACCTAAGCTAAGTATATAACTAAAGTAGTTTAAACCACTCCCAAAAAATCTGACAATAGTAATATAGATTATAAAACTTTATAAATATTGAAGCAACTATATACTTAAATTTGATGCATACCAAAAAAAAAATAAAGCTCTCTTATACCAAAACCTCCACTAACAAATTAAAGACAAGGGAAATTTGATAGAAAATGTGAAAAATGCATATGCAACAATACTAAATAGTCCTAATCCGTAGGAAACTGCAACAGAAAATCAATCCAATAGCAGTAAGTGGGCAAATGACATGGAATGCTACAAAGCAGTACAGTCTCAATAAAAACTATAAGGAAGCCAAGTCACAGTGGCCTCTTACCATTAGCCTATGATTTTTCTACTCAGAACAAATCCTCAAACGGCTAGCAAAACAGTGAATGAGGAGTTATTATTTAATGAATATAGAGTCTCAATTTAGCAAGATGAAAATGTTCTGGAATTCTATAGGCTATAAGGTTATCTGTATCTGTATATTTTTAAAAGGGCATACAGGTTTGTTACATTTTTATTAAATTGTTTTCTTTAAATTTTGTATTTTTAAAGGTTTTTAATTAAGTTTAGTTAAATAAATTCAATTAATATATTTTAAAATAGACAATTTATTAGCTAAAATAGAATTATCTCACGTGCCCCTTTCTTTCCTCCTTTTACCCCACCCAGCAACTCTCTCTCAGATAAAAAAAGAAACAACAAAAAAAATTTAAATAGTACTTTAAACAAAATAAATCCTATAATAGAGGCTTCTATAATTAATAGGAATAACATCACACAGCTGCTTTTGAGAAATGCTGTTAATATAACTTTTCTTTTTGAATACAATAATTTTCTTTCTGGTTGCTTTAATAATTATCTTCTGATCTTTAATTAATGTTTTGCTGTAGCAATAAAAATCTTTGGACTGCAGATAATTGAAAAGTATTTCTAGAAAACTTTTAGGCATTACATTTATAAATACTGATTTTCCTCTACCATCTCTAATCTCTCCTGAGATGCCAATACTTCCCTCATGAATCTGTTACACGTTCACATTAAAACCTTCAAATATGTAAACATGAATCTGAAGATTACATGTTTTTGCTTTGCTACATCATTAAGCATAATATATTTCCTGCAGCTGGGTTAATTCTTTTTTTTTTTTTTGTGGCTTTTCGAGACAGGGTTTCTCTGTATTGTTTTGGAGGCTGTCCTAGAATTCACTCTGTAGACCAGGCAGGCCTCGAACTCACAGAGATCCGCCTGCCTCTGCCTCCCAAGTTCTGGGATTAAAGGCATGCACCACCAACTCCCGGAGAGTTAATTCTTTTCCAATATTTTTTCAAATCTTTAAAAATTTATGTGTATACATGTATGTATATGTGTAGTCTATATATAAGTATATGGTACCTGAAGAATCCAAAATAGAGTAAATCAATAACTTAATAATATACCTTAAGGCATTTGGAAAACATGAATAAATCAAACCCAAAGGAAATAGAAAGAAAAAAACTCAGTAAGGTCAGACATTAATACAATAGAAATAAAAAAAAAATGACTAAGAGTCAATTGAGATAAAAAGCTGGTTCTTTAAAAAACTAAACAATATTAACAAATCCTTAGACAAAATAATCAAAAGAGGAAGAATATCCAAATGAATAAAAATAGATATGAAAGGGGAAACAGGATGAAATTCGGAAAATCATCAGGCCATATCTTACATCAAACCTATATTCCTGAAACTGGAAATTGTAAAAGAAATTGATGAATTTCTAGATACATATGATCTACTAAAATGAAGCCAACAATTTAAATAAGCAAATTAAACTAACCAAATTGAAAGAAGCAACTTAAACAGACAAAGGATATTGAGTCCATAATAAAAAGATGCTTAGTTGATAGCAAATAAACAAATAATAAATATAAGTGAAGTCCAAAACCAAAAGGATTGATACATAGTAGAATTCAAGACTTCCATAGAAAGGCTACTGCTAACACTAATTATATTCAAATCATTCCAAAAGATGACAAAAGGACTTCTTCCAAACTCTTTATAAAGCCAGTACTCACTACCATCATACCAAAGACATATCAACAACAGAAAGGAAAGATATCATTCTCCTGACAAACTAAAAATTCTCAATAAAATACTTACAAGCTAAATTAAAAATCACACCAAAAAGATTGTTTATCAGATCAAGTTGCCTTTATAAAAAATGATGCAATATATATACCAATATATTTAATTCCTCATATAAATGGATTCCAAAATAAAGTATGAAATTATCATCTAAATATAAAAAGGCCTTCAACAAAAATACAATATCTCTTTGTGATAAAAGTCATTGACAGGCTACAGGTGGAAGGAATACATCTCACCATAATAAAGAATACGTATCTATCACTAACTTGTAGCCAATATCCTGATAAATGGAGGAAAAGCTCCAAGCATTTCCACTAACATCAGAAACAAAACAAGGGTAGGTATCCCTCTTCCTACTAATCAACACAGTTGTACATGAAGTCTTATGTACAGCAGTAAGACAACTGAAAGAGATCGAGAGGATATAAACAGGGAAGGAAGAAGACTCCACCAAGTAACTTCTACAGCTGATACACACTGTTAGCAAAGTAGCAAGATACAACATTAACATACAAAAATCAGTAACTTTTTAAAACACACGCCGTAAAAGAAATTAAGAAATCAAACCTATTCACAATAGCCACTAAAACCAAAACCAAACAAAAAGGCTGGAAATAAACCAACCCAACGAAATGAACTATTTCTACAATGAAAATGTTAAGACACTTGTCAGTGTCCATAAAGATGGCTCCACTCCATCTTGGCTCAAGGACACAGAGTTCAAAAACTGTCTTTAGTAAGTCATAAGACCTAAAAGTCAAAGGCATGGCTACAGTAGGATGTTCGATCTTGGCCCTGGATGTCTTATCTAAATAACAACAGACCTGGTGTGAGGTGTGGTTACTGAAACCTTGGAGAAATGAAGAAGAAAAGTCTGTTTATTCCGTATACATGATACCATGTTCCCCTTTTTGGTTAAAGAATATAAGAGTGGTGAAAACTAAACTTGGGGCGCATTCAGTATTAACTGATTCTGCCCTCCTGACATCTGCTGTGACTCCCTTTCTATTTAACTGCTTTAGCTAGCCTTGCGTTAGTCCATACTCCCCTCTGAGGAGCAAACCATGGGCTGCCTGCCTGGCTGGCTCTGACTGCAGCCCCGCAAAGACAGCTTCCCACAGACACTAGATAGAAAGACCTGAAGCCCATGTATCAGAGGAAATACACAATGTGAAATGGCAACCTAAAAGCAAGCTACAGAATTAATGCAATCTCAATAAAAATTTCAGGGACATTCTCCACAGACATAGAAAAAATGCTCTCAGATTAATATGGAGAACGCCCTACTCCAAGTCATCTTCTCCAGTCCATCTCCATCCCCTTTGGGACTCTGCCTCATGGTGCAGACGCAGGGGTCCCATAGTTCTTCTTCACAAAGCCCTTCCGCCCATAATTATCAAAACCGCTCCCACTGTACCTAGTCTAGTTTTCTCTGGCTTGTGGAGGTACTCCAAGCTAAATACACAAAGGCTGGAGGTTAGGATCCATAAATGAGAAGGAACCTGCTCTACTTGTCTTTCTGAGCCTTAATTACCTTGATTAGTATAATAAGTCTAGTTATATATTAGTATATAATTCCAGTTCTATTCATTTACCTGCAAATTTCATTTTTCTTCATAGTTGGAATAAAATTCCATTATGTGTATGCGGTTATTTGCCATACTACAAACAAGTTCTACAAACAAAATGAATCCCCTAAGGGTAAGTTATGGTGCAGGTGCTCAGAAGGTTAAGGCAGGAAACTGCAAGTTCGTGGCTAACTCTGGCTACACAGTGAGTTCTAAGCCAGTCTGTATAGTACTGTCTTGACCAAAACAAACAAGCAAACAAAACCCTCCCCCGAAACCCGATCAACCACCTCTATGCACCCGCGTATTAAACAGTTAATAAGTATCTGTTAACAATGCAATTAGCATAGCAAAAGTAGACAACCATAATAGTTCTGTTTACTGCTGCTGCTAGCATGGGAAAATATGGATAGCTATTGGGAGCCATGCAGCCTAGTGTCCAATCATCATGTAACTGCCTGTCCAATGGTTTTCTCGGGGCAAGGCGCCCGTGGAAACCGGACTGTCACTAGGAAGGACCAGTCGTCCACGGGACAGCATAGGAATGTGTGAATCCGTGCAGCTGGCAGGCTCTTCTCTGTCACTACACTGTTGATTCTTTGGGCAGTTTTTACTTTTACTTTGTCAGTTACACATGCAACAGCTGTAATTTTCCCAGGAAATTCTGTTCCTTTTTAAGTATTTTCTCCCTAAGATTCAGCAGGAAGTTAATGCTTCTTAAATTTCTTATCTGGAATTACAAACTACAACTCCCAATTCTGGGAACTTTTCTGACTCAATGGAAACAGTTAGGTACATGTGAGAAAACTACACTCGGAGCATTAACCCTGTCTCACAGTTCTGGAAAGGAGAATAAGGCAGGCATACACAGACTGGGGGGGAAGCCTCAGGAACACACATAGTGCCAACCATTAAGAGGAAGTTCCCTGAACACCAAGCATAGAATCATCAGTAGGATCTGGTATTTCCAAGAGGAGAAAATGCAATGCAAAGTATGGGGGGAAAGATCCATCTTTACCACACACAGGAGCTTACATTGGTGGAAGAAGTATGGTATAGGGGGATGGGAAAAGAGCGCTTGTCAGTGTCCACCTTTACAGAGAGACCGAGACATGGGACCCCCTGTAGACATGGGAGCCGTAGAGAAGCGTGTCTTGCAGACATGAAAGAATTGTTTGGGTTTGAATGTCACTGTCGTTAGAGCATTGTACCCACGTCCATTACTTTTAAACTTTGTAACCACAAGTAGCTGACAGCTGACCTAAGTGCTGCAAAGGCAGGATGTGTCTGACTAGATATTTAGTTAAGGTCTTAAAAATGCTCAACTCTATGTCTACAACAAAGTTGGGGGGGGGGTGCACAACACGGGACATGGGACTTGGAGAAGCATGAAGGGGAGTGGTGGTGGAGCTTTCATAATGACCACAATGAATTCCTTAAGCTGGGATGTATTTGTTAAAGTCAGAAATAGAAGCCAATAACAAAGCTGTTCATGTAACCTGGTAGGAAAAGCTCTGTTTAAGTAGCAATAAAGATGGCCTGAGCTATTCGAGGCCACTTGGGTGTAATTCAGTTGGCAGTCAGAATTTTTCCTAGTGCTGCACCCCAACTCCACCTCAGGATCTGAACCCAGGCCAAGGCTGGACCCTGGCAGAATCCCATACACTGTAAGTGGGAATATCGAAAGAAAATTTCAGCCAATGAATCTATTTCAACTCAGTAATCCCATTTCTTTAAAAAAAATCTAATTGATTTATCCTGGTTTATATGTATGTGTGGACACGGTGAGATGTGGAGATCAGAACCCAACTCTAAGAGTCAGCTTTCTCCATCTATTACATGGGTCCCTTGAGATAAATGCAGGACAGAACTTGTGTTGTCAGGTATGACAGCAAATGGCTTAACCTGCTGAGCTATCTTGCCAGTCCAGCAATCCTACTTATTCTTTATCTAAGAACCTTTAATTATGTGTACGTATGTGTGTCTGGGTGTGGATATGTGCACATGAATGTCATGCCTATAGAGGCCAGAGGAGGGCATCAAATCCCTGGAGCCAAATTTTAGGTTGTCATAAACTACGGCCTATGAGGATTCTAGAAACAGACCTGAGGTCCTCTGAAAGAACAAAGGAGCTCTTATGGCTAAACATTTCTCCAGCTCTGTAACCCCTTTGCTTGAAAGTTACACAGCTGATCTGAGCAAGTGGGAGCTCATGGACCCCAGTCTGAGAGCTGGGGAACCAGCACAGGACCAAACCAGGCCCCCTGAAAGTGGGTGTCAGTTGGGAGGACTGGGCAGTCTATGGGACCTTTAGCAGTAGAACAGTATTTATCCCTAGTGTATAAATGGGCTTCGGGAGCCCATTTCCCATGGAGGGACACTCTCTCAGCCTAGATACAGGGGGAGGGGGGCTAGTCCCTGTCCCAAATGAGTCCCTGGAGAGTGGATGCAGGATGGGATAGGGGGGAGGTAGAGGGCATGGGAGGATGGGAGAGGGAACTGGGATTGATATGTAAAACAAGACTGTTTCTAATTTAAATAAAAATTTATTTAAAAAAAGTCATGTTACAAGGATTTATATTCTTTATGTATATGTAACTCTAGGATATGTTTCCATGGTTTTGTGAGGCATCTCAGGTAACAGCATACATAATTTAAAAAACAATCTAAAATGTTTGCTAATAGGTAAAAAGTTAAGCATATTTAGCATGACCTAAATAAAGAATTTTACGACTAAGTAGGTTTTTTAATAAAGAAGAAATTGTTACTGAGAAAAAATTTAGTTCTTTAAATAACTATACTCATATATGTAAGTACCTAAAGTTAAATATAAATAAAGCATAATACTTTGGCTCAGAATAGAAGGTTAATGGGATTTTGTATGGAGGATGAAAAAAAAGTCTGAAGCATGACCATAGTTTTTTCCTACATGTGTTTTCACTTTGGTTTTTAAAAATTTCATACATTATTTAGGTAAAATTTTGAGTGGAAAACAAAACTATTCTTAACTTTTATCAGATGTTTGTAAATGTTAAGTTTCTGATTATTCATGAGAAGTCAGCTCCTAAGGAATGTGAAAGGAAGCAGACAAGAGACAGAACAGCAAAGTTAAATTAGCTAATGGACCCACAATGCCTGCCATAGTTGCAGAATCCAAGGACTGTGTAGGAAGTCCCAAGGAACACAATAGTGATGGTCCAGACAATGGAAAGAAATTCTGAACCCAACTTAAAGGGAACACCTCTCAGCTTCACAATGGAAACAGAAGATTGTCCTTTGTCTGTTAAATCTCTTTTGGAACAATGAAGAAAAAGACGAAGAAACTAGTCCTTGGGAATATCTACCTCATTCACTGCTGCCACCACACATGAAAAGGGGAAGGTCCAACCTGTTACTTTACAAAACAGATCACACCCCAGGAAAAGTAAACTAATTCAAACTACTTTCTACTCCCCAAACTGTTAGACATTTATTTCTAACTCAGGGTCCAGAGACCAATTCTGTCCTATATTATTGGTGCTATGTTTTATAGTTATGTGTACATTTCTGTCCCAGTCTATTGATGCTGTGTTTTACAGTCATGTGTACAATTCTGTCCCATCTTACTGGTGCTGTGTTTTACGGTCATGTGTACAATTCTGTCCCAGCCTGTTGATGTTGTGTTTTATAGTCATGTGCTTACCTCCAAAGCACGTCATACACAGGATCAAGACACACACCAAATCCTTGCAGATCTTCTTGTTCAGAGTCATTAAAAGTCTTACAACTTCCATCCACTTTATTGATAAGAAGGCATTTAAATGGTGGAGGTTCTGATATAGAAGCAGGTACCAAGCCTTATGAAAACACATTTAAATATATTTTACTTTGCATCAACTTTATATATTCCTCTAAGCCCACAAGGAAAGCAGTATTATCAACATTTTAACATGAAGAAGCTGACATATGCCTAAATGGTATAAAGGAGTCTGTTTCTGTGTGGCAGAATTAAGACTACACCTCTGACTACCTAAATCTACAATGAATGCTCATAAACACTATGCTCTAAACCTCTACTGTAGAATTATTTGCTGTACCATGGACTTAGTTTCAAGTGTGATCATCATAATCTACCATAAGAATGAATTTCAATAATTACAATAATCACTGAAAAAGAAAACCACTCATGACACTCTAAGTCCTGATCCCTTTATAGTATAGCTCACATTTCTGCCATTGCGTAGCTTATGAATATGCTGGTTTTTAAATTTCCCAATTAACCGATTTTTCTATCACACAGACATATGAAAAGGTACAGATATATCTCATTATTAAGACAAATTATTTACCTATTATGTGTTTGCTAGCAAAAATTTCTGATGTTGCAAGTACATGAGAATTTATAAGTGCTTCATCAATTCGTAAGAAAGTCTGGTCCCCACTTGCACCTATCCAAGTGGCTTTCCGTCCATATTTTGATCCAATGTTAGGCATGGAGGCTGGCTTGGCATTCCAATATGGTACATCCAAAATGGGTCGTCCCAGCTGTCCTTTCTAAAAATGAAATAAATCATATTATCCAGATTGTTGAATAAATAGTATGCAGGTTCTTTAATGTTAAGATAACTGTCTATAAAAGTAGCTTTATGAAATCTGATTTTTATGTATTTTTAATTTTTCTTAATAAACAAATGTGGAATTTGGACCTAACGTTTTCAAAGTAATAGAATAATTTTATTACTTCTTACTATTATCATCTTTTAACAATGCATGGTTTATATGTTTGTAGTAAACTAAAGTGTTTTTCATAAGCAATGTTTCCAAACTACTCTGTATTTGCCTAAATTTAAATGAAAGGTATCTGCCTCCTTTAAAGGGATTACAGGTGTGCGCCATCACCAACTGGCTTCACTTTGACATTTCAAGGTAACAGTGTAAAAGGAAGGCACTCAAGCTCACACACTGAGAAGACATTTTGTGATAAGACAAAAGCGTAAATAAAGGAACTGAGAATAAACTCAGAAAACTGGTCAACGCAGTTCTTACACAAAGTTTTAGTTAGTCATTTCATTTTATGTTTTAAGATAAATACTAGGAATATACAGTAAGGTGTTTCTTAAAAACAAGTTAACTCACTTAAAAAGTGTAACTGCCTAAGGGTAGTTGGTTAAAGAAATGTATTTCAAAAGTAAAGAGTTGCTCACTATTAAGCCATTACCTGAAAAAATAAAAGACCACTGACAATGGATTAGATGATGCTAATCACTGTGGTTCAGGAGCCATCTCTCTCCCAAAACTGTCCTTTCAGAAACCTCTGAAGAGATGACACCCTACCTCATGGTTCCCGAATATTTAATGCAACCTTCCCAATGAGAATAAGCAACAAACCATAAAAAAAAAAAAGAAAAAAAATACCTCAACACTTCAGGAATGGGAAATGAGAGAACACAGACTACTGCAAACACTCACTTATTATCCTATGAATACTTCTACCCTTCAGCATCACAGCCCAAACACAACACACAGGCTGACTACAGAAGCAACTAAGCCTTAATCCTTACGCAAACACCTAGGGAAGGACCAGAAGCTAATAAAAGAAGCAAGTAGCTAGTGCTTACCCTTGTCCAAATATCTATTTTTTGACAAAGGGGGAAAAAAGCACAAAAAGGGAAACAACAGGAAAAGCACACAATATTCAAATATATTCTGCTCTGTGAAGGAAAGGAAGTCACACAGACTATTAAGATAAGCATGTATTCCCTTACCACCACCCAACAAATGTGAAGAAAAACATTCAGAAATATAGGCGCCTAAACAACCGCATAGGCACTCAAGAGTGTGGTGAAAACTCAGCCGTATTTGAAGTAAAGTCTGCAGCTAGAACTTCTTAGTCTAGAAGGCCATAATTGATTTCACATTTCCCTCCAGAGGACACAAAAGCAGCACACAGAGCAAGTGAATGAACCACGTTATGATTTTATAGAAAATGACTTAAACCTGTAACCAGAGGAAGAAACCAAATAACCAAGTTCTCTTCCACTTGTCTAGCAAGCCTAAGGGGATAGGAGGCACAAAAAAGGCCAAAAAGGAGAAATGAATAGAGAGGACTTAGAAAAGTGATGATCTCCTCCAACAGACAAAACCAGACCTTCAACAGCAAGCTGGTAAATAGGTCAGGACTTGACAGTTCATAGCACCAACCACAGCTATCAGATCAGTGCCAATCAAAAGGCAGAACAGCACATACTGTTGTCAAAGCTCTGGAGAAAGCCTCTTTCATACACAGCTTCTGACAAAAATAGACTATTAGCACACACAAGCCTACCACAGCCCTAACTTCTGATCCAGAATTCTCAGTTTTTAGAATTAATCTAAAAGACACATGTCAAATAAGATTATTATGTTATTAAAATATAAAGTACCTAAATGTATAAGCATAAGAAACTGAAAAAGTATAGTAAGAATATACTGCATGACAGGTACCTTTGAGAAATTCTACACTGAGTCAGCAGACACTGCACAGAGATATGCAAAATCCTAGGACACAAGCAACTCCAAATCCACAGAGATGAAACAAATATGATAAAACCGAGCTGTGCTCCACATGCTTGCCTAGTGCACATTCACACGCTTGCTCTCACTACCTGCTCCTTTCATCAACATTTTACAAAGCTGGAGGGGGAAAAGAGAAGGGGGATGTGATTATAATCTCAAAAGCTTATTTCCATAAAAGAAAAGCAGATGGAACAACGTCAAAGAGCAAAACAAAAGGCTTTATATTTGGTCATCACAGGTGATTACCTAAGAGACATAGCTGAGGAAGAGGAGTCTCTGCCTCATCCTTTTGGCTTCTGTAAGAAAATAATATAAAACAAAACCATGGCCAGATACAGCAGAGCAGGCCTGCAACCCTCTCATTCAGGAGACTGAGGCAGAGTATTGAGAATCTAAGGCCTCATCTCAACAACACCAAAAAAGGGTACATAAGAAAAGATAACCATGTAAGCATGTGTGTGCCAATACACGTTCACAATAATAGAAAGTGACATTTGTTATGTCTTATTCCGTACAAGTACCATTAAGGCAATGAGCAACCATGGCCAGAATATGTAATAAATACTCTGAGAAAATTAAAATACCTGTCAAAGATAATGCTTTTTTTTTTTTTTTTGGTTTTTACGAGACAGGGTTTCTCTGTATTGTTTTGGAGGCTGTCAGTCCAGCCCGGCCTCGAACTCACAGAGATCCGCCTGCCTTTGCCTCCCGAGTGCTGGGATTAAAGGCGTGCGCCACCACTGCCTGGCAGATAATGCTTTTTTAATCCTACGGAAGCTATATAAAAAAAGGGGGGGGGGGACAGGTAAGACCTGCATAAACTGGCAGAGAGTGAGACGGCTAATATTATCAGCTTGACAGGATCTAGAATCAATGAGAAGACACACCTTCGGGCACATCTGGGGGTAAAGTTTCTGTACTGGGTCAACTGAGATTGAAGACCCATCCTGTGTGGAGGCGCACCATCCCGTGAGCTGAGACTACGTACAGAGTGAAAAATAAAAATCAAAGCCAGGCATGGTGGCATGTGCCTTTACTCTCAACACTCAAGGCTGAGGCAGGCCAATCTCTGTGAGTTAGTGGCCAGCCTGATCTACATAGAGAGCTCTAGGCTCGTCAGGGCTTTACTGTAACATCTTATTGTAACATCTGGTCTCCACAAAAAAAAAAAAAAAAAAAAAAAAAGAAGAAGAAGAAGAGGAGGAGGAAGATAAGGAAGAGGAAGTTGAAGACGAGGAAGAGGAGGAAAGAAAGCCAAAAGAAAGGTGACTGACTATATAACTAACACTATAACCAGGTGCGCCTCCAACAGACAAACCCAGACCCTTAATAGAAAAATGGCAATTGGGTGAGGCCTTGACAGCTGACAGAACCAAATAGTCCCTGTTGCAAGTGAATGTAAACCTTTTATATTTTCATTATTTCACCTGAGGAGCAATATTCAAGGTTGTCCTCTAGCCTTCACGTGTGCCCTGGCATGCACACCTCACATATACATGCCCCCACACATGAATGCAGACAAGTATGCTCACACACTTAGAAAGACAGAAACTGTTGAGTCCACGACTGTCACCACATCATACATTACAAGATTAATAGTCTTAGGAAGATTTTCCTTGATATCCACGGAATCAAACTATATAAAACCCTCACAGCAGTTTCAGTTTTTTCAAGTTTTGACAAAGGCAAAGAGGGAAACAGACTAACAAAAAGAGAGGACAAAGAAAAGTGATTTTACACAAGATCTTAGGCAAAAGGACAAGCAGTCATAAGAAAGTATTGTTTTAAACAAACTAATTTAAAATCTAAAGTTTCAAAAAGTTCTGAGGTAGAAATAGCTCTTTATGTTCAGAAAAATTATTTTGTTACAAATTAGATGAGAAATACCCTTTCAAATGGCAGAATCAGCTCCATTAATTGTTTAAAAGCTTTTGATTTGCAATAAGCATGTCCAATTCTAACACAGTTGCTAAATTCAGTAAGTTCTAATGCTGAGCTACAGATGAAAAATATTTGAAGTGATAAGGCAATTGTATAATACAACATTATTAATGTTTGAAAAATTCCTTACAGAAAAACTTCCAAATGTGAAGACCTGTCCATCCATTAAAAGGACAGCCGTGTGGTTGCTGCCGGCAGTGACTTGTGTGCTAGGGCCTGGCAAGGCTTGAACAAGAGTGGGGCATCCCCTAGGTTTAAAAAAAAATAATGAGTCAATTTCTTACAAGAGTCAACTGAAACATAAAACAATGAATAAACAGTAAAATAAGGAATTGAAATGATCAAGGCAGTACTAGGAGCATTCAGCAATCACTTGTTAGGTGTTCTACACCTGCCTCTACGCTAGATACTAGGTAAACGGACAGTGACTTTAAGGAGGTCAAGAAAAAGACCCTTGAAGTTCACCACCCTAATCATGAACACATAATTTTAACTCTTCAAAATACTGGAGCTGACGTTAACAGGGGAAATTCGCTAAGCCTGTACACTGGCTTAGCACCTAAGCAACAGGAATTCAATTGAGAAATTAGATGAAATAATTACTTTTATGATCTTCTGTTCTAATGTTTAGCAAGATGATATAATCCTGATGTTAATGCAGTAGTTAACCACTCAGAACACGCACACTGAGAAACTCGTATGCAGCTAAAGCTCAGGACCTAGAACTAGACAGCCCAGGCTTCATAGCAAGAGACCAGGACATTGACCAAGTCATTCATTATGTTTCAGTTTTTCTCCTACAATACAGAGAATAGTAAGAAACTGTGTCTATCTCATGTGACTCCAGGGAGTTACTCATAGTAAACACATAGTAAATGATGTGTTAGGAAAATGATGGCCTAGTATCCTTACCTCCTTCTATAAACTACGTTATTAACCATTTTTAGTAACTGGAAAAATACTCATTACAGAAGAAAACGCACACACTAAGAATGCTTTGTGTCTAAGATCAAATTATACTTTGAATTTTCTTTAATTATGTAAAATGTGTTCACTTAAATTAGATAGAATACAACTAAAATGACTTGGAAAAGAACAAGGCTGTCAACTAGAAACAGAAGTTAGAGTAAGTTTATCATATCATAAAAATATGATCTAGGAATAATGAGGAAAACAATTTTAATTTTTCAGATAGGCAGCTACTGTCTTTATTTTAACAGGAGAAATCTGCTAACCTTGTGAACTCAATGGCATGTGATGTCTTAACAGAAATTCAATCAAGCAATTAGATGTAATAACTGATTCCATAATCCTCAGCCTTGGGAAATGATTAAATATGGAGAAAAGAAGCAACAAAGTAGATGGTAGAAATATTCACTTATTACAGCTCATTACAGAGCAGAATGAAGAGGTTTTGGCATTTTGGGTATAAAGGAGGACAGAAGAAAGAATTCTTGGGAAATGAAGTGGGAAGAATTACTGAGAGAATCTCCAGAGGACAAACGGTGTGCATGCCAACGCTCTAGTAAGACAGCGAGCACCAGGGCAGGCGGGAGCAAGCAAGGCTCTGCAGCAGACATGGAGTTCTCAGAGAGAGGCAAAGCCCCTTCAAGAGTACCAGTAATAAAAGAAAACCAAGGAGAACCAACAGCTAAAATCAGAAAGGCAGTTGAAGAACAGGCTTGTTCCATTTACAATAAAGATCCGAGGAAGCATTAATGTAGGCAAGTAGACTTCAGAGGTCAGAGGGAGAGGAAACAGAACTGCTCAGACTCTAAAGAAATGCCTAGACAGAGGCTCCAAGGAACGACGAGAGCACACCTCTCTCTCACTGCCATAAGGAAATGACGGCATGACAGGAGTTGAAAGGAGGGGTACATGGTTAGTGGGAAGGATTTCCGGTGTTGTTAAGGAGGGCTACACGGCTAGTGGGAAGGATTTCCGGTGTTGTTAAGGAGGGCTACACGGTTAGTGGGAAGGATTTCCGATGTTGTTAGGGAGGGCTACACGGTTAGTGGGAAGGATTTCTGGTGTTGTTAAGGAGGGCTACACGGTTAGTGGGAAGGATTTCCGGTGTTGTTATTTTATTTTTATTGTGGTTATGCAGACCCTGTGCTGAGAGAAGGAACTGGTGAACAGAACAATTCAAAATTAGATAATTTGTTCAGTTTGTGGTGAGGGGAACAGATAATCTGAGATTAGGACTGAACAAGTGGAGTTTTGAGATAGACCAATAGGATTTCTAGGAAGACCATTACTGAACTTCAGGAAATCTTAAAAAAAAAAAAAAAACTAAAACAAAAAAAAAATCTGTAGCTTGTAAATAAGTTTTTGGGTTTACCTACAATAGACTACAGAAATTTTACTCTATTTTTTCCTGACAAGAATGTCTATCAAGTTCTCAAAATATTTTAAAGTTTTAAAACCAAAACAAATAACAAAAATAAAGCCACACAAAAGCAGAATTATGCCCACTGTAGAGATATAAGCTGATGTATCTGGTGATGTAATTCTTTACAGATCCTTAAACATAGCTATAACAAATACAGGCAGTTTAATGCATTTATGCAGGATACTGGTGAAAAGTTGAAGCAGTTTCTAAATTGTGTAAGAAATAATGTGAAAGGGAAAAAGAAATAAGAGTAGAGAGAGCTGCAGGAAACAGAACAATGATAAATTCAAAGTCGTGTATACGTGTATACACATATGTAGTGAAACAGATATATATATGATATATACTCATAAAATAGTTAAACATATGTTAAAACAGAAATTTTATAAAAATATATAGAGAGGAAAACAGAGAGAGAAATGTATATGTTATATATATGAATATCAAGATAAAATATCTATATAGGATCATTACACTAAACTGAAGTCACTTATTACCATAATAAAACTGAATGTTAAGAACACTGAGCTACATTAAATTTTTGATGAATAACAGTTTTTATACATAGGCAGGCAATAAAAGGAAAGAAAAGCCATGCCTCAAAATAAATAAAGGGTAAATAAAGAAATAAATGAAGCAGGCATTTGTTGCTTGTTTTTCAACTAGAGAATGCAGTAATATGATAGGAAGAATACTGAAAAGACAACTGATTCTCAATTCTGAAGACAGAGAGTTTGGGCAAATGATCTATTGCCACTTCAGAAGTATGCACTATGAATTAATGTCCTCATGGGTACATCAGTTCAGATCACACAAGAACTAAAGGGAAGAGTTCTTAGACCAGTTAGAGTTTATAGAGTACTTACATACAAAATGCTATCATTGAGTTCTACAATAAGTGTATTGTCAGATCTGAAGACTGCAAGATGTCTCCAAACATTAATTGCAGATCTCTGATAAGTTCTTTGAATTTTTTCCATGACACTCATGGGTTCATTTATTAAATTATTTGAAAAGGAGGGGAAGAACAGAAAATAGAAATTACATCTGTATGTGTGTATGTGTTCATTCCATGCACTTTACATGTATTACACATATAGTGCAATGCTAGACAGGACCTGAAAACTAACACTCAGAGAAACTACAATCATATCATTTGTAGGAGGTGATGAGGCAAAGACTGAACCTTGTTTATAGACTTTCAGGTGCTATGATCAAATAGTGTATTTGGGTACAGGGCAAGAAGAGAAAGATAAAAACTCAGAAACATTATCTTATTCTAAAGCACCAGAACTACATAGTTCTCAAGTTCTGGCTTTAAGTTTACAGAGAATGGTAAATTAACTTGAAATTCAGAAACTTAGAAGCACAATGAACAAAACAAATATAAAAATTTTAAATCTTAATAGACCCATTTCAGGAATAATTTCATAAAAGCCTTATAAGCCTTTGGACATCCATTTTCAAAAAGTATCAAGAGGGGGATTACTATAGTAAAAAACATTTGAGCCAATAAAATCAGGTTTGACTCTATCATAGACTATTGTTTAAAACAAATAAACTATTAAAAGGCATCAATAGTAATGCTTAGCATTTATTTAACACGTGTTACAGGCTAGGTTCTGTGCTAAGTTTATAACCTACCTCATCTCTGAATTCTCACACGTACATCTGAGGTAGGTACACTTAATCCTAATTAACAATGGAAAAACCTGGAGCATAAGGCTAATATTAATAATATCTCCTCTATGTCTTACATTACAGACACTATGATAGTTTCATTAGTCAGCATATTTTAATAAGTGCTAACTAATAAAGTGTACGTGGTTACTAGAAACATTTAAAAATACATCCAAATACATACTTTAATTAAACCAAACATCTAAACATGTTTTGCTTTTGTGCTCATCAATATGTGTGCTATAGAGGTTTTGATTCTTAATGGATTATTATTGTAAAGGATTATTCAACCAAATAAGTGATGAACTCTTTTCCAAATTAAATAGCATCTCTCATAAGTCACACATGGTTCCAGGTCAAAACAAGGCAGATTAAGAAAGAAGTGGTCAGGATGAATTTCTAATCCACTGATATATCATGTAGGCAGACTATGCTGTGTCAACTAGTTTAGCTCTGTCAAAGCCACATGTGCACATGTTATAGCTGAGAGGAAAGGTATCCTGACAACTGGGATCCAAATAATACTACAAAGTCACACTGCTCAACAAACCTCACACAAGAATGTACTGGGGAAAACACAGGAGGGTGGCTGTGTCTGCTTAAGAGAAGAAGCAGAGAACTGAGTAGGAGGCAGGCTTAAACAGGGTTTCTTGGGGGAAGACTTTTCCACAGTGGAGATTTCAGGGTGGGGACTGGTGGAATTTCAAGTTCTGAACTCGGGGTGAGCTCAGGGATTGGTGGGATTTCGAATTCAGGGAATGGTGTAGGTTTTCAAGCCCCGAGGGTGGGGCAAACCCAGGGATTGGTGGGATTTCAAGCCCCCAGGGTTTTTACCCTGTAACATGCCCTGAGTCTGTCTTTCAGTTACACACTAAAATGAAAGCATGAGTAAAAGTCTTCATGTTGGAAAAGAACAATGTTGAGAAATTAAAACACATCCCATGGGGCTGGAGATGGTTCATCAGCTGTGAGCACTGGTTGCTCTTGCACAGGACCTGGATTCTATGCCAGCACTGACATGACATGGTGGCTCATAACCAGATGTAACTCCAGTTCTGTGGGACCCGACTCCCTTTCTTTTCATCTGGAAGCACCAGACATGGGATACAAGACACACGTGCAGACAAAACACCCATACATATAAAATAAATAATAATTAAATTTTAAAATATTAAAAAATAGATCTCACTAGAGTTTAATTTTTTAAAAAAATTTGTTTCAACATCAAAAGTTGTATTTCCTGAAGATGATAAATTGGAGTTATCCAAAGTATTAGGCATATTACTGTGATTTTGCTATCTGAGGAACTCACTACAAATGAATGGATGGTGCTGAGTAGAATAATTAGGAAAATAGACCAGAATTTTAGGTAGCCTCTTCATTTTAGAAGCTGATATGAACAATCTCTCCCCCCCTTTCTCCCCCCCCCCATTTCTCCATGTAGCCCTGGCTATCCTGGAACTCACTCTCTCTCTGTAGACCAGGCTGGCTTTGAACTAACTGAGATCTGCCTGCCTCTGTCTCCCAAATCCAGGGATTAACAGTATGCGCCACCACTGCCTAACTCACTTTTCTTTTTCTAACATGCTGTTTCACAAGTACTTACTTGCAGAATGACATTTAAGCAAAGTCTGACTTTTCAAAATGTGCTCTTTTACACCACATGACTGAGGCCTTACCACGTCTAACTGCAAAGCCCTTTCTTCAGTGTGATTATCAGCTAAATATTAACAACCACCACTGTAACTGTGCTAATAAACTTTTCTGTGCCGTAAGTCTTCAATGAGAAACAGAACAAAGTGTTGACTTATTCTCAACACACCTTACAGAATCATTGGCTCCTATGTGAGTTAACACAATGAAAACTGTGTTTATTTAATATCTAGAAGAAAAGGATGCCTTTCTTTGAAGGGATATAAATAAGAAATCACAGATGTCCCTTTGATTCTGGCAATGATGCAACTGTACATAGAGAAATGAGGCAGGCTGGAAATTAGGATCTTCTACAAACTCAACTGCTGAGTTAAGTCTGGCCAGATTTGACAAATAAATTCATTCTCTGAAGATATAAATATATATATATATATATATATATATATATATATATATATATATAAACAGCTTAGATTTTTCTTCAAGATAACCTACTGCCAGGGCATACAGCTGACTTACAGCCTTAAATGATGCCTCTGGATAACATGGTACGTTTACTACCTTTTCTACTGCCATGTGGACCTTGTGAGAAAGACTAACTGCAAATAAAGAATGCGGATTTTGTAGTAGGCCTAGTCACTCTTATAACTAAAATGCATAAAAGGCCTATCAACTATTCTCATTAAACTATAAAATAAACTACCTCACATAAGCACTCAAGCACAAAATCAAGAACCACCAACAATTCTTGGGCTATGTTCAGGAAAGCAGTAGTACATTATTTCAGTGTACACATACACAACCACACGTGCACACACACAAAACAAACAAAAAGGTGGGAAAGAAAGAAACATGGAGAAAAAATACACTATATCAAAATAAAGTTGGTCAGTACCTGGAGTTGACATCCCCGTGTCCCAGTTGGCCATGCTGTCCATATCCAAATGTATAGACATCTCCATTCTCCATCAAAACCACTGAAACCAACAGTTTTATAGTTTTGCATGAGCATTTTATATTTTTATTATCATTCACAGTTAAATCTATCGTCATTAACATACACAATAAAAAGGATTAGATGGATGAGTGACAGGAGGGCAGTGTAGAGCAAAGAATATGGGGAGGGGTAACTAACATGACAAACTTTGAAAAGCAATACAGATAACTACTAAAGAAGAAGCTTCCTAAAGCATACACATATAAAAAGAGTATAAATCAAGTCACTCTACAATGGTGGGACAACATCACAACTAGACAACACATGCTGATAACAATAACAACAACAACAACAACAATAATAATAAAATCATAATAATAACAACAAAACCAAAAAACCCACTGCCAGGAATGAGTTATCTCTTTTTGAGTTGCTGTCCATTGTGGTCCCATGGAACCCCTATTATAAGCTATTAGAAATTCTCTTAGTTCATCTCTACAACTTGATGGTTAGGCCCTACTGCCTACTTGCATATACTATATACTTGAACTGTAAAAATGGAAAAATCAAGGAAGAATTGTTCTTGAAGCTTCATCTCTATAGCTTTCAAATTGCTACATGCACACTACCCAAAGAGAAAGCAACTATCATTGTTACCCAGTTTAGAACCAGGGGTGGAAAGATTGTAAAAGCCAGAGATGATGGATGACTGCATGAAAACAGGATTTTCTAGACACAAAAGGGCAGATGTACAAATGGACTGTGACAGTATGACCAAGATACACAAGGCCACAACAGACAAAATCTCAACATGGACCAGGGGAGGTGGGCATAAAGTCTAGCACAAGAGGATGAGCTGTTAGCATTTGATAGCTATTGGCAGAGGGAGAGGCATTTTATTCAAGGATGTAAACCCTGGTAGGTCAACTAGTCTTCAGGGCAGGTCCCACACCTAAGAGTCCCTAGGCAAAACAAAATGGACTTAACAGGTTAAAAAAAAGAGAGGGTGGGGAAAAAGGCTGGGTACGTAGAGATGTAAGGAAAGATCTGGGAAGAGTTGAGGGGGGTGGGGAATGTGAATATGATCAAAGCACATTGCATAAAATTCTCAAGAAAATAAAAATTGAAATTTAAAATTAGGTAAGCAAGGTGTGGCAATGCACACCTTGAATCCCAGTCTGTGGGAGGGAGAGGCAGTTGGACCTCTGGGAATTTGAGTCCAGCCTCATCTATCCAGTGAATTCTAGGTCAGCCAGGAGTACACAGTAACATCTTGTCTCAAAAGATAGTCAATATAAAAATTTGGTAAGAGTGGCTTGCATAATTCTACATTTAACAAAAAATGTAACATTTTTGGTTCTGTAGAATATTTTATAGATCATACAATGTGTGCTTCTCATAATACATACCAAAACTTTTTCTTGTTGTTGTTGTTTCATTTTTGTTTTTGTTTTTCAAGACAGGGTTTCTCTGTGGCTTTGAAAGCTGTCCTAGAACTAGCTCTTGTAGAGCAGGCTGTTCTCAAACTCACAGAGATCCACCTGCCTCTGCCTCCGAGTGCTGGGATTAAAGGCATGCCCCACTAACTCCAGACTCATACTAAAACTCTTACAAGTACTATTACTATTAAATAACATTATTTAGTGATATATGTTGGTTTATCTTAATAGTAGGTAAGCACACATAAAATTCTGTTCCTAATATCTAGAACATTTAGAGGCAAGCAAGTAGAGTGGGACTCTACATAATTATACACATCAATACAACAATAGAACCTAAGATTTGCTAATGTTTTATCACATAAGAAAACACACTGACTTAATTTTTAGTTCTTATAAAGGTTGAATAGTGTAACCTAAGCTATTTAAGTGGAATGCCAATAATTTACTAAGAATCTATTTTATTCATTTTATTATTTTAAAGATATATTTCTAACTCAACATTAACAAAACATGGGGTAATATATTGTAAGCGCCATGAGATATTTAGAATTGAAAGGCAATTCAGGAATTTTTCATTGCTAGTAATCTCTTGAACTGAATTACAAAGTTTATCAGCAGACAAACTAGAAGTTAGATCTCTTGACAAGTACAGTACTTTCATCATGCTATCGTTTTGTTTTTAAGAGATTCTGCAGGACAAAATCCTCATCAGCTTGAGAGATACTGTGCCTTGATGTACAGGCAACAGGTACTGTTTGTCAATTCTAAGCAAGTAACACACAATTGTAAAAATGAAGTTATACCCCAAAGTTCCAGCTGCTACCTGAATGGTGAAATCCACAGCTGACTTGTACTGCTCGGAGCTCACAGTCAAACCTCACGGAGCCTGGAGGATAGGTTGTGATTTTGCTTGCATCCTTTTCCCCTCTATCTCCACTTCCATCTGAAAATGTTACAATTCACGATTACACCATTATTCATTTTCTCTATAATTTTTAAGTCAGCTTACTATGGAAGAGAGAAAACTGTTAAAAAGGAATAAGCAAGAAGACCCTGTTGTTGTTAGAAGTGATAGAACAAGAAGCTACCTGCAAAGAAGCCAGTCTGAACAGATTTTTTTTCTGTTATAAATACAACTAAACCAATAAAAATAGGATCTGATTATGGATGAAAACTAGCAAGCTAATTAGCTGTATCATAAAATTCACAATTAAGTAATAAAGTTCTAATGTGCAATTTAAGTTTGATATGGGAAAATTTAGTTTGTAAAAAAATAACTACATGCAAAGTCAATTAACAATAATTTTACTTAGTGATACTGTTAGTACTTGCTAGTTACAAAAGCCTAGTAAACTCACAATTGACAGATTTCTTAACCAGCTCTCAGAAAGGCTTTTGCCTTTCTGCCTGCCCACCAAAATGACAGAACTCAACTAAGATTAAAAAAAAATGTATAAAGACCAAAGATCTTCGGCCAGGCGGTGGTGGCGCACGCCTTTAATCCCAGCACTCGGGAGGCAGAGGCAGGCGGATCTCTGTGAGTTCGAGGCTGGGCTGGCCCCACAGCCTCCAAATCAATACAGAGAAACCCTGTCTCGTAAAACCAAAAAAAAAAAAAAAAAAAGACCAAAGATCTTCATTCAAGATACTATAGTTCAATGGCTTAGTCCCAATCATCAACCCTCTCTAACTTTTCCTTTCAGTATTCTAGTTTGTGGTTTTCTTCCTGGCCCTACCCACTACAGCTTACCAAATCTTCATTCTGCTTTTGTTCATTTTTTTCTATCTTTATTCTTTTTATAATTTTCAGCTCTCAACTTGCTTTAGGCTTCTTTCAGTGACTGCTTTCAGTATTTGATTTAGAAATGTATGGTAGTCTAACCATAGCATCCACACTCTAGAATAGTAAAACTTCAATTTGTTAATGTGTGAATAAGACAGACAGCTTGTTTTTGAAACAAATATGACCTTTATGTTATCAATATTCAAATTCCTTTCAGATAGTATGAATGAACATTTGGAAGGAATTTCAACAGGTCAACTGGGCTAAACCATTTCACTGTAGCATAGGAACACTACACAAGTATATGTAGTAAGCAGATACATATGTGAATCTATAGACACATATTCTAAATTCTGTATTTTACTACCCATTTAAAAGTATTAAATACAAGAACATTGACTCTTTAGTTTTCCTTTCATTCACTCTGATTTAATTTCATTAATATTTAAGGAACACAAAACGTGATCTAAAGTATGACCTCCTTTTCTATAAAAAAAATAATAGCCTTCATCTTAAAAACTGTGACCACTTTCCAGCACTAGGGCAGTAAAACCTCACTAATTCAGAATAGCATAAAATGGGTAGGCCCATGTGACTTACTGAAGAAGAATTAATTACAGAATATTGAAGTAAAGGTTCAGTTTTGTTATCTTCGAGCAATATAGATTACAGATTAAATTCTACAATGAAGAAAATGTTCCCCTACATTAGACTTCAAAACAGGCCAACATTACATTAAAATGTACCATAAACATGAAAGTCCTTTAACATACAAGAATTAACTGCTGGACCCAGAGGTTGAAGGCACGTTGAAGGAATCCTTCATTTCTTGAGCCCTTGGTTTGAAAAGCTAGTGATTTTAGACAGGTTTCCCCTTAAAAGTATGACCCTGAAAATTCAGAGGAAGAAATTACTTTGAATTTTTTATTGAAATATATCACAAATACTACACCTGAATTAGTGAGAGGTTTTACTTTAACAGGATAAAAAAATAATAACTCTTTTGCTAAGTTTTCTAATGTGGGTTTGTCTGTTAAACCAAAGAGGGGGAAAACAAATAAAAAATTCTAACAGTTTCAGACCAGATGAAATGTATCCCTCACCTAAAGGCTTCTTTCTCATCTGGTAAGATGGTAGACTATATCCATAGCCTCACACAAAAAGGAGTGTGTTTCCCAAAGACTATTTAATCAAAGACTAGATGGAAAGAAGCTCTATAGCTTCCTCATAGCTTGTAAAAATATACAATAATGAAATACAAGTGTGATTTAAAATCACAGTAGTTATTTCACATGATTTCACCAAACTTAATGAAACACGTTAAATATGTGACTGTATCTACCCACTTAGAAACTTTGACCTTGACTTCAACATTTTTCTCCTCCCGTAAATTATAGCTAACATAAATACAAACCCCACAAAAGAGAAATAGCATCAGAGAAGATTTTAAAGATCTAATAATTTAATAAATAAAATACAAATAAAAGAATGAAAGATTTTATTGAGATATCAAAATTCTACTTAGAAACATTTTGTCAAGAGTTATTGTAAACACCCTATATATAAAATGATACCTTAATATTATGATTGTGGGAGTATTAGTAAAAAAAAAATAAGAATGAGTGTTAGTCACTGGCAGACTTTTTAAAGACACACACACACACATACACACACACCTGGGTCTTGATATAAGAATAATACAATTGTAATAATTTAGAGTTTTTTTAAGTTTGGAAAAGAAGTGCCTATAAACAGCCAAAATGTAGTTCAAATCAGGAATCAAAAAGTGAAACTCAGTAAAGTCAAGTTCATTACTCAGAAAAAGATTAATGAGCAACTAAAGAATTTTATTTTGTGTTACAGAAAAGTATGTCTGAATAACCTTATAATTGCCCTTAGCATGAGTACAACTGTCTTTTTCTAATCCATGTTCACCTGTATCTATCACGTGAGAGTAAAACGAAATCTTGGCATAAAATACTGTATTTATCTTGTGATCATATTTGTAAGTTATATGTAACTCTGTAACATCTAAAGGACTATAAACTCTTTAAAGCCATGTATTTTTGAGCTAAGCTTAGTCATACAAACCTAAAAGTGATCACAGAACACCATGAGTGCTTTGAGCAAAATCATTAAATAAAACATTGAGCAGTAGCACCTCAATGTCTTAAGCACTTGATCTGTGTTAAACATTGCTAAATTTTGAATGCCACAGTGGATAAGTGAGTGGTTGCATTAGAACCCTAGCTGGTGGCATAACAACTAGACGCTGGACACTGGGCCTTCCGCATTTGCCTTCCCATGCCCAAAACAGCAACAATGCGCACCTCACAGAACTCTCTGGAGGATCAAGCAAAGTAATTTACACAAAGTATTCAATCAATATTTACCATTATTGTTTATTATTATTTGACCTAATCAACATAGCAGTTCAATGACACAGGTATTCTCTTACCATTTACTAAACATCAAGCAGCCATGCAACCAGTAGAACTAACTTAGAATTTGAATATAAATAAGGCTCATATGTTTTGGGTTTTTTTTTCCTATCACCAAGTCACTGACACCTTAAATCTTTGGTTAAAAATAAACTACATACTTGATGAAATTGAAAATTTTGTACATTCAAGAGAATTCTAAAATAGAAGAAGCAAAGAGTGAAGTTAAAAGAGTTAAGGCTGGCATTCATGGCAGATTTCCATGTGTAAAGGTAATATACATATGTCATATTTCTTAATATAATCTTTAAAGTGCAAGTTATTTAAGCTTTTAAAATAAAGACATGTAAACTAAAGAGACTAAAAAATTTATGACGCTAAAGAGATGAACAAATTGATGAGCAGCCATGTCATTTGAGTAAATGAAAGATTTAGTATGAAAACTGAAACATTAAAGGTCTAATATTTCCAATATATTCTATAGCACTCCCAAAAAGAAAGAGCAGAAAACATTCCCAAGTGCTTAGAAGGATGCCTTCAGAATGTCACACCAGTCACTCTAAAATAGATTCCAAGACCATTTCTAGAATAATTCAGATGTTCATAACTAGGTATGACATGTCAAAAGACATCTCTGACTCTGAGAAGTAGCTGGAGATAATGTTAATCCAGGAATCATTTTTGATAGCTAGTTTATGATAACATTTCAAACAACCTACATATGTTACACAGAATTCTACTAAGTGACTCAGTCTTACACAGTCAAGTTTTGTAATTGAAGCCTGTCATGTTGTGAATATCTCTGAACTCTTTGCAGTTGGCTAGAAGCTCTTCAGCTTTCCATCTTAGAAAGCACTGCTAATAAATCTAGTTTTTAACCCCTAAAAATCCACAGGACAGAAAACTAACTGTTATCATCCTACAATTGTACCAGCAACACAATTTATAGTAATACTTAGGTCAAAAGATAACAACTAGCACAGTGAACTTCTAAGTGGATAAAGTAAAGGCCAAAGTATTAAAAAGAAAAAGTGTATAAAGGGAAAATATTAAAATATAGTGAAATGTAGTAAGAACAGTCAATAGAGAGGAATAAAAGACAGGACAGTGAATAAACAGTCGACCAATTAACATAGTGTGTGGAAAAGAATTAGTGAGTGGAAAATTAATATTTACAGATACATATACTGTTCTACTTTAGGTAAAATTGTAGAAGAATCCCGGTCATACAAGAGATTAGGAAGATCTGCACTAAAAGTGGAGTATCATACCACAGGTTCTGGAAAATAACAATATAATTTACATAATTTATTCTAAAAGAACTATTCTATAGATTACATACACATGAGTTGTTTGATAACCCAGTAAATAAAGCAAACTCAGTTTTATTGTAACAAATTTTACATTTAAAACACATATGTCCTTCAATATTTATGCATTAAGTTTTTTATGGTTTTTTATGCATTAAGTTTGAACTTCTTGTTTTGTCTGCTTTGTTTTGCTTTGAGAGACAAACTGACAATCAGAAAAAGGCAAGTAATAAAGCTGGCACTACCAGTCATGTATGAAAATACTCTTTAAAAGACAGGTTAAAGTCTCTTGGCCAAAGGAAAAAAACCAAGATATGCATGGTTATTAACTTGTCTATAAAGCATGTATTTTTAAAGCTGTCTTCAGCTCTGCCTTTAACACCCAATATAAGTTGGACTAGCTAATGAAGTGTAGTTGTTACAAAGCTAGAATTCAAGATAAAATATGTATATAAATTAAAAATTACCTTCACTAAATTATTTACTGATACAAGCCAAGCTATAACTGGTTGTCCAAAACAAGTATAAGCATGCCTTGGGATTGTTTTTCTTAGCTCAGAACTCGGCATAAGAAATAAATGATGTAGAAGGTGACTCCTAGTCTCTCCCTTTGGTTAGAACACAGACCTCTTTTGAAAAATGACAATACATCTACTTATTCTCTATTTATATCTAATTCTATAAGACCCTCAAATAGCAAGTATTTCTATATTCCTGTATGCTGTTAACATTAAAATAACAGAAAAATGCACTGGCAGTCTTAACGTATTTTATATATTATATTTAATAATTTTGTTAATGCTAAACCATATTAACATTTTAAAAAGGACTAAAGTGCGAAACTGTGATCACCGAAATCCCAAGGGTAAAGGATATACAGAGAAAGGAACGACACCTCTTTACCTAGGAAAATAAACGAAAGAGATGCACTGTAAACACAGTCCTTAGCTCACAACCACAAAGAGAGCGGTCCCACAGGCACACAGAAGCAACCCTTGCAGCATGTTCTTTCTCCTCAGGCTGGACACCCACAGAAGCAAAGCAGCAGAGTCAGTTTTTGCATTTTCCCAGAGACAAAACCCAATGAGTGGAAGAAGTTGGGAGAGCATCCCACCTAGGTGATAAGGAAGACCAAATACCTTTGTGCTTGTCCCGTTTATGCTTTAGCTGAGCTGGATGGGATCTGAGTCTGGCTAGAGCCTGTTCTCGGTGGTTCATAAAAATAGGACCAGCAAATACAAGGGGGCCTGAGGAGAAACATTTTGTATGTGCATAGAAAAGCTCACAAAATGAAAACACTATAATGAACAAAAATAATTCAAACTAAACTATATGAGAAAAATTATTTTTAACTGTTTTGGACATTTTACTTTTTTTTAATTCCCCAGTTCATTACCTAGTAACCATCCAACACATTACTTGCTCAAGTACAGTTTATAATGTAAAAATCCAATTTTTTATCTTTAAAAGAACTGGGCACTTACTAACAGTCTCAAATAGATAATCTTAAAAGTATTTTTCAATACCATATATTAAAAATTAGTAAATATATAATGAATGAAAACAAGTTTGTTTACTTTTGAAATAACAGAATACAACGAATTTTTAAGTTAATCAATAACAAGGTAGTCCAGATAGTTCCAGATCTAGGTCACCTTTATTATAAAACCAAGGTAAAATTGTTATTGACATTTCTACATGTTGTGAAAGTATTGTAAAACTAGATGTTCAAAAGCAAAATCCAAAAATGTCTAAGTGAGTAAATACATATATATCTATGTATGATTAAATATATACGTGTAAACAAGAATAGATTGAGTCTCATATCGACAGTAGATAGGACTATCTACTTAAATTAACATTTTAGGGACATTAAATAACAGTCATTAAGTCATTTATGTCTGTAGCACCATTATACAAAACATAATCATACATATTTGTTACTTGTACTTTTTTAGTTAAGGAAAATATCTACTCAAAATGATTTATAAAAAATTTTAAGAGATCATTTTTCCTTGTGAACATTTAACTTGAAAAGAATTTTAATTAATTTATCTAATAATAAAAAATTAAAACTACAGTCATAATAAATTTTACAAATAGTTTAAATATATTAAACATATAAACAAATGAATAAAGAAACATTTTGACTATGTTCCTAGATAAAACAAAAATATGAGTAGCACCAATAATTTGAAAAGACAAGAAAAATATTTTATGTGATTATAATACAAACGTGCAAATTTAATGTCAGAAGAATTAAGTATTATTTCCCTATAATCAGCAAGTTCATATAAATTGAGCTTTACTTCTAAAGGAAGCAAAGCACATACATCAATAAGTACAAAATGTCTTATGTCCTCATTATGTGTTACTATCAGTTGATTTATTAAAGAAATTAGCAAACGTAACTCTTAAGGAATTTCCATCTATAAAAAAGAATACTGAACACAACTTATAGTAAGTTATATTACCCTTTTCTGACTTTCAAGTCTGATGGAGATATTTTTACCTAGAAAAATACAGCTACTGATTCATTAATTAGTCTTTCACTAAATTCAATCTTTTAAAAATCTTTGGATATATAAACACAGACATTACATCAGCAATCACTAGAAACAGAAAGCTCCAAAACAGCACTGTATCACTGAAACAGTTTTCTCAGATACATAACTAGATCATTCATTTATTCACAAACTGTGGTTATTTTATAAGTAGTAGATACTAGGTGTCACAAGTAGTGATTATAAATACATAGGACTGCAACAGAAAAACAAATGAAAACAACTCTATGATATTATACTAAGAGCAATAAAAGAAGTCTGTGTGACATTAAGGATAAAAAGCTCTTCGGTGCAATTTGTTTAACTCAGAAAGGTTTTAAAAGATGTGGAGTTAACAAGAGAAATGGAAAGGAAGATATTACAGCTAAAAGACTTAGAAAAAACATGAAAATGTTAAGCAATATTGTTGTCATTAAAAAAACAAAACAAACAAGCAAAAAAAAAAAAAAACAGCAACCTGGAACCAAAGTTAGAGAGTCATGGCCAATGAGTCTGTGTGCCTGGCATGATGGTACTCCTCTATAATTCCAGCACTTGGGAGGATCACAACTTCCACAACTTCCAGTCCAATCTGAGCTACACACTATGACCCTGGGTCAAAACAAACATGCACTTTTTGATAGAATAAGCCTCCATTCTGCAGGTAACCAGAAATCCCTGAACTGTTTTCAACCAGCCAATTTGAAGGAACAACTAGTAAATAAGACATAAGCTCTGCTTCAACAATCACACAACCTAAGGGGTGGGGGGTTACACACTGCCAAATGAGAAGTTATTGTATTATAGTATATTAAAAGGAAATACACTAAAGGGGCAGGAAGAGACAAATGTTGGGAAAGTATGCATTGGGGAGATACTAGAAACACCAAATAAACACATCTAATAAGTAGATGGAGTACTACGGAGGCTTAGTGACAGGAGATAAAAAGGAAGGGGATGCTGGAACTAGGAATACGAACATCTAGGAGGCTGCAGGGAGAGAATGAGCACTGAACATGAGGGCAATCAGGGTCCCTGGACTGTAAACACAGACGGGCCACTCGTCAGGACACTGCAGCATTACTCGTTTGGGCAAAAGGTGAGGCTGGCTTGGAAAGGGAAAGAATGGGGTGAAGAACAGCTGAACAAGGGTTTCGCTGCAACACCAAAAAGAAGAGGTGACCTGAGCAAAGATGGGAGCAGCCGGTTCTCAAAGAAAAACCCAAAGCTCCTGAGGAGTTAAAAAGTCGGAATGAGTATAACTTACTGGCTTTTCAGTACAAGACAGTGACTAGAACAAGCCTGGAATAATTACAAATTTGATATCTAACAGCTCCCTCTGTTAATGTGTTTAAAGTGGATTTATTTGGGGCCCATTCACAAGCAGGTAAAAAGAATGAAGAATAAATGACAGAATTAAATAAGACAAGATTTTCAGACAGCTATTAACAACATATAGAAATAATTTTAAAATTATTCTTGGGACTGGGGATACAGCTGTGCAGGAAAAGTGCCTGCCATGTAAGCATGAGGACCCAAGCTCAAATTCTCACACCCACATTAAGAGGCAGGCATGCACAAGGACATCTGTAACCCACAAGAGTAAGGCAGAGACGAGTGAACACCCAGAGCGCTCCAGCTAGGCAGTTAAGCTAAAAAGGCAAGTTCCACATTCAAGGAAGAGACCCTGTTACAAAGAAAGGTTAAAGTGCAGAGTTACTGAGGAAGGCATCTCAACATTCACCTAGGGCCTCCACAAATGCTAACGTGGACACACGCTCCTGCCCATACACACGTGTACGGACACACATATTACACATGTATCTCTCTCACACTCTCTCTCTCTCACACACACACACACACAATCTCTTTCTCTCTCCCTGCTTCTGTCTCTGACTCTGTCTCTTTCTTTCTGTCTTCTGACTTAGAAAACTATACTTCTTCCCATTTATCCTAAGGAAAATTGTTTAAAAATTCTAAAGAAATTTCAACTCAGAGGTGCTTATTATAATTGCATCTCATTAATTGAGGCAAAAATCTAAAACTAACCCATAAAAATTCACAATTAATTTAAATACTATGGCATCTCCTCAATGGAAGAGCATTCAGGCATTAAATTACAACTTAAGGAACTGTTTTGTTCTGTTTAAATAAATAATTAAAGATGAAAATAGAATGCTTTAAATGTATATAACAATAGGCCACTTTCCTAATTATATATATACCTATACTTTTTAAATGTATAGCTATCTGCACAAAGTATATCTCAATTGAGAGAAATATGGAAATATCTGAAGTAGACTATTTATTAACATAATGGGAAGACTACAGAGGGAAGAAAATGACCTATGACATTATAAAAACTGTTCATAACAATGAGTAAATAATAAAAAAATCAGTATATAAACAGAAATATATAAAACTTGATAATAAAATGACACTGAAATAAGTAAAATTTGTAACTGAATCAAAGAACAGGGTCTAAATTATTGTATGACTTCAATTATTTTGTATGTGGTAAAGAGTATTCAAAAATTAGAAAGAATTTTAAAGAGGAAAACAGGTACCAATATGTACTGTAGGATAAAATCATCAAAAATAACTACACAAAATTATATATACAATTTTTAAAGAAATAATACCAAAATTCCGTTTATATCTTTACATGAAAATCTTTTAACTGATTATTTCTAAATGCTTTATATATTTTAGTTTTAAAAGATGTTTATGTGTCATTGGAATTGAACTAATACTGTATTTCATGTATTAATGGCTTTAGGGTCCTAACAATAGCAATACTAACATGGCCACTGTGACTAAACAATTTTTTATGTATCAAAATAGAATCTGTTTCATTCTGGAGAAAGAGCTGAGGATTTTTCTGTATCAGCATCAATGTTTTACAACTAGAACCAAAATGTAAGAAAAGTAATTATGCCATAGTCAGAGCTATGCCAGTATCACTTTTTATAAAATGGACTACTACCACTATAATTCAACAATCATTTATACCTTAGCACACGCTAGGCATTTTCACACTTATCACCAATATACACTAACATAGTTAGGTAGGCACACCCCATTAAAAGTAAGGAAACAGGTTCAGGGAGGTTAAATTCCCAAGGTCTTCTCTATACAGCAGTATAGCTAGGCTATCCGTGTAAACTATTATCCACCCGAGGTGCCACCAAGAGTGATAATGCTATCGACCAGCTAATGTCATAGAAAGAATAGCTAATTGTACCAAATAGGCCTTAATAGCTAAACTGATTAAATGGGCTTTAATACAGAGCTAAGTGCTTTAAAACAACTAAGACAGACTTAAAACATAATGAGAAAGACGAGTGAGGAACATAACCAAACCCTTAAAGTACAAACATGGGTATACATCCACCACTAATGAACAAGAAGAGGGGAGCAGGAATATGAAATTTATGTCACCGCTGTTCTTGTATGGGAAAAGACAAACAATCTTTGCAGCACTGAAACACTGACCACTAGTCCAGCAATGACTCAGATAGAGGACAACGATGGAACAAACTTTGAACCACACTGATCTAAAATACTGGCTTACCAGTTTGGAATTGCCAGAACCCCCTGAAAAACTTGTTAAAGAACCACGATGCTGTTTTGTTTATGATCTAACAAATGAAGCTTGCCTGAAAATCAGAGTGCAAAGCTAGTCACAGTCATAGAGGCCAGGCAGTGGTGGTACACACCCTAAATCCCAGCACTCTGGAGACAGAGGCAGACAGATTACTGTTAGTACAAGGCCATCATGAGCTACACAAAATCCAGCAAGTCTAAAAGAGAAACAGAGCTCACACCAAGGTGACCTCAGCACTTAGGGTCCCACGCCTTTAATTCTAGCACTAGAGAGGACTATAAGGCAGGAGGAGACTGGAGCTGAGGGACTCTGAGGTTTGGTGGAGAGGAGCGCAATGTGAAGCAGTCAGAGGTCCAGTGGATCACCCTATGACTTGTCTGAGCACTGGTAGAGGGGAGAACTCTCTAGTGGCTGCTCACTTTACTTCTCTGATCTTCACCTTTAACCCCAATATCTGTCTCTGGGTTTTTATTATTGATACCAATTAGAATTCATGCTACAAAGAACACTTTGCTAGGCCCTAATATCCAAGTTTCAGATTCAGCACGACAGGGGTAGGATCCAAGAACTGGTACTTCTGGTAAGTGCCCATGTAATGATGGTCCCTTTGAGACCCATTACAACAAATGAAAGCTCTACTTTGGATAAAATCTATGAAATTATTGGGTTTTGTAGGTCACAGAATAAAAAAATGCTTTGGAAAGAGATAATAACAAAAATACCAATAAAAGAAATAAATTTCCATGTTAGAGACACATATAAAAGAATTTCAAATTTCCCAAACATTTATGAAATATAAATAAGAACAGCACATGTATTAATCTTATCAAACTATTTTAAAGACAATGACTTTATATGCATAAAGTCAAAGTGGCAAATGTTCATTGAATCAGTCAACACTGCTTATAAGTTTCTGTAAACAATAATCTGCACATTCCAAAAGTTTAATACATTTTTCAGGTACACCATTTAGTTATTTATTGCACTTCATAAAGAATAACTAAGAAAAAACGGACAATAATGGTAACAGGTTACCATGAGTTTATTAAAAAGTATAAAGTAATAGATTTATTTCTGTACCAAATATCCTGTACTTTCTTTTTTGTTTGTTTGTTTTCGAAATAGGATTTCCCTGTGTAACTTTGGAGCCTGTCCTGTAACTAGCTCTTGTAGACCAGGCTGGTCTTGAACTCACAGAGATCTGCCTACCTCTGCCTCCCAAGTGCTGAGATTAAAGGCATGTGCCACCACGGCCTGGCTATCCTGTACTTTCTAAGAAGTATTTAAGATATGCAATGTCAATAAATTCTTCTGATTAAGAATTTGCTTAATACAACAATAAAAACATAGACTTTCAAAAATTTGTTATATTACTATTCTGTGGGAGAACAATTTTTGTAACATAATAGTTATTTCTGCCTATTGGATATATGTTAAAATGTCATTTATATACAACTAGTATTAAATATATTTTCAGGCCAAGAAATTGTCCTAGACAAAAAGGAAATAATATAAGCAATAACCTCACTTTGCAAATAAACATGACTTGCAACTCATTTGTGTATGTGTGTATAATCTTTTTGCTAAAAAAAAAAAAAGACAAAAAAAGAACAATAATACATTGGACTGCAGGAAAGCATAATGATGTTATGTCAAATGACAATGATCATGAATGTCTAAGAGAACAGAAATGAGAAGCTTACGTTAAACTAAGTTTTGGCCCATGGTGTCCTAGTAAAGCATTGATCCTTAAATTTGGTACTGTCGTCACTAATGGTATTTATATTCTGCAATGGCACAATTCTTTTTCTTTTTTTAACAGTCTAACTGCAGACAGGCTTGGAATTTGTGGTAATCCTCCTGTCTTAACACTGGAGTACTGAAATTACAGCTCTGAGCCATCATGCTGAGTTATATGGCACACATTTTACTGTAGGTTGGTGAACATGCTACTGAATTAAATGTATTATTTTGAGGATAATTATAAATGTCATAAAAAAGTTCCTGTAACCTTCATTTGCTACTCGGATGTTACACATTAAGGATTTCTTATACAATGAGGGTATTCTGTAAATGTTTAAGTGTCTCAGACAGGGTATGAAAATTTCCCTACACCTTTTCTCTGTGGCTGCATCTTACCTCTTCCATCTTCTAGTCTGTGTCTTCTAATGACACGTTGTCGTTTTTCTTCTTGCCGTAACTGAAGATGTTCTTCAATATTGACCCCAGGTACAGGGACAGCTGGATAATTAGCCATAACAATAAAGGAACACATATTACACAAGTACAGAACAGTCACACCTATATGAACTTCAATACAATAAAAGCTAACAAAAAAACAACCTAAAACTCAATTTTGTATTCTAAGAATTCTTATCATAAAGAAAAGTCATGATCATAACAGTTACCAACAGCAACACTGCATATATTAGCCATTACCGTTTTTGTAACATGTCTATGATAGAAAATATTTCACCTATAGAACTACTGAGTTGAGGGAAAGACAGTGAGCATAATTAAATCAATTACCTAAAAGGAGGTCTAGAGGTATCATTTCTTTCACTGCATCAAGAATCCCTCTTTGTCTTGCCTCTTGGCCATCCAGTTCTCTTGCACAAGCCTTGCAGCATCCACACACAGCGCAGCCAGATTCTCCCGAACCACAGCCACAGATCCTATGTAGAAGGAAGCAAACCAAAGACAGGTTTCACTGAAATCATTCTAATCTTTCAACGGTATTTTCTCTAACCACCTTTCCATCGATTTCTAAGGAAAAGCAGGAATTCTTAAAAATAATGTGTTACTGTTCTAATGAGGGTAACTAACACCTATGCTACACAAAATCCAAACAGACTGCACTTGTGTCCATTACCTATTCATGCACAGTCTTTAATGAGTTTCCCCAGTAAGTGCTAACAGTGTTTAGCACCAGGATGGGCTGGTGACTAGCAAACACGAATCAACTCTGTCTCCAGGAAAACTAAAGCAGGGTGTTGGCATCCTTCAGTGATCAGGCCTCTTACCAGCATCATATGTCTCTCCCTCCTCAATATATATATATATATATATATATATATATATATATATATATATATATTGGCTTTTAGTTTTTCGAGACAGGGTTTCTCTGTATTGTTTTGGAGGCTGCCCTGGAATTTCCTCTGTAGACCAGGCTGGTCTCAAACTCAGAGATCCGCCTGCCTCTGCCTCCCGAGTGCTGGGATTAAAGGCGTGTGCCACCAACGCCCGGCTCCCTCCTCATTCTTGATATTCTGTCATGTCCTGAGTGTCTCTTTCCACTGTGACTACCCAATCCTCTGCTGCGACTGTGTCACTTTCAATCTAACTGAGCCATGTAACATGCTTATCACAAAAGAAAGCCAAAATGACTCCCTGAACTTAGATAGGATGTCAGTAAAGAATTTCTTGGTAACACTCTCCAGAGATTTAGAGAGAAAATGTGTATCTCTACTCAAGCATCCTATATATTTGATAAATTACAATTGCCATTTAAAATCTTAGAAAAAATACAAATAAGCCTAGACTTGAAAAAAACATGACTTAATTGTAAATAATGGCTTCAATGAACCAAATGAAAAGAATGCATAGTTAAAGATGACACCAACTAGAACTCAATATAGCAGAAAATAATGTAAGTATTATCAAGTTTAGGGTTGTGTGTGTAGTTGAGTGGTAAAGCACTTCCCTGGTATGCCTGAAGCCCTGGGTTTGAACTCAAGACACCACACACACACATAAAAGACAGGGAGTTTTGGAAAACAAAAGCAAAGCGGGAGCATGCTATTCTCTTGGGTAGGAGTGGTCTCACCCTCCGGGCACTCTGTCGGGACGCCCACTGCTGACACAGCTGGCGCCATAGCCTGTGCAGTCCCCACACACTGTGCACACCATGCACTGCTCCAGCTTCCACTTGTGCATGCCTGGAGGGCACATCATGGACTTCTCGTCTTTCTCATCTAGCTCCTCTTCCAGGTCTTCATCCATGGCTGTCGCCATGTTCTCCACTCCAAACCCTGCTTGACAGAGCAATTTATAGTTGTATATGGGTTATTTCCATGTCTGGAAATAGGGATTTCCCAACTTAAGAACACACATGAAACCCTGCTGTAATCAAAGTCATTATTGACTCATCAAAGGTATTCTCATCTCTCTTACCTACAGCATACAACCAAAAGCACAGCCACTCAAGGTACCTAATGTCTGATCAGGAAATCAGCTCAAGCCTGACGAGGTGGCTAAGCCATTAAAAGGCTAGGTTCACACAATTGAGCAAGTGTCCTTGTGGCATGGTAGAACATCCTTTGGGTATATGAACAGGAGTAGACTAGCTGAGTCTTGAGATAGATTGAGTCCCAATATTCTGAGAAACACCACATTGATTTTCAAAGTGGTATGCAAGCTTGCAGTCCACCAGCAATAGAGGACTGTTCCCATTGTTCTACATCCTCACCAGCATAAGCTGTCACTTGTGTTATTGACCTTAGCCATGCTGACAGGTGTGTAAGATGGAATCTTAGAGTTGCTTTGATTTGTATTTCTCTGGTGGCTAAAAATGTTCAACATTTCTTTAAGTGCTTTTTAGCCATTTGGGAATTCTTCTTTAGGTAGTATACATGACTAAACATGGAGGGTAATATTGTTGATAGGTTCCTGCCCAAAAGTAGCTAAAACTGAAGATAACCATTTGAGAAATCTGCTTTCCATGAATAATTTAGTCATCAAAAATGTTAAATCAAAGAATTTCTACTACTGAAAATGCTATTTTTGCAGTGACAGATTTTTTATCAATAGTTACTATCAAATAAAAATGTAAGGGTTTTTAAATTTATAAGAAATCAAAGCATCATTCATTTAAGTGTTTTTAATTGTTGTGTACCTATGGAGCAGTGTGTCAGACTCCTGGAACTGGAGTCACAGATGGCGTGAGCCGCCACATGACTTCGGAGACAGAACTGGTCCTCTCAAAGTGCAGCAGGTGGTCTTCACTGCTGAGCTGTCTCTCAGGGCATTCATTTTTGAAACAGTTAGATTCCTCACTATGTTCTACAAAGTTAATGACAATATGTAAAAATTAAACTCCTACCTTTCCCTCCTTGGTTCATAGCACCAGTGTCTCGTCCACACTGTCCTTTATTATTTACACCAAATGTCCAAACCTCTCCATTTTTCATTAAAACACAAGTGTGAGCTTTGCCCATTGCTACCTGAGTTACAAAATGGCCTTTCAAATCAGACACCAAACCTAGAAAAAAGATGCAAAATTAACAAAAACAACAAAAATACTTAGAGGAACAACTCTTAATGCATAAGTTATTTTCTTAGGAAAAATAGTTCACCAAAATGGGGAACAAGTGACTGAACACTGGTAGATAACCATCAAATTAAATAAACATTACATAGAGACAAATATGTCCTGGAACATTACTTCCAGCTAACTTCTTCTGCCTGCTTCCTCCACGTGCCAATCAATACCTTTGAAGAGTACTCAGAAGGATCCAGCCCCTCTCAACTTTGGACTACGGGCATAACTTTATGAGCCTTTACCTGTGTAGACTTGCCTCAGCAAAAACAATAGTAAAACACTTATAATAATAAAATGAAACAGGATTGTTGCTATAAGCCCTGTAAGATTTTACATAGCACTAGTAGTGCTTACTATAAAATTACAAGCATATTTGTTTACATCCAGTGCACACAACAAGTGCACATGCGTGTTCATGGTGCACACGGGTAGGTCAGAAGATAACTTGTAGGAGATGGTTCTCCCCTCTCATCACCTGAGTCTTCAGGACTGACTCAGGTTGTCAAGCATAGCAGCAACTGCCTTTTCATGCCGACTCATCTTACCAGTCCTCAAAAGACAGCTTTTGAATTCCTAACACTCCCCTTCACAATCCACCCCAGTATTTCTTCAAATTCCCTTATGTTACTGTCGTGTGCTTCACATTCATTTGCTACTCTTATTACTTATTGTTTGCAATCATTTTAAAATTCCAAAAGCATGCTTAACCTTAATAAGAAGTAATAAAAGTGAAAACTATTAAGAGTTAGTTTTCTACGGTATATTAAAAATTTTCCAAAATTAAGGCAATTATTTAAGTTGTAAAACTTCCTAATTTCAGTATGTAGCACACTTGAAAAAATATGTACAATAAGTATTTTATGGAACAAAGTTTGATATTAATACTAGACGATTATTCTCTAAGTTCTTGCATGTTCTAGGTTCTGTGCAGAACATTCCTTAAATGTTCTTATAGACTTACAAAAATAAGCTACGAAACAGATACCATACATAGCCTCTTTTTAAGGAAGGAGGAACAAAATGAAAACTTTGAAAGCTAAATAAATGTTACCCAACTAAAAACAAATCTGGCTACAGCCACTGAACAATATCCACTTAAGTCTATCACAAATAAACCTTCTACTACTGCAAAAAGGCAGAAGACCTTGTCTGGTCCAACCAAACCTTTATACATAAATGCTCAATTTCTATCATCATTTTAGCATACAACAGTTAAGGCTATGTATTATTTTAAAACCACAAATTGCTATCCCAAAAGTCTGCTCACTGAGAATCTGAATGTGACCACATTAAGTCAGCACTTCTATTACCTGAGAGCAGTTTCAGTTAATAATTAACTGCTATACATTTTCTACATGCTTGACCTCTCTATCCTTGGGACAATCACTTAACTTTCCAATCATAAGTTTCATTTATTCTAGACTCCTTTTTACAGCAAAATTCAAAGCCATTACAACTAGGTCTCATATAAAATCTTCCCAACTGAGATGACTCATTCACTATACTCATTCATTACTAGAAAAAAAAAATCCAGCAACCAAATAGTATAAAGCTACGAGATTAGAACTTCTAAATATAAAGCTATCTAGTTATTATATCCCTCTTAGCTATATTTAAAATTTTAGGTTTATCAGTCAGGCACTTGATAAACTGTTAAATAAATCTTGAGACTTTGTGCTAGGTATTACAAAAGAACTAGCAAGGGAAATAGTAATACCCCCATTGTCTATGTGAGGAGACAGAGAATTCAATGATTTTAAATTAGCCTTGTTATAAAAACTGACTGCTGACAGTGACTAATATTAACCCAGACATGTTACATGAGCACTTTGGTGTCAAGGGAAAGCTTTCCAGACAAAGTAGCTAAGGGAGTTTCCTTCACCGAGTTCATAACTTGTTTTGTCTGAATGAATGTCAGATCTTCTAGTGGCAAAATACAAGGCAAAACATCTTCCCCAAAGTTTCATATTTGGAAGAAAATGCGATGTATGTAGAGAAAGCATGCTACAAAAGTTAACTTTCTAGACACATCTGTGTTATATCCAGTGATTCATCCTGAAATCTTTTTTTGCCTAAAAGTAAGGTGATTGTTAGTTTTTAACTTACTTGAACTATCAGAATAAATAGCATCTTTCCCAAACATGTATAGTTCTCCATCTTTAGAAATGACAGAACTACTTCCATTATTGCAGGCTGTGTATACCACAGTCTTTCCTTCCATTTTAATAATCTTTTTAGGTTTATAGGGTTTTGACTGTCGTCTGCTCTTAGCTGAAAAAAAAAAGAATGAATGTAAGGTATCTATATGCAAATAATAATGAATTATATATGAAGCCAAAGAAAATGAACAACTTGTTTACCTTGTTGATACATTTCATTAAGTCTCAGAAAGGCCTGGGCTTACCCCCATGCAGACACTAGTCAGGAACTTGCTAGCCTCTTATAGTCAACTCATATTTAGGCTATCACTGACAGATCCTCTTTCTTTGCGGCACAGTGAAATTCCCAAAAGGAAACACCAGTTTCCAATAGACTGCGTGTGTGCACACACACAAGCTGCCGGGGCCAGTGCAACTGAGGTGACTACACCAATGCTCTCAGGGACTTACTGGATTCTCCGTCTTCTCCTTTGCTTGCAGATCCTGTAAAGAACACACTTCCGTCCTCCGCAACTAGAAGGGCGTGTGAGCCATCGTGTCCAACGGAGAAGTGTACGATCTTGGGAGATTTGGTAATTGGTAACTCAACCCATTTTCCTGCTGAAGGACCACCTTGTTTGATTCCAAGACTCTGGTACTTGCCAGTGTAATATACCTTATATGTATAAAGAAAAGAAAACCAAAATTAGACTGCCTTTTAGAACAGAATAGTGTACCAGGTTTCACAAGTAAGAAAGTAAAAGCTTCCATATTTTATTGAAAAGTAAGAATAACAAAAACCTTCATGACCTGAGGGAGATAGAAATTGACCCATTCAAGTTTACTTTTTATGTGTGTCCCGTATAGATACACTTTTTTACATTTCCATAATTATACTCACAGGAGGAAATTCATAAAATTTGTTAAAGCTATACTCAAATATATGCCTGAGAGCTTATATTCTCTGAATTCCCTTAGCTATCGTACTTTCTCCTTATATTTATTAGACAAAAAAGAAACTTCAGTCTATATAAGCTAACCTATAAAATGTACATGTTAATTAAACATGCTTCCATGTTCTCTAAAACATATGTTGTATTAGTTTTAGACATTAGAACATTTAGAAATTTGTGATATCTCATATCAGAATAAACATAAAATACAAACTTAAACTAATTCAAAATTAATGGAATCCATAATTAAATACTTGCAAAATTTTAACTTTTTTAAAGTTTACAAATTTTTAGGGTCTTAAGTGTCACTACTCTTTCAAAATATTATTTTCAACATTAATAAAAGTTTACCATGTAAAACACTAACAATATTTAAATATGTAAATTATCTGAATTGTGTAACAATTTGTACTGTCTCTCCAAGCAGAAAAAGTTCATTTTTGAAACAAAATAAGTAATTTACCTTTCCATTTGCTGTTTTCATTAGTGCAAATTCTCGTCCAGCACCAAGAAGCGCTGACTCCTCATCAAATCCTGTACCTTTGACAAAACAAGACTGTTAAGTATGACTGCATTTCTAACTTAAGTAATTCCAAGTACACCATGAACGCTACGAATAACTCGGTCAACTCAACAGCACTGTTAAGGGCTAAAGCAGTCAGGGCATGGTGGCACACAGGTTGAGACTGGAGCCCACGAGCGTGGGAACATGCTGGCTACAGAGAAAGGCCACTACAAACGAAATGAACAGAGCACAACAGACGAAATATTATCACGTGCTAGATTTTAGAGCAATAGTAGGCCCACAACTTCAAAACAAAGATAGTTTTTCTAACCTTGACATATTTTAAATTATTACCAAATAACACTTTATGACAAAACATCAATAATTCAATGTCAATAGTAGTCACTGCATTAAGGTATAAAATATTTTTATTGAGCATAACTAGTACTAAACATCACAAAATACATAAATGCTATCTCATTTGCTCTTCAGAACTACGTTCTTCATTGTTCAAATGGACAAACATAAAGTTTAGGAGTTATCCAAAGCCTCTAGCTCTTTGGGATCGGATATAAATATGATCATATCTAAATAAAAATTTTCACATTCTCTGTCCTCTTCTTAGAAGAAAATTTGCTAAATTTAAAAATATGTATACATACATGCATATATTTCAAACTGTAAATTAAAATTTTCTATGTAGTATGACATTTGGTGAGATACAAACAACCAATGATTCTGCGAGTTTTTAAACTAGAAAATTTGAGTTCAATTTGGCAATTTTCCCATAGAAGGGGAGATGTATAAAAACCCTATCAATTAAAATACATGAAATAAAACACTCCCAAAGACGAAAAATTTAAAAGGCAGCTCTTGTACAGATTCCTGAGTTACAAAACTGCACTAATAAATCTTTAGTAGTACTAAATTAGTGACTCCCAGTATTTCATCCATAAGTCTAAATAAATATGCTTATTTTCTTTTGCTTTATTCAAACTGATAACTGAAAAGTATTATTATTAGTCACTTTTCTTAACACTTCCTAATATCTTGTCTATTTACAGGCTGTATTGCCTATTTACTTCTATATATTAATCAAAACTTTTGTTTTAAAGTAATAGACACAATAGCCACTAAATTATGAGCTGAACTGCTGAAAATGCAATTTTTAAAGGTAATAAAGAAGATTTATTTTATCATCTTACTTATTATATGCAAATCCTTTTCCAAATCAAACAGTGATATTCCACAGGCATGTAAGCATTTCCTGGCCAATTTAAGCTGTAATTCTTGTTGCAGTACAGGCTCAGTGCTTGTGGCAAATATTCTGACAACAAAGCCATCCTTAAAAGAAAAAATCAAGAATACTATATTGCATAAAACAGTCTTCTGGCACTTAATAAAAACAAAGTAATTTAAGAAAAAGTGGTTTCATTTACAACTGCTGATGGTTCCAAGCACTTACATCTCTTGAAGCAGCTATCTGATTAATATACTCTCCATCAGTAAATAAAATATTTTGACCTTCAGTGTGACAATCTATGCAAATGAAAGAAAAAGTAATATATTACACAACAAATAAGCAACTCGAGAAATTACTTTACTCCTCTGCTGAAGTTAAAATGAGAGCTCTTCACACAATAAGAATGGACTTATATACTCAAAAGGAGACTTTTTAAAAATAAGAATTACAAATTAAAAAAAATAATTCAACTGAGAGTTCTGGTTACATGTTAAGCTTACATTTATAAAGCTAGACTAATCAAGGATTTGAGGACCCACCTAATCTCAAAATGAATTAGTATCAGATATAGTCTGAGAATTGAACATGCACCATGATAAACAAATAGTGTTGGTTATGACCACTTCAAGTCAATCACATGCACTGTAGGTAACACTACCATCAGACATACATTCCAGTCATTAGTGTCACGGAGAAATACAGATAGATATAAAGCTTCTGTATTTGAAGTATATGGTGTCCAACTGCAGATATCCCTTGCTTTACAAAATAAATGTGAAAACTACTCATGGATTTCCCATGTAGAAAGTCAACGTCTATTCCAGAATATTTAGTATGTTTAATGTTCTACACTTTCTAACCATTTATCCTCCTCAAATCCAACAAATCTATGTTTCTTTCTATCTTTTTGTCTCAAAACAGTCAACTATCTCAGCTACCACTCATATCTGCCAGCACTGAACATATCTCTGTAGAACAGTGCACTGCATACTTTGATCAAAGTAATGCGCAAGCTAATTGTGACAAGGGATACCAATATCACAGGAGGACACACTGGAACATGTGTTAGTGACTACTGCTAGTAACACAAAACTACAAGCAAAAATCAACATCTGTATAAGTTATATCCTATGAGAAAACAAGTATTCAGCAAGCAAGTCTAAAAGCACACACACTTTCTACAGTAACCATGGAGAACTAGGATGAACCTCTCCATTAATCACAATACAAAAAAGAAAATTTATTTCTAGTTCACCCTGAATCAACAAAATATAAAACTCTGGTTTTTGGAATACAGCAATGGAACCCCCCAAATAAGGTACATCTTTGCCCAAGAGCTTCATACTAGCATACTTCCTTATTATAAATATGCAAAACACAGGCAGACCCTTACCAAATAGGGAATTCAGTGATCACAAACTGGAAATAGAAACTGGGAGACAAGGCCCACTGGTAGCCCAAGAGACTTGGTAATCAAAGAGAGGAGAAATCGAAAGAAAGAGTTCCTAGTCCACTGTACAGAATACAAAGAGGTGCAAGAAAGATGCTTCTCAAGCTCTAAGCAGTAAGATTTTAAACTAAAAAGCAAAGAAGAAAAACTCATTATAATTTCAGATAAATGCAGGGGTGAGGGAGTGGAGTGGCGCAAGAAGAGTAGCCAAACAGCCTCGTGACGAGGCAGCCTGTCACCAGACGCCCACAGCGAATGACTAAGAACACAATTTAAAAGCAACCCGAAATATAAAGACTCATGACATTCAGCAAGTGCTGTTCATCCACGCTGCAGTAAGATGGCGACAAAGCTGACCAAGAGATGGAACTGAATGAATGACTGAATTACCAGTTTCTGCTCATTTTGAACATGGCACTCATTACCACCTATAATCTGACGGTTACTACTGCTCTTCTCGATTAAAGGCTAGAGAGAAGAGTTGTCCCTTCCCAGGGAAAAAGTACATGGTTTTATTGAAGAAAATGCACTCCATGCCAAAGAAATGAGCAAATGACAACATGCTTCTTCAGGCGTGAGGGCTGGGTCTTCTTGTCACTTCATATCAAGATTTTCTCTTTATCTTTTCTTTACCCGTTGTGTAATGTTTTAAGACAGCATCTTCGAGACTATATCAAGCAACATCTGCAAGCTTGGAAGACACACTATGGGACTATCCTCCCAAAATCTGATTTGGTCTTCAATGTCGGTACAGCATATTTATGAAACACAGAAAGCCACACTTGTATGGTTAAAATTTGCATTTATGATAAATGATGCAGAATTTAAACTGAATAAAGACATTAATAAATCATTTTTAAATATGGTGAATAAAAACCACTTTTAGGGAGATATTTTTAGATTTTCCTTTCATTTACATTCTTTATGAATGAGATGGACAGAAGTTACTCTTTTGTACCCATCTACTTAGGAGGCTGTCCTGGAACTCACTCTGTAGACCAGGCTGGCCTCGAACTCACAGAGATCCGCCTGCCTCTGCCTCCCGAGTGCTGGGATTAAAAGCGTGTGCCACCAATGCCCGGCCTCAAAAAAGAACTTTTGTTGTATGACACTATTCTAAAATAAATGGTACAGAACCAGAGAGAAGAGATGATCTTACCATAGTAATTTTTGTACCAAAAAAGACAACTGGAATAATCTCATTTCAATATATATTAATCAATAAAACATAATTTATAATATTAAAATGATGTTAAAAAAAATCTAAAGACTTGGAAACATATTCAGTAATAAGTGAAAGGTCAAGTTCAAAAATAGCATTATGTAAGATGGGTGGTGGTGGTACACGCCTTTAATCCCAGCACTCAGGAGGCAGAGGCAGGCGGATCTCTGTGAGTTCGAAACCAGCCTGGTCTACACAGCAAGTTTCAGGCCAGGCCAATCAAAGCTGCACAATGAGACCTTGTCTCATTAAATAAATAAATAAATAAATAAGAAAGAAAAAAAGAGAGGAAACTTTTTTAAATCAGGAGAGTGTGGAAGGGGAGAACGATTTAGGGAAACTGAAACTGGGGGTGGAAATAAAGTATATTATGTTATACATGTATAAAAATGCCCTAATGAAACCCATTGTTCTGTACAACAAATATATTCTGATACTTAACATTTCTAAAGCTGCAGTTATTAAACAAATGACACAGCCCAAGTCTTGTTTTAAAGTAAAAAAAAAAGTAGACTCTGAACAGAGTTGTTAGAAGATGATTTTCTTAGGCCACTAATTTTCCAAACTGTTCTGTCACTACATCGACATGAAGTATTTCATTTGTTCTATGGTACCTGCATATTATTTTGGGAAAGTGAATATAAAAGTTCATTTTCTAATGAAGTTAAAATAATACTTTAAAACTTGACAAGCATACAATGAGCAGTTTATGTCTCTCAAGGTGTTCTTTTTTTAAAAAAACAAAATTCACTCTTTCAAGAGATCAAATGCTTCGGAGTATTATTTGCCATGAGATTACTAACAAACACACTAAATATTTAAGATGTTAATGTGATGAACTGTAGAAAGCAGCAATGGTACAAACAATTTTAAAGATGTTACAACAGAGAATACTTATGCATTTACCTAGACTTACAGAAAAACTAGAACTAGTGCCTCAGAATTCAGGAAGCATGCTGTATAATGACAAATGAACGGTGCCAAACTCGCTGTATCAAAGCTTTAGTAAAAAGTGTATGTGACGGAACATTAACGGTTTCCTGGCCACACTAAGCACTATCGCTGGAAGTCCTTTAATCCAGAGGAAAACCCTAGTGCACTGTTAAGATGGTAAATAGCAAATAAAAAGTCTCGATGGGTAAGGATAGGGTGTTATAGCCTGTAAATGGGTATGAATTTGGAAATAAACATTGAACCTCATTGTATTTGTTTCTGATGTCTAGTATCTTCATATATACTCATTTACTGTAGGTTATAAAATGGTTTACATGTCACAATATTTAAAAATTCATTTTTAAGCAAGGGCTGTTCTTTGCTAGTTACTATTTACATGTTTAAATGTCCTAACATGCACATTTCTGAAAACTACTTATGAAGAAAAATATGACTAGTTAAAACATACCTGGTAACATTACAGTACCATCTTGTTCCAGTGTTTCAGGGCTTATTCTTATGGCTGTCATACTGTGGTTATTTACATCTCGATATAATAAATAACCCTGGTAATAAAAAAACTTTTATGATATATAAATATATATATATAATTTTTAAAATATGTTTTCATCACTAAGAGAAAAAGCAACTGTATGTCCATAATATATTTTGATGATATACAATAAATAATGCTATCTAAAGGATATAAAAGATTAAAATTTTAAATTTTACTTTAGATGGGAGGTAATTGATAAGAACTTAAGGTTAACCTGTAGCCTGCACATGCACGTCATATGATACGCCCTCATACACGTCATACATATGCATGTGCACACAATAAACTCAACTCCTAAAACTAATACATTTTCCATGACATCATTTTCTAGATAAAGCATAAGTTAAATTAGCAAGACATTTTAAAAGACAATCACTTTAACATTTAAAACTTCAAAATACCTCAAATATTGATATTAACAGGATAATTCCTCACATATGTGGTGGTTTGAATGAGAATGCCCCCCCATGGGTTCATGTGTGTATGCTTGGTCTTCAGTTAGTGGAACTGTTTGGTAAGGATTAATAGGTGGGGTCTTGTTGGAGGAGGTGTGTCACTGGGGGGTAAGCTTTGAGTTTTCAAAAGCCCAGGCTATCTCTCTTGTTCCTTCTCTCCCTAGCTTCCTTCTTTCCTCTCTCCCTTCTCTTCCCCTCCTCTTGTTTTCTGTGTCTGCCTGCAACTTGAGCATCAGATGTGAGCTCTCAGCCATTGCTCCAACACCATGTTCGTCTTCCATGATTGTCATGCCTCAGCCCTCTGAAACTGTAAGGAAACCCCTAACTGAATGCTTTCCCTTCTAAGATGCCGTGGCCATGGTGTCTACTCACAGGAACTCAACAGTAACTAAAACAACATAACAATTTATTTCGTTTTCAACGTACTTTCAAATGTCTTTTATCATTTCATGCTGACAACAGATCCTGTTTGACGGAGGATGTCCTCCTGTACATACGTTTCTCTTATTGGTTGATGAATAAAACACTGACTGGCCAATAGCCAGGCAGGAAGCATAGGGAAATCTTTATTCTGTATCCTTCCCAAAGGGAACCTGGGCTTTGTCTTACAGACAGGGAAACAACAGAATGATGTATTTCTGACTCTTTTTCTCCCTCTTTAATTCCTTTTTTTCATGAGAGGAAGAGCGACAGTATCTGACACTGAACGTAAAAGCAAACTGCCTGTGTTGACTGCAGATGAGACCACAGCATCCACAAAGAACCATAGGGCTTTCTGTTTGCCTCTCTAGCAGGTGCTGTCCCTCTGGGGAAGGCTGCAAGTGGCTGCCAGAAGGAATAAGATCTAGACATAGAATGGAAGAGTTTATGGCAAGGAATCTAATTTGGCCTCATGTCACTTACTCATTTTCAATTCAGAAATGCTAATGAAAAAGGTGGCCTTTGACTCTTATCCCCAGATTTGCTTAAAGGAGGTGTTTCAATTCCCCTTTCAAGGAAAATAACAGAGCTAGGTACACTGATTTGCTATGTCACTCAGCTACTAAAGCAGAGTCAGACCTGTAATTGCTCCACCTATGACTCTGAGTTTACAGTCTTCACCTTACTCTAACCATATTAACAAAAACACAGACCTGTAATTGCTCCACCTATGATTCTGAGTTTACAGTCTTCACCTTACTCTAACCATATTAACAAAAACACAGACCTGTAATTGCTCCACCTATGATTCTGAGTTTACAGTCTTCACCTTACTCTAACCATATTAACAAAAACACAGACCTGTAATTGCTCCACCTATGACTCTGAGTTTACAGTCTTCACCTTACTCTAACCATATTAACAAAAACACAGACCTGTAATTGCTCCACCTATGATTCTGAGTTTACAGTCTTCACCTTACTCTAACCATATTAACAAAAACACAGACCTGTAATTGCTCCACCTATGATTCTGAGTTTACAGTCTTCACCTTACTCTAACCATATTAACAAAAACACAGACCTGTAATTGCTCCACCTATGACTCTGAGTTTACAGTCTTCACCTTACTCTAACCATATTAACAAAAACACAGACCTGTAATTGCTCCACCTATGACTCTGAGTTTACAGGCTTCACCTTACTCTAACCACATTAACAAAAACACAGACCTGTAATTGCTCCACCTATGACTCTGAGTTTACAGTCTTCACCTTACTCTAACCATATTAACAAAAACACAGACCTGTAATTGCTCCACCTATGACTCTGAGTTTACAGTCTTCACCTTACTCTAACCATATTAACAAAAACACAGACCTGTAATTGCTCCACCTATGACTCTGAGTTTACAGTCTTCACCTTACTCTAACCATATTAACAAAAACACAGACCTGTAATTGCTCCACCTATGATTCTGAGTTTACAGTCTTCACCTTACTCTAACCATATTAACAAAAACACAGCACTCTGTATGAGTTTATCCAGTGAGCATGAGCCATATGGTTTGAAAGGTAAAATGATTTTATTTATTGAGGATATTCTCCTACCTGGGCATACCCTAACCAGGACTTTTTTTCTTTTCTGTTTCTGATACGGGATGTAGAATTATATATATGGCCCTGTAAAAAACAAAAACAAAAATTTGTCTATGATCAGATTAGTAATTACTAACCAACAAAGTGATAAAAACATGCGTAATATTTAATATTTCCAATTATAATTTTCAAGTAAAAATCAAAATTAGACAGTACTAAAGGGATCAAAAACAGGATACAACTCAATTACTGAGATATGGCTATTACTGTTATAATCAAGAACTGTATATAATCTTATTACCCTAACTGTTCCACTGTATCCAGAGCCTATTTTGTATAATCCATCCTTGCATAACAAATAAAGAAAAAATCCATCATTCTGAAGCAAACAGTGGTCATCTTCATCAACAGATACTTCTTTCAATGGCCATCTGTGCATTAGAGCTGCTTTCTTAATGCCATTGCTAAACCAGTCCTGGATCTGAGTCTTTCCAACCAACACTGCCTGCACACTTCTCTGTAGTGAATTGAGTATCATTGGCACCTATTCAAAAGAGAAGAAATGAAAAGACACTTTAAATCGTCTTCAAACACAAAGCAGGCAAAGTAAGATATGATTATAAGGTAAGTAAATCTCAAGCAAACTGGACTTCTGTCATTCACTTTCATAAAATCTTGGCTAGCATGGGACTGATCAAGACCCCCTGAATCTGGGTGTCAGTGAAGAGGCCTAGGGAATCTATTGAGCCTTGGGCAGCAGATCAGTACCCATCCCAAGTATACACACGGACTTTGGACTCCCATAGAACAATGTGAGGTGCACTCTCACCCTGAACTCTTGGGGAAGGGTCTAGGCCCTGCCCTATATGAAATGACAGACTATGGACACCCCCATGGAGGGCCTCACCCTCCCTGGGGGAATGAGGGGATAACGGGGGGGGGGGGGGAGGGCACGGGAGGAGGGGAGGGAAAAGGAGAGGGACCTGGAACTGACTTGTGAAGCAACCTTGTTTCTTATCTAAATTTAAAAAAAGAATAAAAAAAAATCATTATTGATTAAAAAAAAAAATCTTGGCTAGCATGCCTTGTTCTCTGTCTTTACTATATCTATCATTGCTTTGTGGACCTCAGACCATGGCAATATATTCTGTTTTATTATACACTACCTTTCTTGTTCTCTGTCCATGGTTCTTATTTTCTCTTTCTCTGCTGTATTTTGTATAATCTCTTTCTCTTTAGCTCACATTTGTATCTTTAACCATACTACTATTACTTAAACCCGCCTTTAATTTTCTAATTATAAAATTGTAATTATTTTACTTGTCACCTCTTTTGAAGTTGATTTTTCTTTTCCTTATTTCCTTCCTCCTTTCTTTCTTTCTTTTTTTTTTTTTTTGTGGTTTTTACGAGACAGGGTTTCTCTGTATTGTTTTGGAGGCTATCGGTCCAGCCCGGCCTCGAACTCACAGAGATCCGCCTGCCTCTGCCTCCTGAGTGCTGGGATTAAAGGTGTGTGCCACCAATGCCTGGCATGATTTTCTTTTCTAATGTGACTACTTCTGAACTGTATTCATTAATCACAGCTTAAATATTTGAGCTTTTGTCAAAATCTACTTGTTGTTTTATGATACAGAATTAAAATCACACACAAGCTTAAATCAAACAGAGATCAAAATACTAAATAATTTAAAAAGGCAGAGAATTTCTACTGACAGAATGAAGAAAAGTGCAACTTGGCATCTTCTAAATTTCTTAGCAGCTAAAAATGAAATACCTGAATAGTTTGGCAAGCATGACTGCCATTGTTGGTTAGTATAGCAGAGATGGCCTGGAGTGTCCTTCCCGTTTCTCCCCAAGAAGCCACCAGACTAAAGAGGCAAGCACAGGAAAGTGCTGTGAGGGACTGTCCTGTGCTGTCATTCATCCCAGTGCTCCGAACAGTAATTTCCAAAAGGAGCTGGAAGAGAGACTCTGTGGATAAAACAAGATTCAGTTACGTTCATTTGAGTTGTAGAACGTGAAATATGCATACTTGTTACATCTTGTTTCACTATATATAAATTTTAAGGCACCTGAAACCATTATTTTGCATTAGTTTTTGTCCTGCTAACCCCCTCCACAATTAAAGCATTTATATAACAAGGGATTAGAAAACATTTAGTTCTACCCCTTACTTTTATAACTGAAGGAATAAAATTTGTCTAAGGTCATATAAAACAATCTTGCCTATACAAAAAGTTCATCTGATGTGGGAGGTCCTTCTGTATGCTGCGACTATGTGCTGCTTTTACTGATTGATGACTAAGGCTGTTTTGGCCTATAGCAGGGCAGAATATAGCTAGCAGGAATCCAAACAGAGAGACGGACAGAAAGAAGGTGGAGTCAGGGAGACACCATGCAGCTGCTGAAAGAGTTAGATGTAATGTGATGTGGTGAAGCACAGATTAATAAAAATGAGTTAATGTAGTTGTGAGAGTAATATGTCTGAGCCATTGGTCAAACAATCATAATTAATATTAAGCCTCTGAGTGTTACTCAGGAACTGGTAGGAGGGAGAGAAACCTCCATTTACAGTCATCCATACAGTTACAGCTTATCTTGCCACAACCTTGTCCTTCAAGTAAGACTGTAGTGATATATTACTTATGATTTATTGAAGCTTGCCTGAGGGTACAGAAAGCAAAGCTAGCCACAAGCCACACAACCAGGCAATGGTGATATAGACCTTTAATCCGAGCAGCTGTACTAGCTAGCCACAGAGTCAGGTGGTGGTGGCACACACCTTTAATGCCAGGACTCAAGAGACAAGCAGATGCATCTCTGTTAGTTCAAGGCCACACTGAGCTATATGAAATTGATCCAGTCCTAAAGAGAAAGAGCTCACAAAGGTGATCTCAGCACTGGGGATCACACACCTTTAATCCCATGGCCCTGCACTATGCACACACTGCCAACAGGAAGCGGACTAAGCGACTTCACAAAGGAGCACATGGAGCTGGAAGGAAAAGGTGGTGGTAGCGCATGGAGCGAAAGGGGCGGGGTGTTTTATCCAATCCCATTAAATGTACAGTGTTAACAGGATTACTGTCGGGACTGTACCACAAACCAGCAAAGTGATTCTTAATCTGCGCTAACTTTTATTTGGTAGCAGCAGTTAAGTGCCTTGGGCTGGGGAGAGAGGTATATGCCAATGCCATCTTTAATTTTTTTCATGATATCTTCCCTCCTCCAGTAAAATAAAACAAAGTTAAACCAAAAAAGAAAAGAAATGAAATCACTGAATGTGACCATGAGAAAGAAATGACTGGCATATAATCAGGTTCTCAAAATGTAGATCTAATAAAATCCAAACAGGTAGGTAGGGCATAGCTGTATATATGTTAATACTAGTAATTGAGAAGCCAGGGAAGGAGGAATGAAGTTCAAAGCCAATCTGGGCTACACAGCAAGGCTTTGATTCTAAAAAAAAAAAAAAAAAAAAAGTGAAGTGAAGCCAGATACAGAGAACAAGGAATCAAAATCTAATTCTGTCAAATAATGTTGTCCCCAGGCCACCAGCAACAATATATGGCACAGAAACTTATGCAAAGTATCGGTGTTTGGTTCCAGCTTAAATCTACTGAATGAGAAACCCTACACCTAAGTTACAAGATAACTTGGATACAAGCTAATGTTTGAGAATCATATCTCTATGGCTGTCAGGGTAGTTTCCCATGTTGCTAAAACAATCTAGAAAATTCCAGACTGACAGGATCCATGGTTTACCATCAGAGAAAACAATAAGCCAACTAAAAGTTATGCTTCGCCTGTATTTCTGTCATAATCTGCACAATTTTCTCTTTCTTACATGATTATATGCTGAGCCTAGGTTCGCCATATGAAACACAAGCAATGCTAACAACTATACTTAAAGAAAAGCCAACACCTTTATGTAATGAAAATTGCTACTAAGTCCGACTTGATGAATACAAAAGAAAGGTGCTCTCTCTAGAAATTAATTGTACCATTTGGGGTTTGTGGCATTTACTCCCCACCCCCTACTATTTTAAATACTCTAGAGTAACAAGTAAGTAGAAAAGATGAGTATTTGCTATTTGTACATGAGTATTTAAGTTAATGGGGATTTTAGGGCTAGGGTATTATTCTGGAATTTCAAGGATTAATGTTTGGTTTCTCCCCTATTGTTACAACAACCAAGAAACTTTGCATACCAGAACTCTTTAGCTCTGGTGAAACACAACAAAATAACAGCAAAGTGAAATTCCTGCTTTTTCTGTACCCTGTCAAATGCAGATTTCACTTCTTGTTCTTGTGCATGTTTCGTAAGAGACGTGGTTCAGTTTAAGTTTTTCATTCTAGGCATAAGCTCTTACCTAGGACCTCTGGTGGCTCTGATTGGAGTCCTTCTGGCTGCTGGCCTTGAAGCACATTCAGCAAGGCTTGGAGGCTCCTTAGACACAGGGATGGATGAGAAAATCGAGTCTCCTTGATCAATTCAAAGACTTCACAAAGCCCAACCTCAATGATCTGTTTAATATGAAAAGACGATTACACTTTCTAATATGTACATGAATAACACTTTCTATAGTCTAGTGCAAGTTATCTCAACACCAAATAAAGAGTTATGATATTTAAATGGAGAAACAAAAACATTTCTTTTTTTTCTATATTTAAATGGAAAAACAAAAACAGTATTTTTTTTTCCTAATTTAACATAAGGATTTTGAAAACCAGGTAGCTATCTATGTACAAGGCTAAGAACTAGAGGCATTATTTAAGTATTAGTTTGGATACAACAAAGTCACAGCAAGACATCGTGAAAACACCTTGTAAACCTGCTAAGGAGCAGATGGCATTCACACAGAAGAAATGGGCCCTGTTCATTTAAAGTGCACTCGATTGTATGCAAGTAGCTTTGTTGTACTGACATACAACAAAGGCAATTTTAAGACTGATGTCACCTAGTCCTTCTCAAAATGGTACAACTGCAATATTATTGCAGGTAGCATCCCCTTCATTTGGGCATGATGATCATGAGAGGAACTAGAAGGCTGCTCAGCAAAAATATCACTGGTAGCTTACTTTCATTGTAATAGTCCTCATTGGGCCAAGAAACCCCTGACTCTCCTTAGCAAAAGGAGCAAATCTCTAGTTAAAGATTGAAAGGAAAAGTTACAATGAGCTGCTATCGTCACTTTGGCAGACGAATGAAACACTGGACAATAAAGTCCTGTTTCTCAGCCAACATCAATATTCTGAGAGCCACATATAGCTTCAGGATGTGGTAAATTATGTGGCGAAGGGACATTAAGAATTAAAATAAGACAAAGTAACAGGAATACTTCAAAAAATAATTCTATGACCAAATATTCTTTGTGCTGAGATTTTTAGATTGATGATGTGTACATCACATAAATGCACCCTTCTGAACACTTGTGTGCTACTCACTAGAGGACTTATGATGACATACTGGACCAGCATTTAGTATATTATGCAACATTTGTGTTTCTCTGAACTTCTGATTTCCATCCCTAGATTGAATTTTAATCACCATGATTACCACAATGCAGTGTGATCTTCTCCCAACAGTGTATTATTCTTACAAAAAGTATACAACACAAGTTCTCAAGGGGTTATCCTTTTTTTTTAATCTTTCCTAATTAAGCAGAAGAAATCACAAGTAAGAGCCCATAATCCACACCTTTAGTAGGGAAGAGATAAGCATGTCTATTTTAGGTTATAAGAAGACACAGAGAGAAGTTACAGTCAAAAACACCAGGGAAAAGGAAAAAAGAAAGGAAAGACACACATTCTAAGAAGGCTGGTCAAGAAGCAAGGATGGTTACAGGGCTTCACTCTTACGAAACAGAAAGCTTGTCAAGTGCTGACTGAGAGGTGATGAACCCACCAGCACAATCAAGGACAATGCACACTTGGGAACAGCCACCACAAACCATGCAAGGCTGGGAACATGAGCTCCATCTGCCCTGAGAACTCAAGTAAGGTATTCCATGTAAAAGCTATTGAAGAGATACTATGCATAGGTGTGGGGATCTAAGTAAGTTTCCAAGACAGTTTTGAAGCACCAATTTAACACCGTATGAATCCTTTTTGATAAAAGAATCAGTTTTAAGTTAATTTACAAGAAAGTAATACACATGAATCACTCATAGAGGTATCATTTTAAAATGTCTTGTATTTTCCCCTTTTTGTTAAGAGTACTATAATAATGCTAAGGCTGGTGATGTAACTCATGAACAGCAATGGTGTTGGGTTACAAGGATCTGGACTTAATTCTAATTGCTATAAAAGAAGAAAATAAAAACAGAAAAAGACAGAGAGAAGGATGGAAGAAAAAAAGACTATAGCTCCTATACTGAATACATATACACACACACAATGTGTGATAAAGTTAGTCATGAAGTAAACCAAAACTTAGAACAAAGTACATCAAGAATACTTTGTTCAGCTATAATATGAAATAGTCTATATGCTTCTGGTAATAGGAAGTGACATCAGAACAATATAAACTGATTTGTTCCTCATCTGATTTTTTTTTCCCTAGGCCAGGGGAGCAGAATAGCAAATGTACAGTGTCAAGATTAAACAGACAAGAAAGGAAGCTTTCAACTTAACTGCTGCTAAGGAACCTTTCCAGTTCTATTTCAAGAAAAACCTCAATATAGCCTGTTTCTAGGGCTTGCTCTCAGTGGGATACACCTATAGCTCTTGGCTTATGCCAGGCTGCACTTGCTGTTATGCTTATCTAAGTGGGAGGTCACCAGCTCAGGGCTCCTCTCCTCCATGAACAGGGCTCCATGCTGCACACAGGCATACCCACACTACTGCTTTAGTGCACAACAGCCCTTACCAAGCCACAACACTGACTCCCTGAGTGTTGCCCATGTACATCCATCCCACTGTGTTGCCAATTACTGATTTCGTGAGCTAGCTTAAAGTCCCATAGAGTTTTCCTGGTCTACCACAAGGCTATTTTAATCCACAAGCCATGTTATTCTTAGTGCACAATTTTAGAAAAAGCAAGGTATCTCAAGAATGTATGTAACCAGAGCACTTACAGGTAATGGGTCTAAACTTCCATGGCTTACCTTTGGCAGCTTGATAGGGGGCTCCTTGGACTCCTCTTCCTCATCACTGTCTGATTCTCCACTCTGTACAGAGTTCTTAGATGCAGCTGCCAATGATGTTTCCTTTTTCTGCCATTCCAAAACGCAATGCCGTACATTACAGTAAATATTGAAGGCAGAGGGATTGCTATGTAGTTTGATATCTGGTATAATTACTGTATTCTCCAAGTTTTCAGACTGAAATAAAAAACAGAACATTTCTGTTTCACATTCTTTTTGGTTTTCATTTTATTGTAAATAAAAAAGTATAAACAGATTAAACTGACTTGTGGATCTTGTATAAGGGAAAAAACAAATATCTTAGATAAGTAAAATTATATTTAAAGTACTAAAATACTTAGTTCAAAAATGGCTTCCTTCTTCTATAAATAATTGGGAAAGAGCAAGAGACAATACCTCTTGAAATAAGAAATATGTTAAAGTTAAAAAAGCAAGTAACAGGAACATCTTTTTCAAAATAATAAAAATAGCAAACATAAATACATTAACAATATATTAAAAGTAATACATGACTGGTATTTAATCCAGAAACAATGTTGAAGCAACACCAGAAAAGCAAATAGTATAATTCCTGCAAAGAACAAATGTAATAAAGTAATAAACATAAGATACTACATATAAAAATGGTAAAAGCATTTGACAAAAGCCCAATACCAATACACAACTAAAAAAAAAAAAAAGTCAAAGCAAATCAGTAATGGGAAGGTATTTTCTCAACTAGACAGTGTGTAACTATGGCATTATCTTATCAGATATGGCAAGAGACTGACCGCCTTGTTCCCTGGATTGTAAGCAAGGCAGACATTCTCAGGGATTCAACTCAGGGTTGTTTCTTTCCCGATGCAATCGCCTGATAGAAATGGCTAAGAAGAAAAGTATCTTCTTGCAATGTCTTTATTTCCTGAACCATGCAGACAATTTTCAAGAAACATCTACTGGAAATACATGCAGGTACAAAGAAATAACAGAACATAAAGAATAGGCACCACCCGTATATGAAGAATGAACAAAAATAGTGTTTAGTGGCTGGACAGTGACTTGGCTCAGTGGCTCAGAGCACTTGCTGCTCTTGTAGAGGATCTGAGTTTGATTTCCAGTACCCACATACATACCTGCAGGCAAATACTAATCCACGTAAAATAATAAATGAATCCAAAAACTGCCATTTTAAAAAGAATACAATTGAAGTCTCTGACAGGGAAAAACACCTGCCAAGCACACATTCACAAAGACTAGTAAGTGTCAGAAAATATTCAGTATTCTCAAAACTCAACAGTACAACAACAAAAGAGAGTCAATAAGCAAATTGTGGACAGAGATGCATAGATATAGCCCTGAATAAGAAACAGAGAATTTTTTAGCCAGGTGTTGGTGGCACACGCCTTTAATCCCAGCGCTCGGGAGGCAGAGGCAGGCAGATCTCTGTGAGTTCGAGGCCAGCCTGGTCTACAGAGCTAGTTCCAGGACAACCTCCAAAACAACACAGAGAAACCCTGTCTCGAAAAAACAAACGAAAAAAAAAGAGAGAACTTTTATACATAAGCACAGTATCAGCATCATTAGGTCTTAGGTAAGAAGTAAAAGAAAATGACATATGGTACACAGCTATCAGAATCTCTGAAATTACCAATGGTGCCAACCCTGAAAAACAGGGAAAGATACAGGCAGTTACAACACCAGCAGGCAAATAATAATGATACAGCCACTCTGGAAAAAATACATCTCTTACAAAACTAAACGTGTACCTACAACATAACCCAAAAATTTCAATTCTCAGCAAAAACAACAAAAAAACCCATGTTCACACAAAAATCAGCAAGTAAATTTTCATAGATTTACTCAAACTTAGCTCCAAACTAAAAATAACCCGGATGTCTTTTAACTGTGTAAATTGCTATTCTGCAGTACCGTCATACTGGGATACGACTAATCAGCAATAGAAATAAACTATTAATTAATATATGTGACAATTTGGATGAAGTCAAAGAAATTACATCAAGCTTTTGTTTTTTAAGGCCAATCCTGTAAGCACATTTAAGCAAATTTCTTGAAATATCAAGATTGGGTAAGGAAGAACAGTTGTCACTGCCCAAAGCCAGGAAGATGACAGTGACATGTATGCCTATAAAGGATAGTAAAGAGGACTCCTACGATGGAACTGTTCTATATCCTGGCTGGGATAACAGTCACAGAAGTAACCAAGTTACACAGACATAAGCATATGTAAATCTGGGGAGATGCCTTAGTGAGTAAACAGACTTGACTTGTGAGCATGAGGAACTCAGTTCTCTCCACAGGAACCCACAAAAAGAGCTGATGCAAACGGTGAAGTGGACCTTAACCACAGCGCCAGGGAGGGGAGATAGCGGGATCACCAGAGCTTGCTGGCCAGCCAGGTCAGCTAATCAGGAGACTCCAGGTTCAGAGAGACACGCTTTCTAACAAAATAAGATGGAGACAGCTAGCTGACATCATTCTCTGCGTATGAACACACGTGCACACACATGCATATGCATACACACACACACACACACACACATGCACGCACGCATGCACGCACACCTGGTGACGTAAGAATAAGATGGTAGAGTGCACCAATGTAAAATGTTTACAAAACTAATTATATAACATGCTAAAAATAAAGAAAAATGAGTGAAGGGCTTAAAAGATCTCTGTAAATTATGAAAAATAAGAAATATAAGTAGTGTTTTAACACTACAATGATCTCAACATAAATTATTTTTTAAAATCATAGCATCTAAAACACCATCAAAAAATAAAAATAATTACAAATAAATGCAATAAAATGTATATGAGCTTTATGTACTAAAAACTGAAAAATGTATGAAGTAAAATTGAGTAAGACTTAAAGCCAGGCAGTAGTGGTGCATATCCTTTAATCCTGGCACTTAGGAGGCAGAGGCAGGTTGATCTCTGAGTTCGAAACCAGTGTGGTCTTCACAGCAAGTTCTAGGACAGTCAGGACTTTACAGAGAAACCCTGTCTCAAAACAAAACAAAACAAAACAAAACAAAACAAAAACAAAAACAAAAACAAAAGATAAACAAAGAAAATACTTAAATAAATGGACAAGCATCTATATCATGTTCATAGATTGAGGAATTATACATCATTAAAATGACAAGTCTCATCAAGCCTACAGACTCAATATAACAGCAATAAAATTATTAAGGCTTCTAATAAAAAAAACTGACAAGGATCACCATCATACTTACATAGAAATATGAAAGACAGAAAACAACTGTGTTAGCCTGTATCTACCACTGTAATCAGCTGATGAATGGAAAAGGTTTACTTTGACTCACAGTTCTGAAGCTCAGTTCTATGATATTTGTTCCCCTTGCTTTTGGGCCAGTGGCAAGGCTGTGTACCATAGCAAGGGGAGCAAATATCATAGAACAGAGCTTCAGGCAGAGGCAGGCGGATCTCTGTGAGTTCCAGGCCAGCCTGGTCTACAGAGTGAATTCCAGAAAGCCTCCAAAACAATACAGAGAAACCCTGTCTCAAAAAAAAAAAAAAAAAAAAAAAAAAGCTACAGTATGGATTGACAGAAAGACACATATGTATATCAACAAACAGATTCCAAAATTACACCCCAAAAAAAATATGGTTAACTGACTCTTACAAGGTAATTCAGTGGGAAAAAATGAAACCATTTTAACAAATGGAGCCAGATCAGCTGGATAATAATGAGAAAAAATTGAAGGTTAACACTTAAAAATTAACTTCAAACAGACCATATACCTAAGGGTATCAGATAAAACTATAAATCTTTGGACAAAACCTAAAAAATATAATTTCTGCAAGTTCAGTGTAAACCAACACTTCTTAGAGCACAACATATATGAATCATATAAGGAAAATACTAATCAATTGGGTTAATCTTGTTCTTCTAAAGTTTCATTTAAAAAAAAAGTGCAGTCTCATCTTCACACAGCATACCCAAACTTAAGGGGGGGGGAATTAAAGTGGTGCTAACAGGAAGTTTATAGCAATAAGTGCCCACCTAAAAATTTGGTAAGATCTCAGATTAGAAACTTAACAGAACTGAATGTTCTAGAACAAAAAGAAGTAAGCACATCCAAGAGGAGTAGAGGGCAAGAAATAATCAAACTGAGGGCTGAAATCAATAAAATAGAAACAAGAGACTATAAAGAATCAATGAAGCAAAGTTGGCTCTATGAGAAAAATCAATTAGACAGACAAACCCTTATCCAAACTAAGAGACAGGGAATATCCAAATTAACAAAAGCAGAAACCAAAAGGGGGACTTAACAACAGAGACTGAGGAAACCCACCAAATCATAAGGACACCAATCTAGAAAATCTAAAACTAAGCTTCTGGATGGGTACCCCTTACCAAATTAAATCGAGGTCAGAAAACAATTTAAACAGACCTACGATAGAAAGGAAGTCATTAATACTCTCCCAGCCAAAAACAAAAAAAAAAAAGCCACCTAGGGCCAGGTGATTTTAGTGAAGAATTGTACCGACTTTCAAAGATGAGTTAATACCAATACTCTACAAATTATTCCACAAAATAGAAACAGAAGAAACATTGCCAAATTCATTTTATGTAAAAGCCACAGTTATCAATATCCAAACCACATAAAGAGAATTACAGACCAGTTTCTCTTTTGAGCATTGATGCAAAAATAATAAAATACTTGCAAAACAAATCCAAGAACACATCAGAAAGTTCATCCACCATGATCAAGTAAGCTTTATCCCAGAGAAGCAGGGATGGGTTCAATATATAAAAATCAGTAAACATAATCCACCATACAAACTAACTAAAATAAAACAAGCACCAGAGAGTCTGGATACTGTACGCTATTGTGTTTTCCAGTTTTTTGATTGCTCAGGAAGGAACAACTGCCAAAGTACACTTAATTATAAATGCTGCTGAATTAATTCAACTTATATCTTTTGAAAATGCCTTGACTTCAAAATTTAAGTATAAGGATATGTTACTTGGGAAAGGAGTTTTTGTTTATGTTTCTACAGAAAATGAAAAGCTGAGGATTCCTTTCAGGCTTCTGTGGTTTGATGAACCAAAACCCCCAGAAGCAGTGGACCAGGTGTTCCAACAATTGAAACAGCTAAGATGCTGCAGTCTTACAGACCCCAAAAATACGGACTTGTACAGGTTTTTT